TTTCACAAACTGTGAAAATTTTGAGAGATTTTACAGCAGCAAATTGAAGTAAATTCATGTAGCCTTAGCTATAGCTTAATTAATAAAGAAAATCATTTTGATAATATTTACTACAGCAAACAATAGTCTGAACCTTGCTCATTGCCTTTTGATGGCTTTGAGTGACCTTGAAAAGCAAAAACATAAAAATTTTTTAGAAAAACATCATGCTGGTGCGTTAGCCAGCATTGAGCAAAAACCCTATAGAGCCTCCTTAAAGTAGTTGTTAGAAGGAGCTGATGCCATCATATGATGGTTTTTTAGTACCCTTCTACTTTGGCAGCTATTCCAAATATATATAACATATATATACATATACATATATATACATATACATATATATACATATACATATATATACATATACATATATCTTGATTATAGTCTATCCTTGTGGTATAGTGCCTGATTTTCTGTCTGATGATCGCATAAGTGTGAAACTCGGAGCCACAGAAAAGTTATGTGTTATTGATGCATTCAACTTTTAGATATTCCACGCTCTGCGAACGCATCGAGTACTATACTGCAAGGATAGACTTTAATCAAGATATATATATATATATTATGAGAGGAAAAAAGGACACAACTACATTTCCCGACAAGCCTGTTTCGTGAATCGCTTCACTCTTCAGGGGTTTTTAGTAGGCTCTGATCCAATCTTTTCAAGGTTTCTTAATTAACATTTCTTTACAACCCAAGGAATTCCCCATCACTAAAAGTTTCCTGAGAAGCAACTTTTGATGGTGCAGCTTCTCTGAGAAAAAAAGGTTTCTTTTCTCTTAATTCCAAGTGTAATTTTTATCAAAAACCAATGTGCAAAAATTTAAGACAAACTCTCAGTCAGAAGCTATGGTTTTAATGTTTTCATGAAGGGATTATGAAAAGAATAATGATGTTCCTAGTTAATATTGCCAGGAGACATACATGAACATGTAACAGGGTTAAATATGCCCTTTTAACCTCCTAGAGTACCTGGGTCTAATTTTTCTTTACAATATCACCCCTGAATCACCCATTCACATCATGAGAATCAAGGAGGTGATCACCAACTAAGGAAGCTCTGGATTGTTCAACTAATTCTCCTTGATAGCACAATAGGAAATGTATAGAGAACACTATGGAGAATGTGCATACTGATGTTAGAGCATAAAATAAGGTATCAAACAAATGCCTTGGCACAAATATAAGTTAAAATTCAAAGGTTTCAATTCAGGTTAATTCTTATATGACACTCATCCTGCCTACTGCTCAAATTAGCAGTTTTTTATAGTGTCAATAGTGCATTCTATATAGATGTTTTTTTAAAGTGAGGGGAATTAGGTCAGCAAATATGTACACTGTATCATTGAAAATATGTCTTAACCATGCCAGGGACTTGTGAACAACAAGGAAGTTGCAATTTATTGTTATTTTTTGTTTACAGCATTTGATTGACTGGGTGAGAATGCATGTGTTTAAACAAATAAGTTTTTTTTCTCTGATTGCTTTAGGGCTGCCAGAGTCTCATGAGATGCACTGTAAGTTAAAAATGTTGGAAATAAAAATATTTCTGAGCACCCTCCAAGTGCTCAGCTTTTATCGTAGCTTAGTACATTTATTAAATCAAGTATATTTATTAAGCATGAATTTCTTTTTGTTTTTATCATTGCAGGTGTGCTTTTCAAGTGCTCATTTTGTTCAAGTACAGTTTCCTATGAAGATTGTCAAAAGAATTTGACAACAGAAAACTGCTCTGAGGGCCAGGTTTGTTTTCAGGCAGATGTAAAGTTTGAGAAAGGAGATAAGTCAGAAATTATTTTTCAAAAAGGATGTCTTGGAAAATCCTTTTGTGATGCATACAGCAAAGGAGACATTGGGGAATGCATAACAAGGAAGGGGCAAGGATATACAGTGGACTGCAATGGAAAGTGTTGCTCTGATGGCAATGAATGTAACAAGGAAAATCTTTTGAATCAGCCAATTGACCAAGGCAAGTGCACTGTTTGCAGTGGAGATATTTTACAAGAAGGCATATTTGCATGCATCTAATATTTTGATAGTTGGAATCTAAATTTTTTGCATGCTTTCACATGTAGTTTAATCAATCCTAAATTAATTGTTGGACTGTTTGGATACTTTGCTAATAAATTGCAATCCTAATGTTGGCATTTTATACTCAACATCTTATGTTTTGCATCATGAATTGCAGCCCAATTTAACTTCAATAAATAGTGTAATATGGCCTGTTGATAATATGCAGCAAAACTACCTATACACATACATGACAATTAGTGGGATGAACATGAGCTGTCCACATCAAATTTTGTTGTAGGCTCTGATCTTATATCATCAATGTTTCTTAAGTAACATGTCCCTACAACCCAGGGAATTCCCAATCACCAAAAGTTTCCTGAGAAGCAACTTTTGATGGTGCAGCTTCTCTGAGAAAAAACATTTTTTTTTCTCTTATTTCAAACATGATTTTTATCAGAAGCCACCTTGCAAAATTAAAGACAAGCATTCTGTTTGAAGTTAAGGTTTTGATGTCTTCAGGAGGCAATTATCAAGAGAATGATGATTATCCTAATATAGCCAGGAGACCTACATGATCATGTAACAGGGTTAAATAAGCCCTTTGACCTTTTAGAGTGATTTGTGTCTAATTTCTCTTTACAATATCACCCCTGAATCACCTGTTCATGTCATAAGAATCAGGGAAGTGATCACCAACTAAGGAAGCTCCGTCTTATTCAACTAATTCTTCTTGATAGCACCATAGGAAATGTATAGAGAACACTATGGAGAATGTGCATACTGATGTTAAGGCATAAAATAAGGTATCAAACAAATGCCTTGGCACAAATATAAGTTAAAATTCAAAGGTTTCAATTCAGGTTAATTCTTATATGACACTCATCCTGCCTTAACTGCTCAAATTAGCAGTTTTTTATAGTGTCACTAGTGCATTCTATATAAATGTTTTTTAAAGTGAAGGGAATTAGGTCAGCAAGTATGTACACTGTATCATTGAAAATATGCCCCAACCATGCCAGGGACTTGTGAACAACAAGGAAGTTGCAATTTATAATTATTTTATGTTTACAGCATAATTGATTGACTGGATGAGAATGTGTTTGAACAAATCAGTTTTTTTTCTCTAATTGCTTTAGGGCAGCCAGAGTCTCATGAGATGTACTGTAAGTTAAAAATGTTGGAAGTAAAAATATTTCAGGGCATCCTCCAAGTGCTCAGCTTTTATCGTAGCTATAGTACAATTATTAAATCAAGTATATTTATTTAGCATGAATTTCTTTTTGTTTTTATCATTGCAGGTGTGCCTTTAAAGTGCTCATTTTGTTCAAGTACAGTTTCCTACGAAGATTGTCAAAAGAATTTGACAACAGAAAACTGCTCTGAGGGCCAGGTTTGTTTTCAGGCAGATGTGAAGTTTGAGAAAGGAGATAAGTCAGAAATTATTTTTCAAAAAGGATGTCTTGGAAAATCCTTTTGTGATGCATACAGCAAAGGAGACATTGGGGAATGCAAAACAAGGGAAGCACAAGGATATACAGTGGACTGCAGTGGAAAGTGTTGCTTCGATGGCGATGAATGTAACAAGGAAAATCTTTTGAATCAGCCAATTGACCAAGGCAAGTGCACTGTTTGCAGTGGAGATATTTTACAAGAAGGCATATTATTTGCATGCATCTAATATTTTGACAGTTGGAATCTAAATTTTTTGCATGCTTTCACATGTTAAGTTTAATCAATCCTAAATTAATTGTTGGACTGTTTGGATGCTTTGCTAATAAATTGCAATCCTAAAGTTGGCATTTAACACTCAACTTCTTATATTTTGTATCATGAATTGCAGCACAATTTAACTTCAAAAATAGTGTAATATGGCCTGTTGATAATTAATGCAGCAAAACTACCTATACACATATATGACATGGTGTGATGAACATGTCCTGTCCACATTAAATTTCGTTGTGGGCTCTGATCTTATGTCATCAATGTTTCTTAAGTAACATGTCCCTACAACCCAGGGAATTCCCCATCACCAAAAGTTTCCTGTGAAGCAACTTTTGATGGTGCAGCTTCTCTGAGAAAAAACGTTTTTTTGTCTCTTATTTCAAACATGATTTTTTTATCAAAAGCCACCTTGCAAAATTAAAGACAAACATTCTGTTTGAAGTTAAGGTTTTGATGTCTTCATGAGGCAATTATCAAGAGAATGATGCATGATTATCCTAATATAGCCAGGAGACCTACATGATCATGTAACAGGGTTAAATAAGCCCTTTGACCTTTTAGAGTGATTTGTGTCTAATTTCTCTTTACAATATCACCCCTGAATCACCTGTTCATGTCATAAGAATCAGGGAAACGATCACCAACTAAGGAAGCTCTGGATTGTTCAACTAATTCTCCTTGATAGCACAATAGGAAATGTATAGAGAACACTATGGAGAATGTGCATACTGATATGTTAAGGCATAAAATAAGGTATCAAACAAATGCCTTGGCACAAATATAGGTTAAAATTCAAAGGTTTCAATTCAGGTTAATTCTTATATGACACTCATCCTGCCTACTGCTCAAATTAGTAGTGCATTCTATATAAATGTTTTTTAAAGTGAAGGGAATTAGGTCAGCAGGTATGTACACTGTATCATTGAAAATATGTCCCAACCACACCAGGGACTTGTGAACAACAAGGAAGTTGAAATTTATAATTATTTTATGTTTACAGCATAATTGATCGACTGGATGTGAATGTGTTTGAACAAATCAGTTTTTTTCTCTAATTGCTCTAGGGCAGCCAGAGTCCCATGAGATGCATTGAAAGTTAAAAATGCTGGAAGTAAAAATATTTCTGGGCACCCTCCATTAGTGCTCTGCTTTTATCACAGCTAGTACATTTATTAAATCAAGTTAATTTATTTAGTAGGAATTTCTTTTTGTTTTTATCATTGCAGGTTTGCCTTTAAAGTGCTCATCTTGTTCAAGTAATGTTTCCTATGAAGATTGTCAAAAGAAGTTGATGGCAGTAAACTGCACTGAGGACCAGGTTTGTTTTCAAGCAGATGCCAAGTATGAGAAAGGGGATAAGGTAATAATTACTATTCAAAAAGGATGTGTTGGAAAAACCTTGTGTGATGCTTACAGCAAAGGGGACATTGAGGAATGCAAAACAAGGAAAGCACAAGGATATACAGTACTGGACTGCAACGGAAAGTGTTGTTTTGATGGTGATGAATGTAACAAGGAAAATCCTCTGCCAAACAACCAAGGTTCTGCATTTTTAATCAGTGTAATGGTCTTGCTGCTTAGTGTGCTCTTGACTCTTAGTAATGTAAATTGACTTTGAAAAGCTTCCATTTCTCTGACTTAGCAACCTTTGAATCTTTTATTCAAGGGGTATGTTTAGAAATCCTAATAGAATTCTTAAAAACCTCTAGATTCTTGTTAACTCTTTGACCCATAACAGTCTGACCAACATCAAACATTTAGGGTCGCAAGAGCAAAGGAAATAATCACAACTGAATAAGTTCTTGATTGTTAAACAAATTCTCCTTGTCAGCACCTTAGGAAATGTATAGAGACCAGTACAGAGAATGTGCATACTGATGTTAGAATGTAAAGGGTTTAAGAAACTGGTTGTTCATTGGGCATCAATTATCAGAGACTCTATAGCTTTAGAGCAGAATCCTTCAGTTAAATTTCCATTGCCTATAAGCTAATTTTTATTTTCAGACGCGTAGGATATTCTTCAGTTATTTTATGCTATCATAAACTGCTTCTGCTATTCATAATGAAAACAGTACTAACTTAGTTGTCTTGTTTCTTTTTTTTTGTTTAAAAAAACGCAAGGAGAATTTGATGTTCGGATCACACACCCCTTTCAACATGCATCCTCATTTTATAGCTGGACAAGACTGAGTCATAATGATACATGCCTCCCATTGTAATGTTTTATATGCTCCCATTTACTGTTTCACCCACAGAGGTGTTCATTATGTAGAGTAGCTTTGTGTTATTTAATGCATTATGTAAGAAATAGGTGATGAAAAGAGACAAAATATTATTTGTAAGAGGGTGCCTGTCAGATCAGGATATACACGCATCCCTTTTACATATATCACTGAGTTCTCTTAACTAATAAATAAGAAATGTGTATGAGTTACAATGCAAGGTATTTAAATCAGATAAGTAGGGTTGAACATGAAATAGGGGCAGAGGGGGGCAAATTTCTCCTATAACCGGTTAGCCCTTTGACTCCCAGAACCCTTGCGAAATGGCTTTTGGAATTCCTAGGATTTTCCTAGGAATTCCTAGGAATAAAGGTGTGAATTTTCACTGTAAATTCGGACTGGGAATTCCTAGGAATTCCTAGGAATTCCCAACCATAACAACTCTGGTTCTAAAAACCTAGAAATTCCTAGAAATTCCCAGAAATTCCCAGAAATTCCCAGAAATTCCTAGAAATTCCAACTCAGAGAACCAATGACTTTCCCTGAAAAGCTGTAAATCTAAAAAATTCCTAGGAATTTCTGGGAATTTCTGGGAATTTCTGGGAATTTTTGGGAATTTTAAGGAATGTTTAAGAATTACTGGGAATTTTAAGCAAAAATTTGAGGCTAATGATATAAAATAAATACTTTAAATTAAAAAAAAACCCAGCTAAAATTCAAGTATTCAATGAAATTTATTTAGAAGCTTAATTAAGGCTTACATGTAAAATATTTTTGATTAATTAACATCAATGTGTGGTAATATTAGGATGGAATTTGATTTATTTTTCTTTTCTTGAAAACTTCATATGGATTAATCCTCAATTACAGCTATTCATATAAAATAGTTCTAATCAATCATTAAATTTGGTTTGACACAAATTGTGAATAAAATCTGTCGATTCTTTTCCATAAAATACAATATCTTAAGTTATATTTGAAAACCAAGCACTCTTGGGAGTGAAGGGGCTAATTACAGACAAATAAAATTGATTTTTTGATTAAAATCTTGATGTAACTGTAACAATAAATTAGAATGAAGTTATCCTAAACTGCAAACTTAGCTGCTGTTTGTACTGTTTGTATTTTTTTCCTGGGCTCACAATGAGTTGGCCTTGAATGAGGTTGTCAACAAGAACCTTGACCATTTTGTATCTGGATTCCTTGACATCTGAATTTGAAAAAAAATAATATATTAAAATATGTATATTTAAAGCTCAGACCAGGCTTTTAAGATGGCTATGAGGAAAAGGGCATTCATTGGATTCTCAAATTGAGAAATCTCTGTTATATTGAGTGACTTTTATATTGGAGTTAGTACATCTCTCTCATGGATTTTACTAAAAAAGGGCTGAATACATTATTTTGTTTTTACCAAGGAGGGCTTCTTTATGTACTAAGGTTTGTTTAATAACAGTTCCTATTATGAATCTTGAATGTTCCCAAACGTGACTAGAGGAATCTTGAAACCTTACTGATAGGTTTATTTCATTGTAAAGCATAAGCATGCAAGTGACCGATTCGATTCTCAGAATTATTCTAGTTTCAGTTGCGCCGAGCGTTATGTAAGCTTAATTCAACCCGCTACATCTATTCTTTTATAAGATTTTGATCACGTAACGAATATCGCAATTTTTACTCACCACAAGCTTTCAAAATCGTAGCTTTACAGATGGCCACTCGACCCTTGTTTGTACCAGTCAATATGTCAACTGTTGTCCCTTCTTTTAACTCCACGGCGCCACCGACTTTCTTTTCTTTTACAACACTCACGCTATTCTCGTTTTCCCATTGAACCACAATAAAAGCTATCTTTAGAAATGTTATATTAAGCAAAACAGTTGAGAAAAGCGATCAACCGATCCAAAGTACATTCAAAGATGAGCGCCAAATGGAGTCTTCTTTGTTTCTGATCACGGGCATGATCACGTGGATCCTTTAGGACTTGTAATTGGCTAGCAAAGTGAATCCGCTGGCTTGCCGATTGCAGTGTTAAGAGAAGCGCCTAACTTTATTCTGACTTCTCCGACCGGTTCTCTGCTTCTAGAAGAAGGATAGCTTGGTGATATAAATAAAGATGTGAGCTCACTCTATGTAGAAATAATCGAAAAGAATCGATCGTATTACAAATGCACGATTTGTGGCCGAAAGTTGTCGAGGAAACAAAGACTCGAAACTCACTTGAGTTGTGTTAATGGCCAAGGTGAGAAATAACACAAGCCAATCACAGTTCTGAATGCGACTACAAATCGTCTATTACCCTCATATTTATAAAAGAAGGATACCACATTCGGAAGTATAAGAGATACATAGATGATCCCAGTGTACCAGTACCTAAATCTACAAAGCTTGACCGTAGCAAGCGTTCAGCAACACGTTCCAACACCGCCATCTCGATTCCTCAGTCAGTCGTTTCCACTGAACTTAAAGCAGTATTGACAACAGAGTAGAGTGTGTCTTACAAAGGAGAAATATTTGTACAAGAGACAGGAGTAGCTATATGCGATTACAGAGGTGCGTTGGAACTCTGGCCCACAAATAGTTATGCACTGCCCGAAGTATAAAACAATCTTGTTGATAGCTGACAGACAGAGAAGAACAACAAGTAAACTTAAGAGCTGTTATTATTGAAGTGTGACTATCACTTTTCATTTTTATATAAAGAAGGACTTGTAATTTGCACCAAAAATAAAAAGATGTAATATTTTTTTGGGAGATCCAGTGATTGGGACATTTAAGAAATTAAGTTATGAAAGGAAACTTGGTTGGTACTTCTCACTACTAACAAGTCTTGTTGACAAATATTTTCAGATCAGAGTTTCAAATAAAGTAAATTGAAGACGTCATATAAAAAGGTGTTTTTCCTCTAAGGGAACATTGACTACCTCTGTCTTGTCTGCATGCCAAATGTTTGCAAAGTGTGTGGATGATCCACAAGTATTGGAACTCTTACAAAACATTTTTGTAAGAGTTCCAATACTCGTGGATCATCCACACACTTTGCAAACATTTGTCATGCAGACAAGACAGAGGTAGTCAATGTTCCCCTTTTCTTACAAAAATGTTTTGTAGGAATAAAAACAGCAAAACAAATTACAGCAATTAGTCATGAAAATAGAGCAAAAAACTGAAAAAAAAAGCAGCAACAACAATCATGAAAAAAGAAAGATTAATTAGGTGTTGAATTTGTTTGTCTAAGGCATGAAATTTCTACTAAAAGTATTGTCAACAAAAAGTCTCAGACAGCATTTGAGGCAACTGAGCTTGACTGTTCCAAGGTTTTCTAACAAAGGCAACCAGTAATGTAGGTTAGGGAAGTAAGATAACAATATAATTATTGTTAATTATTGTGGAAGTTGGCAATTTCCATTTAACATAACTGACAGCTGGTTCATGAGAAAATCCATATTAATGTAAAGATTTACTAAAACTTAGTTTGAGTAATAAATTTCATGATCTTTAAGTTATAAACATGTACATTTATGTATATCTCTTGGTAAGTTTTGTATAGCATACCTTTTATTGAGCCAAAGTTTTAAGCCTCTGAAATTACTCTTTTTCTTAAAACCTTCACATTCAAGGTATTGAGAATTTCTTAGAATTTATGTGGACCTCAGGGTATTAAAATTGCCTCAAATTCAATTCCCAGAAATTCCCAAGAGTTCCACACTTCTTAAATTATAGGTAGTTTGTAAAGCTGAGAATTCCTAGGAATTCCCAGAGATTCCAAGTCCTCACAAACTGGAGTCTTCCTTTCCCAGAAATTCCCAGTAATTCCAAGCTTTTTAAATCAGAGTTAATTTGCATAGTTGGGAATTTTTGAGAATTCCTAGGAATTCCTAGGAATTCCTAGGAATTCCCAGAAATTCCCAGAAAACTGGGAATTCGGTTTGCAAGGGTCATTTGCATAATTGGGAATTTTTGAGAATTCCTAGGAATTCCTAGGAATTCCCAGAAAACTGGGAATTCAGTTCGCAAGGGAAGTGCATTATGAACATGCAACTTCTCCTTATAAAATATATATATTATCCAGCAAACAGGTAATGAGAATACTCAGGCTTATCATATCAAAGTTGTCATCTTGATCCAACACAAAATTCTCGTCACTAATTTACTAAGAAAAGTGTAACAGCTAGAGAGAGGAGAATTAACAATCAGTTCTTGGGAGTTAAAGGGTTAACCTAAAAGGGATGTCAATCTTAATTTTCTTCATATCAAGTTTCCTTTTCAACATTTCTTTTTGTTTTTTTTTTTGGCACTCTTGTCCAGTGTATTGATTTATTCATAAAAGTTGGGAGCTTAAAGTGTAAACTTGCAGGCTTCTTTTCAAGCCCGATCTTGTGAGAATCTTACTGTTGAAGGCTTTAGAGCATTTTTGAACAAAAATGGTTGGTTTGTGACTCCAGCAAGACTTGATATAAGCAAATGAGCAGCTGTAGTATTCATTTTCCAGTTTTTCTTTGATTCATTCCAAGGAAATGCGCATCTCATTCGAGAAAATGATTTTGAGCTTTTTATAATCATAGGTAAGATTACTTATAGGTTGATTAAGATACTAGCTGATAGGTTTTACCAGTAATGGATACATAAGTAAACTGAGGTGAATTAAAAGAGGCAGTGTGTAAAGAGCCTTTAAGAGGTTGATTTATTTTAAAAAATGCTATTTTATGGTTTTAAACCAATTAGCAAGGAAGTGCGTGAATTCTTTTATTTTGAGCTGTGTTTGTGTTCATGCCATTGCTTAACAGCGTGTCCGTAGGCTCTCATAGATACAGTCTCATAAGCGTCTTACTGCTTCTTACAAGCCGGTCTGCTTTACCCGTCAGTGGAAGATCTACTGAGGTGTGGCACAAGAAACGTCAGAAAGACGTCCCAGATAGCAGCACCTATAAAAGCATGCTTGCAGTTTAGTTATTCTATAGCATAGACTTAGTGCTCCCAAAAATAAAGGATCTGTCGTTGCAATTTTTGTTGAATTATGTGTTAGACTGGAGCTTAAAGTTATCTGTCTATCTAAATGGTTCTACTGGATATTTGGGTGTCTATAATTATTATATTATTATTATATTATATTATATTATTATTATTATTATTATTATTATAATTATTAGAGAAGACTGTTCCCCTCATGTTATCCACCTGAAGTTTTGGTAACGTACTGCACAAGCTTGATTAAGCGCCCAACCTCGATAAGCGCCCACCCCGAATAAGCGCCGGGCTCGAATAAGCGCCCACCCTGTAGCTAGGGAAAGTTAACAAGCGCTCAGCCATGAAAAAGTGCTAAAGAAAAAAGCGAGCGCCAAAAAAATTGATAAAAATAAGTTGGAACGCTTGTCACTTATTTATTGGCTGTTCATACTCTTGAGGACACTTGTCACGTTTCTCGGTTGAAGGAAACAGAGAACCCAGGACTATGATGCAGATTCGGGTAAGGAAAGGGTAGCCTGTACAAAGCTCTGAGTCAAAGTGCAAGAACATGGATCAAGCGACAATGATGAGGTCTCGAAGTACATGCGAAGCTCTCTTTTCTTAAAAAAAATTAAATCGAGAAAAATAAAAACAACCCTGTAGCTTCCAAGTGCCAGTTCGATGCTAGTCTGGTGGTTTCAGTCTCCTCTATCCTCCCTACCCATCAAAGAATCCCGCTGGGTGCCTTCAACCATGAGGTTTCAGATTTCGGCTTCACTGCAAATTTTGCACGGTTCGGTCGAACACCAGCGTATAGGATATCAGAAAGAACACATATACAACCCATGTTTAGTACAGAATCATCAAACTAAATTATATAAAAATGAAAAATAAGTCAAATAAAACAAATCGAGAGTTGAGCAACCACTGATAAACATTGTGGTTAGAGAGGCAACAACAAATGTCCTTGAGTAAGAAACGATTACATACCAAACGAACAACGCTTCATTTTTTTGTAAGAAATGGAGAACGCTTCCCTTTGTTGTTAGAAACGAACAACGCTTTTAGAATCGTTTTCAAACATATTTCAATTCCGAGCATACGATCGATTTCTGTGTAGTCAAAGTCTTCATGGTATTGTTAGAAACCAAGAAAAAGTTTCTCAAGCTTACTAAACGTCCTTGAGTAAGAAATGATCACATACCAAACGAACAACGCTACATTTTGTCGTTAGAGACGAACAACGTTTCCCTTTGTTGTTAGGAACGAACAACGCTTTAAGAATCTTCATAGAGTTGTCGGAAACAAAGAGCGCTTTAGTGATAAAAAATTTCCAACGTTATTGCCTATTAACAGTCTGAAATTCTGATCTTTTTAGTATTTGTTTCTTCGAGCGACATTACTAAAATTTCGGGCAACATAACTCAGGTTTCGGGCGCCATGACTTCGGGCGAGATGACTCTCGTGCGACTTGACCAGTTACCTTTAAATACTCACAGCTCTTTACCCACAATGCGCCTTCACGGAAGGCTTAGGCCCTGTTCCTTTCGTGCCGCAGAAATATTTAACTTCCGGCTTATTCGTGGACACCTGAAGGCCAGAAATTCCTTCTTGTTGCATCCGTTGTCCTATGAACCCGCTTTTCATTAATTTTACCCCATCCCCCCCACACCCATTTTTTTTTTACTTGCCGTTACAAACAACTTTTAATTTATTAAGTTTTAAGCTGTTGAACGCGTGACAACGAGGGCGAAATTCTAGGGAGCTCCAATGACACTTCCTTTTTTCTCAGAAAAGCGGGAACTGCCAATCTAAAGCTCTGTCGTGGGGTGATCTCGAAGGCATCGACTCTCTTTGCTGCAAATTTCCCGAAATATGGCTCACTTTTTAACAGGTGCTGTTATGAATGGTTTTCTATCTTTAGTAAGCTGTTTTGTGGTGTTGTTTATCTTTTAATTCGCAAACTGATCAACGTTTTGTCGCGATCCGTAGCCGGAAATTACGCAATAATAATTAGAAGCGTGAAATTTTAGCGCAGCTCCTTTAACGCAGCTGTTTTTAGTGAAAATCAAAACGATATATCAACCAAACCGGATTTCTTGCTTGAAGTCAAACTTTCCCTCGCAGATTTTGGCCAAGACGTAATAAGCCAACAATTGATATCGACGATTCTCTGAAGTGAAACTTCTGACGCAAATTAACATTGAGGTCACTTCCTCGCTGATCACCGCAAACAATTTGTTTCATGATAAGGGTAAGTTTCTAACAAAACTGTGGTGCTGCCCATATTCAGTGAGTGCGAGTGGAAATTTTTCCTTTATAACCAAACCTAAAAATAACTTAGAAATCTTCAAAGATTTATTGCGAAAAGTACAGCCGCGTATTCTGAGAAAAAGGCCGGCAGGAGTCATATTACATTTTTCCCAACTGACTGGGTCCATGAGAGTATAAAGTTGTAATCTCTTGCTGGTTAGGAATGTTCTTAGCTGGGTACGAGTCATCTGAGTTTGGGAATGGATCGCCTGTGTACAAAACGTTCGTGGCATGGACACGAAACGACTGGATGCCGAATTAGACCTCTATTAAAAGTTGACGTCTTTAATCAGTAGTAAAGCTCTTCCCACGAAGCCCGCGACATGCATTTCAAATACAGCAGCGGTAACGAGACTTCGCTCGGAAGCTAAACATGATGGGTAACGACAGTGGCAAAGGCAGAAATGACCTATTTTGCTCGCTTTTCTAGTGCAAATGCTTCTTTCCCCAATTCTGATAGATAATCAAATTTTTCAATCAACAATGTTTTAGCGTGCTGGACTGCACGAGAGTGTTGTGTTCTCGGTATTACATTTCTCTCTTGTCCTATCTTTTCTTATCTGAAAATTACTCTATTCATTACTATGAACTTTTTGTTATTTTTACCTCTGCCAAGCATCGGAACGAGTGATGTAGGAATTCGATATGCAAATTTAGTAGCGTTAGCACGGTCTTAGGAGTCTGGGGGAGAGCACGCATTATATTAAATATGGCGGAGTCAATCTCGTAACTAGATCCTATCGAGTAACTGGTCCTGGAAGGAGAGACAATGGTGTTGCAATCGCGGAGGACTTTGATGGACATGACGGCTAATTTTGTGCCAGAGGTGTGACGCGAATTTTCCCATCAATCGAGATTTTGCAATTGATTACTCATGAGCGTACTCATTTTTATCGAGTCTATTTTGCAACCTTAAACTTTGATGACCCGATGAAATAAACAGTTTTATTGTACACGTAATAACCACGAGTTCACCAAAGTGTCACTTTGATTTTTTCTTACTAGGAATTAAAGAATACTTTTTGGGTACCAAAAATCAATATGTCGCCACGGTTGCAATTGATCTTGGAACAGTTTCCAGTGGCTTTGCCTATACACTTCATACGAACCAAAGTCAAGACGCGATTTTCGTGAACAGTGACTGGGTGAATGAATTTGGTCATCGAACGAGCAAGACCCCTACATGCTTGCTTCTCAAACCAGACCTTTCATTCTACGCCTTTGGGTACAAAGCGTTGGAATGGAATGCATATTTTCAAAGCACCCACGAAACACAAGACATGTTGTTTTTTGAGGTTTTTAAGAGAGATTTGCATAGTGATAAGGTAAGTAAAGGGGACTACTAAGTCGCCTTTCCTTATACGGAGGGAGCGTGGGTAACACGCGAGCCAGGGACAAGACACGCTCCCTCCGACCTTCGTGCGCGTTACCTCGTTCAGTAATGCCGTTCTTAATCGGTGCGCTAAGGCAAATAGAGCGCCTCTTACACCATTTTCGTTTCCCGAGCCCTCTGACCTTCGTGCACGTTACCCGGTTCAGTTATGCCGTTTTGAGTTACTTGCGCCAAGATAAATAGAGTGCCTCTTACACTATTCTCGTTTCCAGACTCCTCTGATCTTCGCGCGCGTTACCCGGTTCAGTTATGCCGTTCTGAATCACTTGCGCTAAGATAAATAGAGCGCCTCTGTTACCATCCTCGTTACCAGAGTGACTTGTTCGCACTCAAGACTACGAAGGAAAGACGAGGACTCTGGGAACGAGAGTTCTAATTCACAAGCTAGATCTGAAAAGTGACTTGCATAGAGGTCTTGTTGGAAACGTATTTAGATTAGGCGGCCTGCTATAACAGAATCTAACAAACTTGTCATCAACTGCATTAGGTAATCTCTAAATTGTTCGTAGATCGTAGACTTCGACTGTACCCTTAAAGCAGCAAACGGAAAGAGTATAAGAGCCATAACAGTTATCGCACAGTGTATCAAATTCTTCAAGGATGAAGCAGTGGCCTGTGTAAGGCGAGAGGTTGGAGAAGATGAAATTGATGATGAAAAAATATACTGGGTTTTTACTGTACCTCAATCTTGGACGGGAAGATCTAAGCAGTTCATGAGAGAAGCAGCTTACGAGGTAACGCATATCATTGCGCGGCAAGACAGTTATGCGAATATTTCAATTTGCAGATTAGCAACTCTTTGTGTTTTGTGGGAACACAGTTTTGCTCTTCTATGTTATTTATATTTCTGCTGGGAAGTATAAATAACAAAGAATATAAATATATATAAAGAATATAAATTGAGCTCAGTTTATGTTCCCGTGAAGAATCCTTAAAATTTTTCTAACCTATCGAAAGGTATAGACGGAAGATACACCGTAGACGATTCGCGCGTGGATATTTCCAGTAAATTCCATACTACAACGTATGCGGTGCGAATCAAGACAGACAAATCAGGCACACCCTGTGCTGCACAGGCTTTTGATGATGAAAATCTCCATTCATCTCTCCCATAGGCTGGTATTGGTTCACGTGGTAACTTAGGACAGATGATGATTGTCAGTGAAGCTGAAGCAGCCCTGGAATTTTGTGTAAAGACAGAGCTAAGCACACCCGTTTTAATCGCTGATATTGGAGGTACTCATCTCAATATATTCTGAGTTGTCAGAATTTGGTAACATCGGTTTTTAACGACCTGCAACTCAACGCAAAATATTTAACATTGCTGCTTTTATTAGAAGGCATTCCACTGGCAAACTAAATTTATGTGCCGACTTTATTCATCCTAATCTCGTACCCAGATCCTACCGTGTTACTGTACAACCGCTTGGCCGTGAAAGGTCTGGGTAGGCGACTAAATTTATCCCACTGAAAAAAAGAACCTTTCTTAATCAACCAGAGCAAGAAAAAATACACAAGAAAAATTATTGGGCTTATTTTCATTTGTTGTACAAGGGAGGTTGACTCTTCTGACTTACGTCTAAAAACTTTAAACAGAAGTTATTGGGAATAACATTGATATTTCTCACCAGGAGGGGGCCTGGAAATGACTCTCTTTGAGCAACACGATGAAGGAAAAGTCGCTAAGACCGACAAGGTGACTCGTCCTGCGAATACCGCTGTTCATGAAGAAATGTTCCTGGAGCTTTTAGAAAGGACGTTTGGGGAGCAAAAAGTTCAAGACTATCAGAAGCTGTACCCAAGTGATTTACACCAAATCTTTCAGAACTTTGAAGCAAAGAAGCGCACTTTCCGATTCAAAGAGACAAAGATTCAATTGCCAGGCAGTTTTGTCAGTTTCGTGAACGATTTTGTCTCTCCATCCATGAAACATTACAGTAAGGGGGAGGTTAGAATAGTGGATGATCAGTATCTTTGTCTGAGCGCTGAATGCATGAAAACTCTTTTGAAGTCTGTGGCAGAGGATGCAATAACTGAAATGAAGGCTTTCCTCGGCAAACCGCAGCTTTCAGAGGGTGTTAGGATATTTCTTGTTGGTGGACACGCTGAATCACTTCACCTCCAGGAAGAATTCAAGAGGGAGTTTTCTGGTCGTCATGATGTAACGACGTATCGTGACGCCTCCCTTGCAATTGTTAAGGGTACTATGATGGTTGCTAAGGCAATGAATTCAAATAGGGAATCATGGATCATTGGTGCATGTTATGGTGTCGACTGTTCACGAAATTTCGTTCGAGGTCTGCATCCACCAGAGAAGAAATTCTTTGCTGATGGTAAAGCGAAATGCAGAGATCTGTTTCATTGCATTGTTAAGAAAAATGATATCATCAGACACGGAGAGAAAATCTCTGTGAGATATCGTCCACTTTATGCGAATGAAACAGAAATTAAATACACCTTTTACGCCTCACAGAGGTCAGACGTCGACTTTGTTTTCGTTACAGACCAGGACGTGAAAGAAATTGGAAGTATCGTAATCCATTCCCCTGATACGAGGAATGGTTCGGAAAGAGATATTATAGTCAGCATTTATTTCGGAGGAACAGATTTAATAGCTTCGGCTTGGGATGTAACGAGCGGAAAGAGGGCTCAAACAACCTTGGAGGTGTCCCCACCTTTTTAGAACCGACGTAAGTGATAGTTTACACTATGACGACCGAGCTAATCATGAGTAACGTCTGCGCATGTCAGTTATGTTGTGCTAAATATATTTTGTGCCGCTCTTGAAGAAAAGTCTGTAGCGAAAGTTTTAAGCTTAATCTCTCTGCTTGCGTGCATCCTGCTTGCGTCTTACCGAGGGAAAAACCGCGCCGCTTTTAAAATTTTGGAAAAATTCCGCCATTTTAGTATATCGTTGCCATAGTTTCATGCATGAGCTCTCGAAAGTTGCTGACATGGGCAGATATTTTTCATCTCTGTCCACTATGCGTAGTCAGGCCCTTTCGACGATATGCAAGGCATTCTCAAGAAGGTGATTATATTAATTATGACTATTTGTCTAAATTGACAGTATAGTTTATTAACCTGCAAAACGTGATGATTACAACAAAGTGAAAAGAAATTCTTAAAGAAAGATCAGCACTATGCACAAATAGGAATACCCTTAGATCAAATCCAACTGTAGAGTGTCTTTTTGTTTACAATGCCCAGCTTTTATGAAATGGAAATAAAAAACTGGAAAATATAAAACAGAATATAATCTATTTTGTCCATCAAATAATGACCTTCGGTCCTTGGTTGTTATTGTTGTTGTTGTTTTGATCGCCATACTTGTAATAAACTTTCTATCAGTAATTTTCTGGGAAGTCTGTTCTCTTAACTCGCTACAGGATCACCAACTAGAAATGAAACGCTTGAATTCTTCGATAGTACCGTATTTTTGCTTAATGTTAAGGTACAACCGTAAGAAAAGTGATGCATGTAAAAATTACAAAACGTCAACTTATTAGGAAAAGTCTTCTTTCTCAGACGCAAGGAAACTCAGTTCGAAGTTAGCCCTAGAGTTACTTCAACCTCTTTCACACCAAAGCCTCAACATGTTTTAAAGCTGTTTAATTTGTTAAACACGATTTAAATTCGTTTTCTTTTTCATATAGGCTACTTGAGGCACATTAAAAACAAAAGTTAGTGACGACTTGAAACCTATGGAAAATTCAGTGTTTCATTTCTGTTTCTTATTTTTATTCAGTTAAACCCGGTTTAACCAGACATGATTTGTTGGTGTGAATGGAGTATTCTTTATGCTGTGAAAGAAAAAATATACACTTCTAATAGAAAAAAATACGCCACAAAATCTGAATTGTTTGGTGCACTTAAATGACGGGTCCAGGAGGAGGGTCGATCCGGGAATTCGAACAATCCTTCCCATCAGACCTGTGGGTTTTTTACCGATTGTCTAATACTAAGATTCATACTACGACAGGATCGTATGTTACGTTACTACACAATATCTCACATTTACTTGTCTCGCAATATATCTTAGCTTTTCTATGATTACGAAGTGGAAATTTTCTTGTATGCTCTGGATCAAAAAATTGGATTCCTCTATTACTAATTCTTGGACCCGCCCCTTCGTTGTCAATCTACAGTTACCTAACTTAGTATTTTCTCGTGACATAACACGTTATTATCATTAACTATGACCATATCAACTTCTTAGCAGCTAGTACGCATGAAACAAACATCAACAGACCGCTGACCCTTTGTCCCTGCACAGCACCATTACATTTGTCATCTTCGCAGCACGTGACCGAACACTCGACTGAGTAACCCTGCCTCTTCTTATCCTGACATGTAGGGACCTGGGTTCCATCTTTCTCATAAGTCATACATTCATTCCCGTTTGCGCAGGTTTTGAAGAATATGTGCTCTGTCTTGGAATTTTTTGAGAATGAGATCTTGCCTTTTATACACATATAATCACCCCGTTCACAAGTTCTTGAAATTGTTTTGTTGAAGCAGTCTTCCCATGACGTATGGGTGAAGCATTCGTAACATTCATTCGGGGAGGAACCTGGAAATGAAAAACAAAAACACAGCGTGTTATCTACGTCTTTTCCCAAATATCTGGAATTTTTTAGTTTAATTAATGTTTGTGAAGAAAAATGTTACGTTCGTTACGATATCTTGACATATCGATTTTTTTTTTCAGTTGATGGCTGACTCGCCATTTTTCTTGAAACATACTCAACCTTTGCCAGAAATAAGTCAGTTCAGCGGTTCCGCTTTAGAGCTTTGAATTTCAAGCCAGTATCAAGTTTTTATTAAAGCGGAAGACAAACAAACAAACAAGAAATTAAAAGACAACTTTTCATTGTGTGATAGCGAATCAGTTTAGAAATGAAATAAAGTTGAGAGAACTTCTTAAACAAATTCTCGAAAAGACTTCTGAAAAATTAATTCTAATCGGTAACAATTCTGATTAGGGCATACCTACGTTAACTAAGGGTACGTATATGTAATTTTTAGATCGTTTCATCCGCCGTTGCTATTCTTGATGGCCAAATCTCGTTCCATAAATGCTTGACAAAAGGTGTTTTTTTGTTAAAAAAATATTTTCTTTGCAATATGTCTAGGCAACATCGAAGTTACCTCCATTTCGTTAAACAATGTTCAATGCTATAAATATACAATCCAGCTTTTGACATTGTACCGTTTCTGTCTATCTGTCTCTTATCCTTCATAAGGAGAGAAAGTGTGGATTGGAAATTGTTTTCCTGATGGAGCTCTGCGGTGCTTTAGTCTAAACTAACTTCCTGCTAAATCATTCCCTTTTGTTACCGTGAGCCAAATAACTTCTCGCTGAGCGTAATAATACCAAAGATTAAATAAGATTTCTGTAAACTTATAGGCTTTAGAATTCGTACGTAGTGTAAATGCATTTCAGCTATTCTTTTTCGATGTTTAATGACAATACTGGTTAGCAAAACACTCGCTTTTAATTCAACCACAACTTGATAAGGAAATATCACTTGCGGTGGCGAATTCGCAAAGGAAGTTGTTTTCCTTACGTAAACAAACTTAATTCTTTTGGAAAGTTGAAAATTATTACAAACTTTATTTATTACTCATATATCATAGGAACAAATAACGAGAGCGATATTGATATCTCCTAATGAAAGAAACTGTTAGAAGAAGGAAATGACTTTTTTTCTTCTTTTAAACTGTTACTGGTTATACTGAAATGCAGCTGTCATTATTTTGAATCTTTGGTACGTAGTTTTTACCGTAAACAAAATTTTTACCTTCTCTTATTATGATACGAACCTGTAAAAATTTTTTATCAACTACCGGCTAATCTTTAGAAGAAACTCTCCCCCATAAGGTTTTCTTTTTACAGACTGGAGTTAATTAAAAACCTTAGCTACTGTAGACTCACTAAAAATGTATTATCAACTCACCGTGTGCAACTAACGGGAAAAGATATGCACCAAATATTAGCCTGCACAAAATAATTGAGCTCATCTTTGGGTGTCCTTGCTTACACGTTTCTCCTTTTCCTATCGCTCAGAGGGCCTCCGAATAAAGGCAAATGAATGCAAACTCTTTAGTACTTCTGAAGATGCAAGCTAATTTTATATCGACCCATGAGGTCCGTTTTTAAGTTTCGCAGTTGAAGTTGAACTGATTAAAAATCCCCTAGCTGCGAAATCAGATATTCATAAAACAAACTTAGTTAAAGAACCAGACTTATCGTCATTTGATTTTCCAAGAGACTGCTACACGCTGATGATTCTTAATTACAATAATGACAACATGGAAAATGGGCGATTAAATTCTTTTTTGAGCCACAATCGATAAATTCGTAGGACTGGTGTTCTTAGCAATTATCCCAGGCGATCAGGCGTTCTTTCGGTGAGAGCGCGGCGCGAACGTAGGAGTACGTGCGCAGAAGAGAAAGGACGCTCTCCTCCCTAGATAGGCATTTAGTAACAGGTGGAGGGTATATTTTCTCATCATTTCTTAAACGCGCGCATGGAATCAAGTTTTATTTAATTAAATAATAATGACATCACAACGCTATAATTCGATGAGAAAATCACTGAAAAAGAAGGCACTCTTTTGTCACATCCCTTTCTTTTTCTTACTAAAAAATCTTGGGAAAATGCAGTGTATGGGGACAAACTACGAGGGTTGCAGCCTCAATGGAAGGTAGGATTTGTTTTTCAGAAATAGACTGCAAACGTGAATTAAGAATTGCAAAACTGACTCCTACAGGCTACATACAGCTGTTCGCTGTAACTTTTTGCACTCTTCAATAGAATGGATGATCCAGAAGCTATTTACAAGTTTCCTAATCACTTTGGAAGTGAATATCATGGCGGAATAGTCGACGGAATGTAGGTTCTACATATAAACTAGCCATTTTCTACATTTATTTTGATAGCGCGTGTGCATTTCTAGACTTCAGGCCCCGGTTGTTCGAAGATCGGATAACGCCCTGGATAAATCTATCCGGTGGATAATGCTATACGTTCTGCTATCACTTATCCGCTGGATAGCGATTTATCCGTTGGATGGTGTTATCCACCCTTTATATAACTGGGCCCAGGTGTCCAAAACCAATATTTGACTGACCTTTATAACACTATATCTTGGCCGCCATTTATTTCATTAACACTCTTACAATATCATCATCATCAAAGCAAAACAAATATATATATTAATAATAACAGAAGCAGCTGCTGTCATGACAACAAAAATGACACTTTGCTCTATGAGGTGTGCGTCAAGCTTGATCTTGATGGTGAGCCGCTGCTCGCGAAAGGAGCCTGCGTACCTCCCGAAGAGAGGAGAGCGGATTCAATTGCAAAAGAGCGGCGTAAATCGAGCCAAGGCATGAGTTAGTGGACTTATAGTTATTATCTTAACTCGATGATATTATCCACAGGTTTCATGGCGAAGGAAAATTAAAGGTTCGTGAAGGAGTACATTTTACTGGAAAATTCGAAAAGGGCAGGGCAGTCGAGGTAAACAAATTCCATGTCAATGAATCATTTTTTTTACCTCTCGTCAATTGCAGTAACTAAAAACGCGAAAAAAGTCCATGTCAGTTTTCCAATGTCAAAGTTGGAGTTCTTTGACGTGATTGGGTAATTTGTGAAATCTAGCGCGTCGCGCGTGAAAAAAAGATTTTCTACATTTTGACAGGTTCTCGTTTGACCTTACTTTACCTTTTTTTTCTACACAGGGTTTCTTCGAGTTTCAGGATGATGTGCGATTTGAAATCGAAAATTGGGCTTACTGCGACGGTGACAATAACAGAGTTTTCAAGTCTGAGCTGGAGAATGGATTAAAACCGGCAGGTATGGTGTTAAGGTTACGTCACCAGTGACATCTGTCTGACGTCATAGTAATATATTTCTCCAACCCCACTTCCTCAACCTTTCTGTTCCGTGATACTCCTCTTTCTCACTTGCCATGATAGGAAGGATGTATTCAGTTTGCGAGCTCCTTTTTCTTCGTTGAAGTCCGCATTGCCATAGTTGTAGTTAATATTGTTGTAATAATGGATTTTAAAAAATACAGGCGTAGTCGTCCAATTAAAATTGTGATTGGCTCATTTCTTACGCTTCCAGGTCGTTCCCAGCTTACCAATGTGGATCCGCCCCAAACCATACCTAAAGGAATGTATGACTGTGGAGACGGATTTTATGACCCTGTGGTACGCACGGTGATAAACTACGACTCTGTTTTCTTACGCAACACGGGTAGGTTGTACAAGTGCCTTAATCAATCAATCACTTCACCTGATGGACAAGGCATTTTATTTAAACCTTTGAACAAATGCACCCTGTACTTCATGCTTTTTAACACGCATGCACCATTTTGTTTAATTCACAGATGAAAAAGAGCATCAATGGATTATAAACCGGTGCAGGAAGGCCTGGGACGAGCCAGTCGGCACTAGAAAGCTCCACTAGGTTAAGCAACTGATCTCTGTTGTGGCATATATTGGATAATTTTGATACAATCAAATAAAAAATGTTCAACCGTGAATAGTTTTTAATTGGTATTGATATACTGATGCTATACACAAACACACCATCTCTGAGGTTTAACCCTTTAACTCCTTCAAGTGACCAGCATCTAATTTCTCCTTACAATATCACCCCCAAATCACACATTAAGGTCATGAGAATGAAGAGAATAGTACCAACTAGAGAAGCTCTGGATTATGAAACAAATTTTCCTCATCAGCACCTTAGGGAATGTATGGGGAACAGTATGGAGAATATGCATTCTGATCTTACGGTGAAAAGGGCAAAAGTAAATGAGGTTGTGTGACAAGTTCAGGCTTCAGGAACTGGAGGGGGAGGGGAGGATGAGGGACTTGTTCGCCTAAACTTTATTCCAGTCTTCTGGATGAGTTGTCCAGACAAAGTCACTGAGTATCAATAAATATTTACAAGTGAAACTAGAGTGAAACATAACCAATAGGCTGTTTTGCATAAAATCTATATTTTATGTAATTCTCTCTATCAGAACCCACCTGCCATACATGATACAATGATTTTGAATCCCTTTTTTTACATGACTAATAAAAATACTTCACATCATTTTGTAGCAAGTTGCAACCCAATAGAATATTGTCAAAGATCAAAATTTAGCTACACACAATTAAACCACTAAATCCCCTTCCAAAAATATCCTATCCAAAATTACATAAATTTATGCTTTCAGCTAGCTACTATTTACTATCATAAACAGCCACACTGTGATATGAGAATTTTCTGCAAATAGAAAACTTTGACTGACACACAACATGAATTTTTAATCAACACCCAATTGCAATTTTTGTAAATTTCCATAAAATATAGGAATTTCATTTTATTGAAGTCACAGTTCTCACTCAACAAATATTCAGTCTCAGATAAAAAAAAACATTCATTTTCCTGAGACCCAAACAATTTTCTTTAATGTTAATGTATTTCAAACCTCACAAACCAATATTTTAAAAACGTAATTAATTCACCCTTGGTGTCCAGATCCTGTACCTCCCACTACGTCAACAATAATGATTCTTATGACATAAAAATTGTTGCTTTGGCTCAGATTTGAAGCCCATGGGAAGTTTGAAGGTAACAAAAGATGTAAAAGCATTTCTCATAGCACGGCTGAGAGTAACTGCAGCTCCTCAGTTAAGTGCTCTCCAAACTTCCCAATTGCTACACACAGTAATTTGATGAACACATGGAAGACAAATGAAACAATATTGTTTCATAACATTTCAATTGCATAGTTAATTAAAAAAATGTGTGTTAACTTTGGACAGAGAAACTCCCTCCATAACACTTCATTGCAGACACATGCCATCAGTGTACACATGGAATTATGAGGCAAGAACATGCTATTGACAAAATTACAAATTATACAAATTTCCTAACTATGATATAAAGTGCTTTTGACTTTATAAGTTATTCAGCCTCTACTCCTCATTGAAAATTACAACAATAGTAATGTAGAATTCACTCCACAAAAGATCTATTCATTATTATTATTATATTAATAATATTATTTGTAAATTATTTGGGGATCAATGTCAAAATCTGATTAACTGAATAACTACCCCTCCCCTAACCCACTTTTACCTTAACTTTTTATCAGTTGACTGTTCTTGGGTTATAAGGGAGGAGGGAGTAGGGTTGCAGTTGCCCAGATACTGACATCGATCCATTTACATTGTTTTTCCACACCATCATCACCATCATCATTTAAAAAAAAATCAAATCCAAAGCTGCTTCTAACAGCTATACAACAATACAGAAACAATAACAGACACAGCCCCCAAGATAAACAACACACCTGGAATAAAATAAAACACATACACAGAGACTAAACTTGAAAGAACTATGGCACAAGAAGTGGCAAATCCTTTTGTTATACACGATGCATATTTCAAAATCAGAGAGACAATAATTCCACCAGCTGATGCAAACAAGATCACCAGACAAACAATAATGTCATACCCATGAAAGAAGCCCATTCTAGCTATTTCTACTCCATCTTGGTACGCCACTCCTAAAAAGCTTAGAAAGATTCCAAAAGTGTACAGTTGTGCATTTGAGATCCAAAACAGCTTTCTTTTTCCAGTTTTGAAGATTTTCTCCATGTAAACACCGGCAAATCCAGAAACCATAGAAGCTGCAAGAACAGAAGTAAATCCAAGAAAAGCTGATTGTTGGCTCTTTACAGAACTAGTTGTGGACATTTCAGTTTCCACTGATGTGTGGGTGTCAATCTGAACCATTGTTACTCCAATAGCTAAGAGGACAAGTGAAATCCATTTTATTTTTGTAAGTTGTTTGTTGAGTAGGAGAATGGAGAATACAGCTGTGGTAAGGATTTTTAGCTGATTAGTAATCTGAAAGAAAGAATGAAGAAAACACAGATCAGATTCCATAAATAATTGTAATTGAACCAAGAGGTCGAAGTATAGTTTGAGCTGAAATCACGCCTTTGAAAGGGTTAACCCTTTAACCATCTAACTCCCATGGGTGACCAAGACAGAATTTCTCCTTACAGTATCAATAAAATATCAAGCAGACAAGTAATGAGAATAAAGAAAAATATTAATTAGGGGATTATTAGTTGATCCAATACCGTGACTACATTCTCAAAACTAACATCATAAGAGTTGTATGGCAGACAGTAAGGAGAATTGTCAACAAGATCTTAGGAGTGAAAGGGTTAACTCTCAAGATCTCATTGTTAATTCTCTCCTCTAGCTGCTACACATTTCCTTTTACTTAGCTGGTAGAATTTGGTGTTAGATCACGATAACAACTTCTACCAGATAAGTTTGAGTATTCTCATACTTGTCTGCTGGATAATGCATTGATATTATAGAGAGACTAGTAACATAGAGAAGGATGTTTTTTTTTGTATTTTCATGAGCATGGGAGAAAGAAAAAATTGTGAGTCACCATGAGGAATTGAACCTCAAACCTTTGGATTCCACACTCCAATGCTCTACCACTGAGCCACAGAGACTCCATGGTGAGCGAGGTCCATCATGAAGTTCATATGACATACCTTCTGCATACTGCTAGGATCAACAAAGTCAAAAGCGTAATGTAGAAATAGAAATAAGAGAGATGGTTAGTTTTGAGCTTGGTAAAGAAATAGAGAAGGATGTTTTTTTTTTGTCTAGTAACATGTTGATAATTCCTGGGAGTTGAAGAGTTCAAAAATGTCAATTGCCTTCTACCATACCATTTAACCCTTTCACTCCCAAGATCCAATTAGTAATTCTCCTTACTATCTGCCATACAATTCTTATGATGTTAGTTCAGAGAATTTGGTATTGGATCAACTAATAATCCCATGATTGATATTCTTCTCTATTCTCATCACCTGCCTGCTTGATATTGTATTGATATTGTAAGGAGAAATTCTGTATTGGTCACTGGTGGGAGAGAAAGGGTTAAAGCTGCCAATTTGGCAATATATCTGCAAAGTTTAAAAACAGACTTTTAAAATAGCAAAAAAGAATTGTCCACATTACCTGAAATGTTGTTGATTCCAAATGTGTCATTGCAATATAAACAAGATTGTTTTGTACGACATACAATAAAGATGGCACAGACAGACGAAATGTAGCCTTGCGATCCACAAACAAGTTGTCAATGAGATATGAAGTAAATGCTTTTACATTTCCACACTGAAAAAAGATCACCACTAACGTTGTGAAAAGTTTCACAACTTCTGCGAGAAAGACTGCCGTAGAAGTAAAGTACATTTCGTTTGATCTTGTCCTAGAGTAGCGAAGCAAAGAGAAATAGCAAGTAGCTTGGAGTGTTAAGACGACAAAGATGAGGACCCGAAACAGTGTGGATGATGTAAATGGCACAGTATCTGAAACACAAGTAAAAATAAACAGTTTTAATCATTCAAGTGCAATTCATGAAACTGAGAAAAAAATTGCTTATACTAAAGGAATGCTATGGTGATCCAAACAATTTTAACATTTTCACTCCCAGAACTTATCTACAGGTAATTTTTCCCTACAATTCCAATATGATCTTTTATAGCAGGTTATAAAAACACACAATAAGCCTGTTGGTAAGTTGGTGTTATCCTGATATAAGACCATATTCTCTTCTAGTTTATAAGGAAATGTAGGGGCATTAGAAGGGAGAAGTACTCTGTAGATCATGGAAATTAAAGGGTTTAAAAAACCTTGAACTCCCATGATCTGACTTCAATCCTGCTGGTAACCACATACAAAAGTAAACAAAAATGATCTGAATTCTTTTTTTTGACATATTTTAGTTTGAAAAAAAAAACCTTGTTGAAGTAGCTACAAGTTATCACAGTTTGTAAAACTAGAAGAATCAGGCCAAAAATTTTCAATTTCATCACACACACCATCCATGGTTATATTTAAGTCTTCAAAAAATTTCTAATTAGTTTCAAGCCATAGGGCTGAAAAGTTGACGCTCATCAAGAATCAAAAGAGTCCAATAAAAATCTTAGAACACAAAACTTTTAACGCACACCCCAAACCCAAACTAATGTCACAGAAATTTGACAAAATATTTCCCAAATAGGAAATGTTTTTACAACCCAATTGTTACCTGCCGCGACAGACCACAAACGTAATTAGGGCGGAGTAAGTGAAGGAGACTGTGCTGTTTATGTCTGGAGGTTCGAGTTTTATTTTAGAAAGAACGAACCTTGGAAAGATTTCCGTATAACCTCATATTATTCTTGATAAAAAGCCTTAGTCTCTGTAAGCTGGCATCTTAGATTGACTTTACTAGCGTTTTCTTTATCCAAGATATTTTATCATTAAGAAGACAGATAGGGAAGTATGAGGCCGTGCAGAAATCTTGCCCGGTCGAACCTTCAATTTTCTCGAGGTAACTCAATTAGAACTATCGATTACGGTTTAATTGAGGAAGGCCTCAATGACGGAAAAATTTATGTCAAGAGATAATGCAAGCACATTAAAACATCGATCAGCCGTAACATTTGCAGATATATCAGCTACAGCTTTCTTTGAGGAAAACGAAATAAAATCTCTTCTTCTAGAATGAGGAACATAACTGAAAAAAAAAACAAACCTTTATCTTTTTCGTAGGCATGTTTTCGTGGCATTTGAACCGAAGACGAGACCTTTTCATGACAGGGGATGAATCCTTGCTGAACAACTGTGGGTTCCCACTTCCGGTTGCTCTTACCGTTGACTGATAACGTAGTAATACCGGGTACTGGTCGATTACTCATGTCTACACTTGACAGATTTAACGAGCTACTACAACAAGCCCGTAGTTTAATATGATATCGAGATGGTTTCCTTTGCTTAGCTCAATATTTGTGTAAATATTGCCATCGTGTTAGTTCATCTGCAAAATTTGAACCAATGAGCCTTCTAATTACGAATTTACGTCCAGCGGTATCTTGTGAAGGTTATACATTTATATCCCAGCATGACCTGCTGTAGTTTGTCTTAAAAATGGCGGCCGGTGAGTGAGTGATTCTTTGTATTCATTGAATCTTGAGATTTCTCCAGGTTTCATTGTTATCCAATGGTGTTTCGAAAGTTTTTGTAACATTTATTATTCTTTTACGTCTCTTTTTTAAAATTTTATCCGGGAGAATCGCTGTATTATTGTAGTGACATTATGGTCTACGTAAGCGATCGCGATCGACAGGTCTGAAAAGCCAAACATTGCTATCTTGTTATGATTTTTGTCGATAAAACGAGACCTGTCTCTAATTCACGTTTAAAAGTGAGTAAAAAAAACTGGTTACTTTGGTATTCCAAAAGAAAATTGATCAAACTTGCAGAATAAAGCTCCAGTTTTTTTTTTCGTGAATCACAACAATTCCCCATTGTTAACTCGTTCTTCAAAGCATACTCACTAAGTAGACTTCCGGTGCCATGTGCTGTTTTATTAATTTGGAAAATTAACATTTTATATATCAAACTAACTAGGTTCTTTCACTTTTGTAAGAGAGTTGGCCAGCCACAGTGGCAGTCGCTGCTATTTTGATCATGAAAAAAATATTTGGTAAAATACTACATTACGCATTCAGTTCTTGGATAGAGAAAACAATAACAAAAATAATACATTGCCATTAAGAAAAGAGATTTGTTTTACAATAGTATGGGGCTGTGCGCAAATTTTGCCAATAATTTTTGATAACCAGATGACCTTTGCGGATTGATATGTTATGAAATTTGGTGTTCAATCCTTTGATTATAGAGTTAAAATATGGATTTTCTGCACTGTGTACCAAATATTTTTTTAACCCTTGCTTTTGAGAATTAGGAGTTCAACAAATTATATCCTCTTGATTTTTTTACCTTGTCGTCATGTCTCAACTTGAAAGTGTTCAGATATTCTTGGGAGAGCTTCCTTTTTGGTTACTCCTTGGAGTGAGAGAGTTAACAAACCACTGACATGCTAACTTACATTTTAGAAGGGATATTGAGGAATCCAAACTCTTTTGTCAAATTGTAGAGCACAGACATCCTTATGTTATGATTTGATCTCTGTACAGTTCAGTTCTTAGAATTTAGCCAGTAATGCTGCCCTTAGGACCCAAGGGTACAAAAAAAATTTTTTTTTTTTTACTTTTAATGGCACTAACCCATCCACTGGTATTTAGAGGGAGTCATTAGTAAGAGTTTATCAATTTCTCTCTTCACTTTTGCTCCAACAAAAGGCTAATGCTCGAAACATCAGCTTTGAAACTCTTTACAATGGTCAATTTACATTATCAACTCAGTCACCCCCGCTGATGCAGCACCACAGTTTCTTTAGAAACTTACCCCCTTTATTTATTTAATGCTTTGGTTGTGTTGCTCTTAAACAGGCAGCCAGTGGGGTATCAAAGCATGGAGTCTTATAATCCTGACAGTTCAAAATGCTTCTCTCATATTAACTATGAGATACACACGGACACTGCCTGGTGACATGTACTTTTCCAGTACAGCAGTGATGATAACAGAGGTTGTAAAAGTAGTTACAACAATGCTGATTCTGCTGGCAGAAAAACGTAGCATAGTTGAGTGGATAAAGTATTTATATTCTGTTACTGTTGGTCATCCTTGGGATATGGCAAAGATGCTTGTGCCCGCTTGCATTTACACTGTTCAGAATAATCTACTGTATTTGGCAGTTTCCAACCTAGATGCTGCAACATATCAGGTACTTAGTATTACAACATGTGAAGTTTCTCAGTGGTCACATTTGTTTAAAAAATAAGTTTGAAGAAAAGGCCTTGCCTGTGTTAGAAGGTTGCCTACCATACAGATTACTGGTACACATCTATGAAGAAAAAAGCTCATGGAAGACTCAGGTTTCCTTTCTATGGTAAAATTCATCTTGGGTTCATGAAGATTCCCCCATTTTTTTTTTTTTTTGTGCTTTTGTTTTTCATGAAATCCAGAAAAAAGATTATAAATCCAAACACTCCTCCCTCCACATTCATTCATTTGATTAGATTGGTTTCTATGGGAAAATATTCAAGGAGTAGCAAGCAATCTTTTTGCTAAAAATGTGATTCATGGCAATGTATAGCAGTAAGTTATTTCATAGAATCTGATTGAATTTCTGGCTCAGTTGTAAAAGTTCCATCAAACTGAATATTTAATTACAAAAATCCTGGATTATTAAAATTCAGTTGAAATGTACATGCTATATACAATGTACTTGTCGATCTTTCACCACTTTATTTAGTGTTTCATCACAAAGTTTAATGATGTAAGGGTAGATTTTTTGTTTCTGTTTAGTTAAAAGAAACCCCCTTGATCTTGGATCAGAAATCAAATCTGATTAGTTAAGAAGAACAATTCACATATGTGCTTTCAATCCACCCCACTGCAGGTATCTTATCAGTTGAAGATTTTGACAACAGCACTCTTCTCAATTGCTATGCTGAGTAAACCAATTAATAGGGTTCAGTGGCTGTCTCTGTTTATGCTATTTGTTGGGGTGTCTGTTGTTCAGCTACAGCCTGTTAATGGTCCTGTGACACAAAGCTCGAAGGAAAAGCTCTCGACACAGAACACCTTGTCTAAAACACACAACCCTCTACTGGGGCTTGCCGCAGTTGTAGCTTCTAGTATGTGCTCTGGATTTGCAGGTATGAGGAAATTTTGTAGGAGAAGGATGATGTTAACCCTTTAAACCTTAAAAATAAGTTTTTCATTTTTATTCTCCATATTGTTCTCTTTACATTTTACTATGGTATTGACACGGAGAATTTGTTTGACTATCAGTAGCTCCCTGAATTGAGAATCCTTTCCATTAATCTTGTGACCTTTTTATTTGATTGCTGAGGAATGAATAAGTTGTTTTAAATTAACTTTAGAATAGATATAATATTTTGTCATTCACACTCATTCTTTCTTTAGGTGTGTACTTTGAAAAGACCCTCAAGGGAACTGCGACACCTCTGTGGGCCAGGAACTTCCAGTTGGCCATATTTGGTGTCATTATTGGCACCATGGGCATGTATATCAATGATGGGAGTAAGATCAAAGAAAAAGGCATTTTCTTTGGTTACCACAAACTTGTCTGGCTAATTATTGCAATGCAGACATTTGGAGGTCTTTTAGTTGGCATTGTAGTTAAGTATGCTGATAACATTCTAAAAGGCTTTGCGGCAGCTGTATCAATTGTCGTTTCTTGTATTGTATCAGTTTATTTATTCCAGTTTAATCTCAGTTTGCCTTTTGTATCTGGGGCTGGTTTAGTTATGCTTGCTACATACTTGTATGGAATAGGACAGAAATTGGCTGTTCAAAAGAATGCCACAAATGGCTCTAAAGATCCTATTAAAACTGAATAATTTATGGTATCAGATTATGATAAGTGTAGTAGAAATTTTGTGGAAAATGCCACTACAGGTTATTTCTCCATTATTTAATGTAAATTTCTCTAAAATTTATTGAAATCTGTTTACTTTCCTTCCATGAAATTGGTTTTTATTGAGCTGAATCATTTTGGCAATTGTGATGTCTTGTTTACTTTTGAATTTTTCTCTCCCTGATGTGCTACATCAGAAAAACCAGTTGATATTGAACATACACAGTGCTCCAAGTTGCAACCATTTTGGTCACCACAGGGAGTTTAAAAAAGATATTTGGTAACCAAAATTTCAACTTAAGTTGCTAATTGGCCACCAACAGATTTGGAAAAAAAAAAGAAAAGTGTGTAAAACATGGTCAAATTATCAAATTGAGGGGGTCAAAACTCTTTTTATGGCAACCATTTTAGAATTGAAAGTGGCCAATAGGTGACTTTTTAGAAAATTGAACTTGGAGCCCTGATACATGTAAGCAAGTGTATGAATTTTCATGCTGATATAGTCTTAAGAATACAGTTAGTTTGCCAGAACTTTAATTACAAATAGGAACAAAAGTAGTAAGAGTAATACTGGTTTGCCTTCTTTTCTGATCAAGTAGCTTTATTGTCAGAGTAAAAGAAAAAATTTGCCGAGACAGCAGAGCATAGCTAACTCTAAAGGCAATTAAAGAACATCACAAAGTTTGTATATTTGCCTTTAATAAAAAAAAACAATGATTACAATCTTACAGGAGGATGTTGGGAATTTGGTAAATTACACAACAACAGGAACACTTAAAGAGCAGTCTTCAGATTTCCTTTAATAATAACATGACAGACCTTTGAAACATGCAAAAATATTGTTTTTTCAGAGTTCAAGAAACTGTATATGCACAAAAGAAAGTCTGAATTATTTGTAATTTTAGGCAATGTTAACCAAAAATGAACAGTGGTGTTGACAGAAAAGAACTTCTTTTTAACATCTTTACAAAGCACACAACGAGAAAAACAAATCAAGTTTTCCTCTTCCAGAAAGAAACAGAGAAATGGAAAGCAAGACTTAAGTACAATGTTGTAATGTTGAACATTTTCCAGAAGTATTTTTTGAAAAAAAAAAGTTTTTGTTAATTCCTGTAAGTGAGATGACATCTTCATAACATATTCAGACACTGCAAAAAAAGAATTAAGAAATAGTAATTATGTTAACACAGACATAAATAATGGACTTACATATAGACTGCTTTTAAATCATTTTTTTGAAAATTGCATTTCACCAATAGGGGCAACAAACAGCAAATTCTCTGAAGAAGGACATAGACACCCTCTGTCCCTGCTGAATTAGTAAGTCTCTCTTCAATGTACCGATTTACAAAAACATTTGACAGACAGAATTTTCATGATGTACAATAAGCTAAGTTTAATAATAATTAATAGTTTAATACTGAATTCTCTAGATAATTACAAAGACACCTTGCAGTTGGACTTAGTTACATTGTGTTTAACTCTTGATCATTCGCAGTGTTTGAGCAATAAAACTTGGCAGACCTAAGCCAATTGGTGGTCTTTGCTATAAAACATATTGCTTGCTTGCAGAGTGATGTAAACCGCATTAACACATTCCATGTAGGCTTGGACTATTGCATTAAGAGGTCAACTAATTAGTAGTGACAGCACATGCAGGCATCCCACGGTGTATACCAACTTACCTCAACAGCTTTAATAACTGAATGGTTAGCTTATTCAAAAATGATCAAATAAAAGAATGACCAACTTGGAAGGCTCATTTCCGGGAGGTGTGTCTTTCAGTTGATTGACAGGAGTAAACTTAATCCATTTGAAATACAACAAAAACCCACATCTGGCTTATAATTCGAGAGATATTTATCACTGAGCACAAAACCAAACTATAGACATTTTTATCTCCACTGCATACCAAACATTTCGAAACTGTATTCTGCAATCCATGTATCATCTTATGTTTTGAGTTTTCTGACCACAGTAGTGCTTATTAGGTAACACCAGTACTGCTGTTCTATCAATTGAAATTGTTCTAAAAAATGTTAAATTGTGAAAAAATCTTAATGCCCCTTCCCATTCTTAGTATGAAAGCCTTGAAAAAAAAATTATTGAATAATAACAGTCACCTGGCCAGCCCATCTCTGTCTTGACCATCACTAGCTTTGACACCAGATATTTCCGACTGCCCTCCATCTGTTTTAATCAGGTCGTCAAGAATCTCGGAGTAGGTGTAACTCCTTTTTCTGGCAAGAGGCACTTGCGCGCCAAGCATCTGTTTGACAACGGGAAACACATCATCACAACGGTTAGTACATAGAATAAAGAGTGATCTTACATCAAATGTAGCTCTGATTGTGAATTGGTTTCATTTTCTTTCGATTTGCTTGTCTGTTTGGCTTGCAGATAAAATAAACTATTTTTTTTTGTTCTATATAGTAACGTTCACATATACGTAAACTAAGTTGCGCGCAATTACCTGCCTGACAGTGTTTTATACTATAAGGGAAATATGTATAAAATGAAAAGTCCTTACCTCCTGAGCAACGGCTAGTGGTACTCTAAACCTCTTCTCACTGTCCACAATCACCTTCTTGCCAACTTCGATTTCCTCTGAGAATGATGGCCTTCTTTTTCCAGCCAGCTGATCCTTAATCAAGCGGCTCTTATTCTTTGATCGTTCCAGGCTCTCTTGTTGACTCTTATCAGGGACAATTATCGATCGAGCAGTTTCAAGCTGTTGTGTAAGGGACATTCTTCGTCTGTTGTCAACTTCAGAAGTGCAGTGCTTGATAATACGTCGCTTTTGAGATGCCTTCTTCTCTTTTTTCTTGTTCTTTGCATGTGCATCAATGACCACTTTGGCAATTTTTATGCTGTTCGCGAAGGAGTAGTTTTTTCCGGTAGTCTGTTTCTTGATAATCTTTCTCCTCTCTGCATTTCTTCGATCTCTCTTTTTGTCATCAGCGGCAACATCTGCCCATGTCCTCAATGCGATATGGACGGACATGCTTTCCCTTTGAACCTTAGTACCTTCTGAGACAGCAAAAGGCGAAAAATTGATTTCGTAACCCAAAGCTCTCATTTAAGCTCCCAGCTTTCCCTTTTGAGCCCCCATTTGGAAATATAGATATAAAACTTCATATCCCCTCCCATTTCAGGCTAAGTGGGGTGCTTTGGGTATAAAGTTCCCCATTCATGCCACCTGGTTTGTTACATTGGTGAGACTCTATCATTTTCCGAAAATTTTTAGAAGAAAAATTAACTCTGTTAAGTCTCAGGATCGTATAATTATTTTGGGTCTAAAAATGAACTCAACGATGACGATTGATCTTGGTGAATACCTGGCACTTGATAGCTTATTGGTGCTGGGTGGTTGGTTGTCCGCTGAACTGGAGGATTCCATAGATGACCCTTGTCAACTCTGATACTTGTCAGTGCATCTTCCACATATTGTCCTGGCACTTGATAGCTTGTTGGTGCTGGGTGGTTGGTTGTCCGCTGAACTGGAGGATTCCATGGATGACCCTTGTCAACTCTGATACTTGTCAGTGCATCTTCCTCATATTGTCCTCCTCGCTCAAAACGGTCGTTATTCCTAGTGCGCTTGGATAAACGTGCGTAATACTTTCGTACTGGCCTTTGTAGAGAAAGTGATATGAAGAGTTTAATTTGTAATGTCAATTAGCTTAAATGACAATAATGGTAACAGATTGCAAGGTCAGTTTAGGACTGTTGTGACAAGCCCAGATGAGATAAGCATCAAGATTGACATCAATCATGTCCTAAACAAGGGATTATAGGAAGATCAAGATTTACAAGATGTTACTTTTCACTTTTGAGCTGACAATCAAATTGATGTGTTTAGGTTTAGACCGTCAGGCAGGTCTTTGTAACAAACGACTTCATTTGCCTTTATTTTGCAAATTCCTCTTGTTCAAAAAGGTATGCGGTGATGGACAATCTTCACATTCCGGAGGCAACAACAAGAACAGATCAATGACCTATCAATCCATGGCTTAAATCCAGACCTCCTTATCTCGCAGTCCTGCATGCTCACCATTAACCCTTTACACCCTAACATCAGTATGCATATTCTCCATACTGTTCTCTGTGCATTTCCTGAAGTGCTGACAAGGAGAATTTGTTTAAAAATCAAGAGCTTTACAAGGTGATGATAGTTTCCTTCATTCTGGTGACCTCAATGTTTGATTCACGGGTGACAATGTAAGGAGAAATTAGAAGCTGGTCAATCCTAGGGGTTAAAGGGTTAAGCCATTGTGTCTCTCACAATTTGTTTATGGCCAGCGGAGAGAGTTATTCGGCAGATGAGAACTAACATCTTACATTAGCCTGCCAAAATCCTACTAATACCAAACGTTAGCGCAGTAACACTTACATAAAAACATAGCTTACCATGCAAATAGGAGAAAGGCGACAAAAAGTACAATCATTGTGAAGGAAAAGCCAACAACAGCTTCAGCTACAGAAATCCAACTTTTTTCCTCAGGTTTTTTCTCTTCCATCATTTTTGCGTGGCCATCACCATCGTCGACTGAATTCAACTGAATAACTGAATTAAGATTCAAGACTTTACCATTAGGCGATGACAATTTTACTTCGTCCTTTTTCTCATTCCTTAGTGGTGCAGTTGTTTTTCCTTGGGATGGAAATTGTATGATGAATATGGTATCTCCGTCTGCAGATGAACTGAGCGCTGATTTTCCTTTTAGACCTTTTATGGAAAACTGCTTCGGGTTCAAATGCATCTTGTCCTCAGACACACCAGCATACTTTGATGCTGGATCATCAACCGATGACCTAACAGATCTCACTGAGGTTTGTAAATCTGCCTGCTTTTGCAGTTCCTCTTTCATATTTTGAGTTGTACCAAAGCTCCGGTTTGGTTCCTCAGTTCTCGATTCCGGTTCCTTATCTTCAGGATTTCCAGTATCCCTTTTATCAAGCTTTGTCTCAGAATCAAGTCCCGCGTCTTTGAGATTTTCAGAGCTCCATTCTATATTACCTGTTTCTGCTTCAGGCTCCTTAGTTGCGACTAAGCCCCATCTAGAATAAAGTCCCGTATCTTCAGGATCTTCAGTGCTCCATTCTCTGTTTTCTGTTTCAGGCTCCACATTATGAGTTGTGACTGAGCTCCATCCAGAAAGGAGTTCCATATCTTCAGGAACTTCAGAGCCCCATTCTCTGTTTTCTGCTGCAGACTCCTCATCTTGAGTTACGACTGAGCCCCGTCCAGAGAAGAGTTCCGTATCTTCAGGATCTTCATATATCCATTCTCTGTTTTCTGCTGCAGGCTCCTCATCTTGAGTTACGACTGAGCCCCATCCAGAATGGAGTTCCGTATCTTCAGGATCCTCAGAGGTCCATTCTCTGTTTTTTGCTTCAGGCTCCTCATCTTGAGTTGCGACTGAGCCCAATCCAGAGTGAGGTTCCGTATCTTCAGGATCCTCAGAGGTCCATTCTCTGTTTTCTGCTTCAGGCTCCATATCCTGAGCTGCGAATGAGCCCCATCCAGAATGGAGTTCAATATCTTCAGGGTCTTCAGTGCTCCATTCTCTGTTTTCTGCCTCAGGCTCGTCATCTTGAGTTGCGACTGAGCCCCATCCAGAGAGGAGTTCTGTATCTTCAGGATTTTTATAAATCCATTCTCTGTTTTCTGCTTCAGGCTCGTCATCTTGAGTTGCGACTGAGCCCCATCCAGAGAGGAGTTCCGTATCTTCAGGATCCTCAGAGGTCCATTCTCTGTTTTCTGCTGCAGGCTCGTCATCTTGCGTTGCGACTGAGCCCAATCCAGAGTGGGGTTCCGTATCTTCAGGATCCTCAGAGGTCCATTCTCTGTTTTCTGCTTCAGGCTCCATATCCTGAGCTGCGAATGAGCCCCATCCAGAATGGAGTTCAATATCTTCAGGGTCTTCAGTGCTCCATTCTCTGTTTTCTGCTTCAGGCTCGTCATCTTGAGTTGCGACTGAGCCCCATCCAGAGAGGAGTTCCGTATCTTCAGGATCCTCAGAGGTCCATTCTCTGTTTTCTGCCGCAGGCTCGTCATCTTGAGCTGCGACTGAGCCCAATCCAGAGTGGAGTTCCGTATCTTCAGGATTATCAGAGGTCCATTCTCTGTTTTCTGCTTCAGGCTCGTCATCTTGAGTTGCGACTGGGCCCAATCCAGAGTGGGGTTCCGTATCTTCAGGATCCTCAGAGGTCCATCCTCTGTTTTCTGCGTCAGGCTCCAAATCCTGAGTTACGACTGAGCCCCATCCAGAATGAAGTTCCATATCTTCAGGATCTTCAGTGCTCCATTCTCTGTTTTCTGCTGCAGGCTCGTTATCTTGAGTTGCGACTGAGCCCCATCCAGAGAGGAGTTCTGTATCTTCAGGATTCTTATAAATCCATTCTCTGTTTTCTACTTCAGGCTCGTCATCTTGAGTTGCGACTGAGCCCCATCCAGAGTAGAGTTCCATATCTTCAGGGTCCTCAGAGGTCCATTCTCTGTTTTCTGCTGCAGGCTCGTCATCTTGAGTTGCAACTGGGTCCCATCCAGAATGGAGTTCCGTATCTTCAGGATCCTCAGTGCTCCATTCTCTGTTTTCTGCTGCAGGCTCGTCATCTTGAGTTGCGACTGGGCCCCATCCAGAATGGAGTTCCGTATATTCAGGATCTTCATAAATCCATTCTCTGTTTTCTGCCTTAGGCTCCTCATCTTGAGTTGCGACTGAGCCCAATCTTGAGTGGAGTTCCGTATCTTCAGAATCCTCAGAGGTCCATTCTCTTTTTTCTGCTGCAGGCTCGTCATCTTGAGTTGCGACTGGGCCCCATCCAGAATGGAGTTCCGTATATTCAGGATCTTCATAAATCCATTCTCTGTTTTCTGCCTTAGGCTCCTCATCTTGAGTTGTGACTGAGCCCCATCCAGAGTAGAGTTCCGTATCTTCAGGATCCTCAGAGGTCCATTCTCTGTTTTCTGCTGCAGGCTCGTCATCTTGAGTTGCAACTGGGTCCCATCCAGAATGAAGTTCCGTATATTCAGGATCTTCATAAATCCATTCTCTGTTTTCTACCTTAGGCTCGTCATCTTGAGTTGCGACTGAGCCCCATCCAGAGTAGAGTTCCGTATCTTCAGGATCCTCAGAGGTCCATTCTTTGTTTTCTGCTTCAGGCTCCAAATCCCGAGTTGCGACTGAGCCCCATCCAGAATAGAGTTCCATATCTTCAGGATCTTCAGAGCTCCATTCTCTGTTTTCTGCTGCAGGCTCCTCATCTTGACTTGCGTCAAAGCCCCATTCTTTAGAGCTCCGATCTGTGTTACCTGTTTCTGCTTTAAGATCTATATCTTGTATTGCTCCAGGGTCTCTTTCAGAATCGAGTTCCGTACCCTCAAGATCTCCAGAGCTCCATTCTTTGTTGTCTGATTGTGTTTTAGGCTCTGTATTTGTAGTAGCACCAGAGCCCCACTCAGTGAGATCTGATCTTGACCCGTGTTCTTGATCTTGAGGTGTTCTAGTGCCCCCTTTGACCAAATCAGCCCCAGATACAGGCTCTCTAATTAGTTCTTCAGGATCGCGATGAGTGTTGTAGAATACCCCACCTAAATCATCTACACCTCGACTATGTCTGTGTTTGATAGACTCCAAACGTAATGAAGGAGAAATGTGTCCTTCCTTAAGATAGTGTGATGGCAAAGAATTCCCTGAGAAACAAAATAATTGCATTCTTGTTATAGAATAGACGCCAGGATGCTTCATGAACATGATTTTCCTGTGTTCCATTAACTGGTATCAAATGAGCTTTAATTCCAGTAAATAACAATATCGTATCTTTTCTTCTAACTTTGCATCATGATTTAGCGTAAGCAAAAGAATTAAAATACAAAACATTGTTCGAAGTGATGATGGAAAGTCCAAATCTTTCTTCCCGCTAAACGTAACTACAGTGGTAATAGTCTCGCTTGAGACGATTTGTTTCCGAGTTATTTGAAATTCCCTGAAATATTTTGTAAGTTAACTAACTTGTATATAGAAAATCAGTGCAAATGGCTGCGGTTCTTTATCTTTCATAGCAGCTACCGAGAGCCCTGTTTTTTTGTTTTGATTTCATTTTTTTTTTCTGTTAGCCGTTTAGGCTCGGTTTATCCGACTTGCAGCTTCAGCGTTTTTTATTCCAAATCTCTGATGCAAACAAGGCGTCAATCGCCATTTTGTAGAAAGGTTTCAATGTGTGTAGTACACTTGTCAATCTGTCAAACAGACATTTCCGACAAATTGCTTTTTATTAGCACAAGCTGTAATCGTTAACAGTAAACGTGACATAAATTACTGCTTACCTTTGCCAAAGAAGGCAATCGCAAAAGCGAATAAAACAATCCAGACCGCTTTCATCTTATTTTCGTCTGTAAATCATCTCTGCATAAAACTCAAAGATTTTCCAAATGAAAAATGATTTGCTGCGATGATGTGACGTCACAAACGTTAATTATCATAGTCAAACTTAACGAGGATAAAATGATAACTCAAGTCAGTAGTTATCTTCAGTAACAACTGAATTGCGTTAATCACGGTCACGCCCTTTTTATATCTACATACCAATCTGACCCATTGGGCAAAAAAATTAAGATAAAATTTGGTAAAACATAAACTATTGACCAACAAACAGCGCGCGCAGCTAAAGGCCTAATAATAATTTTGTTTAGATCAAATTAGTTGATGATGTAGATTGGCCACCGAGGAGAGTTTCTAGAGCTGACATTTTGGGCGTTAGCCCTACGCCATTCACTCTTACTAAGGGCTAACGCTCGAAACGTTAGCTTCAGAAACCCTCTATGGTACCAGTTTGCTTTAATTGATAAATACGAATTATCTTGTGCAGTCGTATCATGTCAGGTCCGGTTTTTCTTTTCAGTTAATACGACTGACGCATTTTTCATTTTTTATTTTTTTAAAAGAAAAGAAGATGCAGTCACACTAGGGATGAGGAGTTAGTGCTGTTCTGGGAAAAAAATGAATTCTTATCGCCTATGAAAGCTATCGATATAGCTATATATGAAGCCGCTTCTCACACTGCACAACAAAATTAACATCCATTCATGCTTTTATTCAAACTTATCTCACACTCAAAATCATATAGAAAATTAAACTTGTGCTGTGTCAATTCTTCGTTCCTAAAATTATTATGTTTTTAATCGCTTATACGCCGTTTTCTATCCTATCTTTTTTAAGTTTAAAAACAAGTTATCATCTGTAACTGAGATATAGATGTATAGGTAGGTTAGTTAATGGCCTTCTGCTACTGTTACTGCTACTGCCTCTGTTAACACCACTCCTGCAGTATATTGCTTCTTTCATTGCCGCTACTAATTCTACTTCCAGCATTACTGATGATCTTTACATAACAACGATATACTAGGTTTAAGTGAGAGGTGTAATCTCTTAATGACACAAACGTCGGAATGCTTTTGTTCTGCTTGTTACTGACTGATATTAATACTAATACTATTAACTCCGTAAGAGGGCTTGTGAAAAATCTTCGCTTTACTACTGAGTATACAAGTGAAGGACTGCGATCACAGGTAACCCAAGAAGTTATCTCAGGTTTTTTCTCTCCAAGGCAAACTTTTATTTTGAAACCTATTATAAGATATAGCTTGTTCTCAATTCCTCTTAGACATCTCAAAATCCATACCAGCATTCAGTCTCCCCGTAGTGTGTCTTTCTGAAGATGTCTTGGCTTTGCAAAGACATTTTCTGATCACCAATACTGCAATCAAAAGAAGCAGTAATCCTCCACCTGCGGACCCACCAATTATTACATAATTCGGACCTTCCTGAGGAACCGCACCTGCCTCCGTTGGTACGTGCGAAGTAGTCGCTCCTTTGTCCAAAAAGAAAACAAAAAATATTTTTCAAACTTGAACTCGAACGAAAAAGAAATTAACGAATTCCGGTTAATTCCTCTTTTTACTTGTCCGCTTAATGGAGGATTCGGATCTGTTTACGTCAAGCATGCGACGTGCGGGTTTCCATACTACGGTTTATTTTATTCATTAATGAGTTGTTACTACGTTGTCATAACACAAATGATGTTAAAATAGTAAAACACTTTCTGAATTTGTTATAACAATTGGTAACTTACTTGCACTTTTAATGAACATAACGTTTACGTTAACCCTTTCAATCTCTCCATGATATTTCTGTGCGGTTTCTCCAGTACTGATTCAGTTACAGAATCGAATCGGCAAGCGAGTTGACCCCATCTTTAATTTCAGTGATAAATGTAAAATAGTTAATTCTGCTCGTCAGAGAGGTCAAATCGTGGTTTGTGCATCTTGAAAAATTTTCACGTGAATATGTCAAAGGTTTTCGTTTTAAATTGGGTGAATCTTGTCGTTTGTTCATCTTGTTCATCTTCGCTCTATATTCGTTCATCACCCTTGTACGTATTTTGTTCTTTTATTTTCTTTCGTTTGAGGTTTTCATTTAACTATTTAGCCAATAAAAGCGCTTTGATGATGTTCTCGCCATTTACAAATGGAAACAAACTCACCTGTGAAAGTCGTAGTCTCAGGCAAAGTAGATGTACTAGAGGTTTCAGATTTCCTGTTTGTGAAGGGAGTGGTAGATCTAGTCCGGGGCTTCGTCGTCGGAGAGATGCCGATTTCAACTGTCAAACTGGTGTCTGTTATGCATGAAACGTCCCCGTTGTCACTGGCACTAACAGTGAGATGATGAACTTTCTCCATCAAGTTGGACACCACGGTAACCACACCAGTTCTAGGATCAATAGAGAACGCGTCATTTTTGGATAGGCTATAAGTTATGTCACTGTTTACTCCACTGTCCAAGTCAACTGCAGAAACTTTGGTTACGGTTTCTCCGGGAATGAGTGTAGGGAATTCTAGTTTTAGATCTCCTGGTGGCTCGATGAAGGTTGGACAATTGTCATTTTCATCCACAATTGTTATCTGAACAGTAGCCATTCCAGATTTCTGTGGATATCCGTTATCTGCAGCAACCATGGTCACGTTGAATGATTTCATCTCAGTCGTCTCAAAATCCAGTGTCTTTGCACTGTAAATCTTTCCAGATTGTCCCCCAATGGTAAGAATACTTTCTACTCTATCGTCACCAATTATTGCATAAAATATCTGACCATTTCTTCCTGAATCTGTATCATTGGCTTTTACTTGTAAAATAACTGTTCCTACAGGAGAATTTTCCACAATGGCCGCGTTGTAAAATGTTTGAATAAATTTTGGTGGATTAATGTTTGGTTTTGCCTTCTGATCGCAGTATGCACCATCAAAAGCTGGATAACAAGAACAAATGTTGGGTAGGATACAATCTCCTTGACCAGAACAATTTTTTACGGCACTGCAATCAGGAACGCTGCATGCTCGACCCGACCAGGAGGAATTGCAGAGGCAGACGTCGAAGTCGACACATTTTCCATTTCCTGCAGCAAAGAAAAAAGAACATCATTTGTCAGCCTTGTCTTACCGTATTTATTTATTTAAGAAGCTAAAAATAGCTTGGGAACGAAAGATGTCGGGGAGAACCCTAAGATCATTATCATATAGCATTCTGAGCTCCGGTGTCGTTGCGAGAAAAGCACCTCGTGATGAAAGTGCCCAACAATTTCGACCATCCAAAGACATTGACACTCTTGCTAACCATTTTTCACGGATCTTTGTGGGAGGCAAATGATGTGTCATTTTTTGGTAACAAAAACTCGGGAAAAGATTATTGACGAAACAATTTTAAATTTCAAAACGATGTACTTACCGGAGCAATAGTTGACAGCCTCACAAGAAAAGTTACTGCAGTCAGTTCCAATGTATCCCAAGTCACATTTGCAGAACTCGGCTTCTACGCACGCACCATGGGCAGAACAATTATTTACGGTTGTGCAAGTGGGCTGACTGCAGTTATCTCCAGTAAAACCAAGATAACAACTGCAAGACACATTCAGCATCTCGGTAGAAACGCAAACGCCTTGGCCACTGCAGTTTGCGAGATGGCTACAGTCCGCCAACTGACCGCAATCCGCTCCAATAAAACCCGGAAGACAGCGACACTTGTCGCTGGAAATGCACTCTCCTTTTTTGGAACATTGATTGACAGCTTCACAATCAGGAAGGGCGCAGCTTACCCCGGTCCAGCCATAATCACAGGCGCATTTGTCAAAAGCCACGCAGCTACCGTGCTCTTGAAAACAGCAGGGGGAGAGAAATGGACAGAGGTAGAGTTAAACCAGAGATAAATAAAACAGGAAAAAACTGAAAGATGAAGAAAGAAAGAAAGAGGGGAGGAGTGAAGAAGGAAAGAAGGAAAATATACATCTTTTCATTTATTTGAAGAATATTTTGCCCGAGATAACTTACCTGAGCAATAATCCAATTGTTCACACGAGTACTGGGTGCAGTTGCCTCCAGTCCATCCTGTATTACATTTGCACACATCGAAATCCACACAGATTCCATTGCCAGTGCAATTCGATACATTGTAACAAGTAGGAACAATGCTGCAGTTAGCACCTGTGGATACGAGGAATGTACCTATTTTTAGAACAAATATTATTGCAAGCAGTATAATAAGCTGAGTGCGTCTTCATAAGCGCAAGGCGGCTGAGACGTGATAATTTTAGATGAAAATCACTGCTGAGAATAACTGAAAGTAACAATAGACGGAAAAAATTGATAGAGTACTTCGTTATTCGAAGTTGCTTATTGAATATCAAAGCAAACTACTAGTCTACTTATCAACTTATACAGCCAGAATTTTTCACATAAATTTCGTCGCCAACTTTTCCTTTGAACAATTCATTTGTGGCTGTTTTCCAGCCCCCGGTAAGCCAATCCAGGCTTTCAGTGTGCAGGAGCGGGCCGAAAGTGGGGCGAGCGAGAGAAAAGAAAGGCGAGGGTAGGGCGCCGAAGAAAGGGAAGGAAATATTTTTTTTTGTCACTCCTCCCTAGACCCCCACCGATTTTTCCCGCCTTCTCTTTCGTTCATCTCCGCTGACCGATAACATACAATAGCACTGGTTACCATTAATCTATAATTTTTTCTTAAAAGTAATCTAGTATGCATTTATAATAACAACAACAACAAACAGCCACACAAAGCTTCAGATAACTGACCTATGTAGCCAGGATTACACTGGCAAATGTCCGTTGTTTTACAACTGCCGTGTTTAGGGCTTGTACAGTTATTAACCTCTAAGCAAGTGGCTGTAAATAACAATAATTTCAATACATTAGTATCTTAAGGTGACATAAAGGCATGAGGTGAACAAGTCATAACACGTTTTCATATAACTTGTCACCCATAACGCAAGAACAGAGTAAATCCACATGTGAGAGAAAACTTCTGAGCTAATCCTGCGATACTGAAAAAATAGCGTTTTGCAAAAAGAGCACGAGTTACTCGACATTTTGTATGTTTGTTTGATTGTTTTGACTAGTTTGTGTTTTTTTGGCTTGCTTTTTTTGTTGTTTTTCCCCCTTTTTCTTTTGTTTTCAACGGTCGTTACTTTGGCATCTGAAGCCCGCGCTCAACTTCCAGAAGCAGGTGAAAACGACAGCGGCCATCTTTCAGTCCTTTTAAACACAATGTTGGTTGAAAAACTGAATCAAGAAAATCTAACCAGCATAACTAACCATTAACCAGTTTGATCTCAATAACATGCGACATTGGTTGCTTGATTCATTTAGATAGTCTTAGGAAACGTGAAGTAAGCAGCTACACAGAGTTGCCTGTTTTTTTTATTAGGACTCAATAAATAAACACGGTTTAAAGCAGATGAACGGCAACAGTTTTTGTTTATTCTGATTACAACCTTCAAGTTCACAGCTTCGTCCTTCCCAGCCCAGGTCACAGACGCAAAATCCTTTAACGCACTTGCCATGGATTGTTGAACAGTTAAGACAGGAGCCTGGAGAAAGAGACAAATACGATGATAAAGTTAGCGATGAATTTGTGCACGAATTTAAAAGCGTTTACGTGTTACGATGTTTATGTGAATACATCAGTTTGATACCTTAACGAAATAACCTAATTGTTCTATGTTAAATTCAGATAAAGAGTCTCACTGCTTTTTCCCCCCGCCAAAAAATAAGAACAAGAACAAAAAGTAAAAAATTAACTTAATTAACCAACTCACCAACGAAAAAGAAAACAAACAAACACACCCACCGAAAAACAAACGAAAACAAAGCAATGGAGAACCTTCGAGTTGAATGAATTTTTTCACACGCAATGCGGAAAGACAATTTCTTTAAGAGAGAATTCGAACGGAATAGGTCCACCTGTTCACCCTGTCTACAAGCTTTAAGGAAATCGATCAATACCTTTATCACAACTCTTCCCTGTCCAACCCTCGATACATTTACATGTTCCATTAACACATCTCCCTTTGCCTGAGCATTGGTCTGGACAGTCTGAAATGAAATGAAGGATTTTCGACAGGGTTATTGCGAACACCACAGAACTGAAAAACAGTTGAATTCAACATCATCTCTGGATAATCAGATTTAACCAAGCCAGCAGTTAATGGTTCCACCTTTCATAATTTTTCTTGTTACCTACTTATTGCAAACTCTCACACTTTCAGAATATTTTATGAAATGCAACTTTCTATCGACGACAATATCCTTAAACATTCTAGTCATCGTAAGTTTCATCTGAATGATGTTGATTTCTTATGATAAGAAGTAACCAATAAATTGAAAACCCGTATGTCCTCCTCACTCTAAAGAGAAACGACCTTTTTTCTTTAAATTTGCGACATCTCCTTACAAAGTGCTATTATAGAAGTTACAAAAGCTTACCTCGTTTAAAGGTTTCCTGATCAGTAAATGTCGTGTCATTGGTCATGGCGACATCGAATATGCAGCTTTGTAGATCGTTGTCAGAAATATTCAATGATTTACACATGCTTGTCGCAATCTACGTTGAAGGCAAAAAATTTGTTTACACAAAAGATTGCTAACATATCCTTTCTGAAATTAAAAAGTTCATCTAAAGCACCTTAGATTCTCAAACTAGCCCCTGAAGCGCTTGGTTAAAATTTAGGTGACACTCATGTCTAAAAGAGACCCTCACTTCATTCCCTTTAAATCATTAAATCTTTAAGCCAGATGTGATGGTTTTTCTTTCTTTCCTTTTTTGTTTTGTGCTGTGGTTTTGTTTTTTTGCTTTTTTTCTTTTAATATGCCTGCTTAGCAACAACGATGGCACCCGACAGGGCTGGTCAAAGAACTAGGTTAATTTTTTTATTTTTGCAGCGATCGAGTTTCCCCTTTTTGGCAATGACAAAAGAACCGTGTGTAGTCCAATTTTATCTGCCGTGATACGGGTGAGAAATAAGCCATTGACGCGTTCTGTCCATTCACTCAGTATTGAGGCATAAACTACCCAGTTACACTGTCCAATTGCAAGCAATGTGAAAGTACTATTCTATAAGTGCTCAAATCTGGCTGCTAAAAACCAATCACATGATTTATATGTACAATTAATTCGTGACCTGTATTAGCGGCTGGGAAATTCCGTCCAGTGAATACTTAGGAATGTATGACGGATCTGTATACGTTATATCCATTATGTCATCGTGATAAAAGTTTGATGAGTTCCATGACCAAGAGTCCCGTGTGCCCGAGCCATCGTGACAACCTGTGATCCTCCCTATAGAATAAAAAGAACGCACAGATCAGTATGTAGGCTGGCATGGTTCTACATTTCACGCACTGCTTATCAATCACGTTTTCATGGGGTTATCGCTTTCTTTTGTCAACCCAAGACTACCCTATTTATCGCATTGAAGAGATCTGAGAAAGGTCAGAAAGCGCAGATACCTTTACTTACTACTTTTACATGTCTCTGCCAAAATTCGTCGTCCCTATCTATCCCCTTTTGGCTCATCCTTATCACGTAAAAGTTTTTGAGTCCATCTTCATCTACAGACTCCCTCAGTTACTAGCGACACTTTGATTGCTTAAATACGTGGTTGCAATCTGCGACTGATTCTATTGCTAAAATCTCCCTTTCTCTGCCAAAAACTATACTCAACTTTGATATGAAAATTAGACTTTATTCTTTTGTTTCTTTTAGTTTTTATTAGAAAGATCCAACGGCCGGTAAAATGACAGCATTTCGCCTTCAGCTCTCGTAAGTTTCCAGCAGTTGTCCCACTTGACCGGGAACGTCTCTCAAACCCCCGAATGCACAGTAGAGATATGACGAATATCCTACTAACAAAGCCTTTTTTGTCTGTACTGCAGGTTAAAGATACTAATAATTTTCCCCACCATTCTGTAACCTACTGCACAGACTTACGGGACGAGGCTAGTAAGATGTATGTAATCCAAGGGTCCTTTAAATTGTCTTAGGGTTAGGCTAAAAATCCTGTGGCAACATCTAGATCAAACTATGTAATTAGCTTTCCTTACATGATTCGGCAAATTTAACAGCGTTATCGTAAAGCGTTCCGTCGGGCCCTGTAAAGTCGTTGGTTGCATTGTTGTCCATGAGGCCACACAGTCCTTCAGTGTGACCTTTGTAAGCAGCCGTTGGCGAATAAAGAATATTCAAATACTGTCTCTTCATCACCCGACTATGACGGACGTCGATGGTTACTGTTACACCTGTAAACAGTAGATAATTTAAGTTAGACCTCCGAGGGCATCTCTAGGGATCTTAAGCAGTCAGGACGGCAACGCCAGGGAAGACTTTGATTAAAAAATGAATTTGTGCCTTTAGTTAGAATTTCAAAAATGGTTGCATGTCTTTACCGTCTCATACGGCGCCACAGCTCAACTTCAGCATAACGTATCGAAAGAAGCGTTGAGTTTCATATTCAAATTAAAATAATTTGCCGTCGCGGTTTCGGTTCGCAGACAATGCAAACTGTGGTGATTTCACGTAGTTGTTTTGCATAGAACGGCTAAGAAATGTACAGAGTTTTAAAATCCACGCGCTGAGCTATTGTTCTGCCTGTTCTTTTGTTTTTCCATGTCCTCGTTGCCGTTGCCGTCGTGGTTTGCTTAAGTTCCCTTCTAACTTCCGCCTGTAGAGTCACATATGTTTGGGCGATAACCGACCGTTTCACCGAGGCGCCGTTTCGCCAACGTCCAGTGCGTTAATTCTTAGTTCGTTTCGCTAACAGCTACTTCGTCATCGTCCAATATGTCGTTTTGTTTCCTTTTTCGGTTTGTAAATCTCATGGGTTGAAGCCTTATGAAGTGATTAAGTTACCGCACTAGCTCCAAGAATTTTCTTAGGTTTTAATTTGCGGTTTTCTTTCCTTCACAAGTAACAAAGAAAACAAACAAGGTTACAAACAACATGTAAACAAAAACAAAAACGCTCTAAAAGGTGGCCGAACACAGAGGAATTATATCATTGCGTGCATAACTTACATAATATATTTCGGCGCGTTCGCGGGAAAATGTAAGAAACATCTGTATGGAACTAAAAGGATGGTTTGATGAAAGAAAAAAGTAAGGCTCGCCAGCATTCTTACCTTATGATCTCACGGATGAGCAGAAATGGAAATAACGTATCATTTTAAGACTTGCCTGCATCATACTGAAGTGAAATCAAAACGACGCTGTTCTCCTCAGCCTCAAACGAAAAACGTCTTTGATGATCCAATAACACTGTACCATTGCTTATTTCAATTGGTTCTGAAAAATTACTGGTGGCATTCATTTCCACTCCATCGATTCTGTGGAGAAATCAAGGTCAGTCGCAGCAAGTACTTGAATTACACTGAATCGACCAAGGAGAAATGGATGTCCTTATTAGAAACAGTGAGTTAACATCGTAAATTGTATTGGAATAAATAAGTACCTTGAAGAACCAGATCGAACCAGACATTACGTTGTTCTCAACCGACGCAATCGAAAACTTAAAGAAATGGCCTAAGAATTCTGATAAATGACAAGTATATTTCGCTTATTCAGCCTCCACAGTAAGACAATCAAACTGCTTGCCTCGGCATTTGAAATTTCTCCGACATCTTAAAACAAGAATGTTGTAAAGAAGGAGCATACAGATTGTACCGTTGAGCATCTAGGTCAACAGCTTTTGGAAGATACCCAGTCCTCCTGATTTTAGCCTCAGTTATAAGTAAACAGTTTTTAAGTGGATCAAAATGCATAAAACAAACCTGGTAATGGGCAGGTCTTGAGCGTTTTCAGTTTTGATCGCCATAATCGTTACAACGGTTCTCCCAGCTTTAAGCGCAATTCCGCCAATTAACGAGGCTCGCTCGTAGTAATAAAAACGAAATTGAAAACCAAAATCGTTTTTAACACTTTTACAACCCCAGAACTCTCCAATGCCAAAAAAGTCGAAGTCTACACCTGAAAATGAAAGAAAATAGTGAAATTACAGTCATCATGCAGCAAAATATCTATGCTCATAGACCATATTTTCAAATCACTGAAAGTTGTTTCTTCCTTTGGTTGATAAAAAAAGGAGCAAATAAAAGTACTCGCGCAGATGGTGCCTGTTTCATTTCTCTTAACTAATGTTTTCCTTTAAACTCCCGCTTTAGTAAAAAAGTGATTGTTACGTATTTTTCTAAGATGTCTACATACCATCTAATGTTTTCAGGTGTGGATCACCTCCGCCATTTGCAACTATTCTTTGACAATATTCCCCCTGCCATCCCCCGAAACAGCTACATCGTGCTCCACAACCTCCGGTCAAAATAGGTTCTCCGTTACCTGAACAGTCTGTCAAGCAAATGATCACAGAGTTTAAAACTCGCGTAAAATTGAAAAAGTATGGTGTATAGTGAGGAAATGCAACACTATCAAAGAGTTGTTTGGCAAAATTCGTAGATTTATAAATTAAATGAAACAAAATCATAAATCAAGTAAAACTTCAATTTGGGTTAGAAAGTTTTATTGTTTAGTTGTGATATTAAAAGAAAAGTGTGGCTGATTAAAATAGTTATACTTCATTTAATAATGGCTGTGACTTGATTCAGCAAGGCAGTCAACGTCGGTTTCACTTAAACTTTAGCGCAGTAATTTTATAATATTAGAAAGGAAGCATAAGGCATGTTGTCTTTCCAAATTGAAGAAACGTGCTACTTTACATAGACAATGGAAAAAGTACAGTTACTATACTTATTACGATATGTTACGTGTACTCCTGCAACCTCACGGGAAATAATAACAGGCGACCTATTGCGTTTGATTATTTCAAACTCTACACACCCCGAAACGGCGACATATCAGGCTGGTTGCATTCTGGTCCCATTCGCCTTCCAACGCAGACTGGCCCATTTCCACATGGAGGTCCTGGTGTTTTGCTATTTCCAAAGAAAATCATCCTTCTATTTAACAAATTGACGACAATTTTCCATCGTCTATTTAACAAATAGATTCCAAGTTGCCGTGCGTCTGTTCAGTAATAGATCACAGAGGACGTCAAAATGTGGTAAGAACAAAAAAGTGGCACACGAGGCGCAGCCGAGTGTGTCACTGATGTTCTTATATAATAAAGAATTTAAAAAAGTTTTAATGATGATGTCATCTATATGTCTGTCCTCCAATAGATCATAAGTGAGAACCAATCAGAATGCGTGCATAACTGAGCTTATTATATAAAACCTTATTGATCATAGAAATGACGTCAGCAACGTCCTAAACTAAAATGAAACCACGAGGCGCATCCGAGTGGTTTCACTTCAAAGTTTTCACTGCGAAAAAGAAATAGAACAAACGAACCACCAATGACGACAAAGCAATCATGCTAGTTGTTGGAAAAACCTACGCTATTCAGTAAATAAAAAAAAAAAAGCTGGTGGTTTGATTATAACTGTAACAACAACAACAACAACAGCAACAATATTGAATCACTTTCTTATTCAAATACTGACAGTTGTCCTGGCCCGTAAATAGCTAATGCCAGGCTAGTAGACACACGAACCTGTTTCGTTCCTTTTTCTTTTGTTTCTTTTTAGGGGGAGGAGGTTCTGGTGCGTTACAAACTCCCTGCTTCGGTGGGCTTGAAGTTGGTCCCACACAATACTGTTAAGACAAAAGAAATTCAGCAAAAATCAACAGTTTTCTTCGTGATTTTTTCAATTTTGACCACAACTACATATGGTTGGGAAGGAAACCACCGACAACAAGAAAATAGAAAGAAATCAAGTGCGCAGTTTAAGTTGTAATGAATAAAAAAAAAAAATTAATAATAAAGAAAGAAAAGTAGAATAGAATGTTTAAAAATGAAAGAGCTGTTATCTTTTGTTTTGCTTTCCTACCTGATCGGCTGGGATCGGGCAGATACATTCCCTAAAATTGAATGGAGCGAGAAACAAATATTTTTTCTCAGTGTTTTGTCAATTATCGATGCAATACTAAACTCTCCTCTAGTCAAAGAATCAACCTGTTAAATGACTATTAAATAAAGTTGTTCTTCGCTGAACACTTTGTTAGATAGAAGGCTAACGGTTAACCCCATTGAGACCCTCTACAAACTGCCATGTGACTTTCCGTAACTGCTTTGGTACTTTGGTCCACTTTGGTTAGCTCTAATAAGTGCAGCGATATTAAATTGCTTTTCCAATGACTGCTAATTAGACTGATACCTTAAACACGGAAAGACAGTGAGGTAGTCGGGCTTCATTTTAATTGTCTGAATGTTAGACCTTACAACTGAAATGCATTTTCCGATTGGAAGAGAAGGTGTCACGTGCCTTGAATTCGAAACTAACCAATTCTCCAACAAATCGATCAAAAACTTGAACTTTTGACCGGCACGTGACCAGGTCATGCACCTTGAGGTAAATTGAGGGTCTCGAGAAGCAAAACGTACCCTTTCCCTTGAGGCAAATCATTAAGTGCTGATTGGTTTCCACTAAGGATGGTACGAGTTTCCTAACTAGATGCAAAACTTAATAATGCGAATACATTGTAGCCTGCAGTGCAGGCGCCTTGTTAATGCGAGTTAACGCTAAAAGCTCGCGATCGTTTATCCTACCGACTATGTTTGCAGTTAGAGTGGACGGTGGTGGTAATCTCCCCTTCCTCAGCCCCACCCCTCTCCTTATTTTTGACTGCATCCGCCCCTTGGTACAAATTTATTTCTCTCCCCAGCCTTCCGCTTCCATTAAAATCAAAGATGGTGCCCATAATATTCGTTATGAAATTACTGAGCACTCGCTTTGCGACGCGGAGGTTTCTTGAGAAATAATCAAGAAAAAACAGGGATGGTGCCACTATAGCCCGGGTTCGATTCCCAGACGTCTGGTGTTACATTTGTGTCGATTTTGTTGGTTCTCGTCCTTACCCCGGGGGTCCCCCTCTTGTCCTCCGGTTTTCATTCCTCAGCAAAGGCAAACACTTTAAATGCTAATTCTAGCTGGGAACAGTGGACAAGAAGAGCCACCTGGGGGAATGTCCTAAATTCCTATTTTTCCCATTTGATCCAAAATAACTTTAAGAGTCGTAGTAACTTACCTGCATCCAGACGTAGACATTAGACTAAAGCCCGTATTAAATGACAGCGCCAATTTCTTTCCAATAAAGTTAACAGAAACGCCAAATATCAGGTCGGAAATACCGTAGTTGCTATTTAGCTCCGCTGGTGTTTGACCTTGGCATATGCTTGAGGGGTAATTCAGAGAAATTCCTGCTTTTAGAGGCGTTCTCACGAATAGCGACAAAGAAATGTCCGGAATTAAATCAGCTACAGCTTTCACTGAAAGATAAAATGAAACGCAAGCTATTGAACTTCTTTCTGCGATAAGAAATCTTTGATTATTAATCTTTTTCATCAACAATTAAGTAAAAAATAGATAAAAGATAAAACAAAAAAGTGAAAAATTATATTTAAAGAAATAAAGATAATAACTAAAAAAAAAATAAGTAGAATTCCAAATTGTCCTTTCCAAGTTTTCTCGATTTTCTGAGAGAATAAAGTGAACAATTATTATTAAGTTTTTTATAGGAGTGCATGGCCTTTGTTGGTGTTAATTCATAAACAAAGGCGTTGTTTAACGACGCTGACAAAGAGAAAAATTCTTACCGAGCTTTGCCAGCACATTAAGAAGTTTTGACTTAGAGGGCTTGGAGAGCCTTTTGGGTAATGCTGGCACTTTTACGGAGACCGTGGGTGTCACAGTGATGTCCACATTCGCTCCAATCTCCAACTCTGGTGTTGGGCTATTCCAGTCTAATGTTAGACTGATCTACGGGATTGATTTGAAACATTAACCAATCGGTCAATCAACCATCCAACCAATAAGTTGGTCAGTCAGTCAGTCAGTCAGTCACTCGTGCATACAAGCGAGCATGAAGGCAGACAGACAGAAAAGCAGCCAAACAGTAAATGGTACGTGTTCTATCGATTTGTAGGTAAACCAAGCCTCACTGCTTGACAATCTCAGTTAAACTTACATTAAAGAAAAGGGAAATAGAAAAAATCCATCGCTGGATAATGATAATGATGAGAATAATAAATATAACAAGATATACAACAATAATAATAAAATGATAAAAGTAATAATGATAACAACGATGATGATAACAATAGTTACAACAACAATTATTATGGTTTTTAATTACTATCATCACTACTATTATCATGTGATTGTCATATTGATTATAATAATGATATCAAAGAAGGGAAAGCGATACAACGAAGACAAAAATAAGTAAAGTAAAAACCAGATTAAAAAAGAGCTCGAAAAGTAGTGAAATCCCAAATCTTAAAACCGTTTGTCTAAACGAGCTACAGTATAAACTTCAGCTCTTACTGTATCATCAGTTCTAGAACAACTTCCTTCGCTCCAACTGCATTCGCCACCAAGTGATATGACCCCGTTGGTGGATAGTGAACGGGTAATTGTTCCCTGATTTAAGGAAAAAAATAGATTTAAGTTCTTGATGTGAGTACCATGTTTTTAACTAACCAGGGTGTATGATACAAATAATTGCAAACTTTCCAGGGGAAGATGAGATCTCTACAAAGGGATTTCTTTGTATGCATTTGCTTACAGAGATATTTGTGTACGCATAGTCAACTTACGGAAATTCCGGCAGACGCCTGCCCCGTCAATGCCAAGAAAATTCCAACAGGGATTTTTATCAGTCCAAACCGTAGGTACATGGAACGACCCAGCTGTTTTTCCTTTAACGCGAGAAGATCTCCAGAATATCTGATGATCGAATAGATAGAACGACTTACTCATTTCTCAAAGAAAGAGACCATTAGATATCTTTATAACGCCTTAATTTTGACAACTGATCTCATAAATAAAATTCCTTTCCAAATTCCCATATTCATCCATGGTTCTTTGCTACCAAATCTATTAGTCTGCTACGTTCATTTTTCTCTGTTTGGCTTTTGGTTGTTTTTTCTCTGATTTTTTTATTCTGTACATAAATGAACAAGCCACCTGAGATAACGTTTGAAGATCGTAGACTACTAAAAGTGCTTCACTGGATGTTGATATGCAAGTTTTGATCAGTTGAGCTATCTTTGGATATGTCGCGGCTGCATCATCTTTCAGTTGTTTAAGACAAAAAAATGGTATTTGCACACTTTGTGGTATTTCTCAATATAATAATTCTCTTTCAAATTAACAAATAGATTCCAAGTTGCCGATGTCCGATTCCAAGTTGATGTCCTCTTGGAATCTATTTGTTTTATATAATAAAGAACTAAAAAGAGTTTTAATGATGACGTCATCTATACGTCTGTTTTCCAATAGATCATAAGTTAGAACCAATCAGAATGCGTGCATAACTGAGCTTATTATATAATTCAAATTGGACATGTGAATATTACAACACTGCCCAACTCAGAAGTAATGCGCGCTCGTAGAATAATTTTTTTAAAATTGTCGATCACTGCCTAGTCAAAGTATTACTAACCTCAGCTCCCCATTTAGACTAAACTGCAAAGAAAATTTCAGATTTCCCTCCAAATCTAGACCAACAGATGCATCCTTCAATCCCAGTCCAAAAAATTTCTTCTCGATTGAGACAAACATGCTCACACGTAGATTCATAGACAAGGAAATTTTAAGTGTCGCCCCTCCAAAGGACAGAAGCTTAAAAACAAAAAGCAGACAGAAGGGAAATCAGACGGAACTCTGATAACGTCAAGTAGAAAATATTTAAAGAGTCTTTTTCCAACTTAATGGGAAAAAATTGAATGATTAAGTTGGAAATGATGAAAAGTGCAACATTTTAAAAGTACAACTGAGAGGAAAGGAAATGTTAGATAGAAATTCCTTATGTATGTATAGAAATTCCATATGTATGTTTTTGCATAATCTGTTTTGCTTTCACCTCTTTTTTTTAATATTGTGAGCTGTTCTTTTTAAAAGATTCTATATTTTACCTCGAAGGATCAATTTTGAAGTGTGTTCATTTTGCGATTTTCTAGATATCAAGAAATGTTATTTCTACCAGCATTCTTGGAGGGTCGGTGTTTTTCGGTTTTTTTTTTTTTGCCTTTCCATTTGATGAAACTTAGCGTTTTTTTTACAAATTAGTTTATTTTAATAAAATATTTTGATTGTTTAAAACCGACCGATGTGTGGAGGCTTGTTTTACCGTATGATCTATCTTTTCCGGTTGAAAATTTGCCAGGTTAACGTTTTTTGCTGAGCGCTTAGTTCGTCTGTGGTGGTTTTTTAGAAAATTTGTATCCACTTCCGTTACAACGGTTCCATTTTCATCCAGTTTTGCTGTGACTACTTCCAAAAGAAGAAGATTTCCGCTTGAATGCGTGTTTATAACCTAGAATTAGAAGTGAAAGAAGGCTATTAGTAGAAAAAAAAACGAACGGTGACATTTGATGAAAGTAATACCTAGTTACTTGCTTGCTTGAATAAAAGCACAAAAGAAGGCTAAAGGTACGCAGATGACTGAAGCTAATTCAAATTTTAATCAAACTGTTTCTTGTCCTGTTTGGATTTTCTAGGTTAACTAGTCACTGAAATACCGTAGCTACCATATCTAAGCATTATTAAGTTACTGATGTATTTAGTAAGGCTATATTGATAACGTTCCAAAGAAAGAACTCGTCTCGTGTCCCGATAGACCGTAACCAATCAGTTGTTCTGCTTCCTCTGGATTCTGATAACCAATGGTGCACTACAAACGGGCAGTCTGGGATTATATCATATGAGACTCTACCTTTGCGATGAAGCCTGTACTTGATCTCCCAATTATCAAATCACCAGAGGAGAAAAGCCCGCCTCGTTTTTGCGATTCTGTAAACACAAGTCCTGGATTATTATCTCCTCCGCTACAACGTACTGACCCAGAAAATCTTTGTTTACTTGCTCGCAGTCTGAAAGATAAAAAGAGTAACACCAGAAATAATAGCGAAAATGAAAATGTCACCTGGCATGAGTGTGAATGATACGGCTCGGTATTGACTTACTTTCAACATGAAACGGATACCATAGCTTCTCTGCTTATTGTAAAGCTCTCACTCCTGACAAAATTTCAATAACCGTTATACTTATGATAGCGAAATTTCGAGCTATTTGTCTGTTTTTACGCGCCAGAATTAATTTAATGTCAACATAAAGCTCTGCTTTCGTTTTGTAACAACGTCTTAAAAGAGACATAGTTATTTCCTGTATGCGTGATCAACATCGAAAGCATGCATTCCTTACTCGTGTAAATGCTTGTAAAGCGTTTTCCTATAATTAAGCATGGTAGATATCAGTTTATTTCCTTCAAAACTGCCACAATCACAAACAGAATACCTCGCGCCATCCAAGTGAGTTTTCCCGTCGCATCTGTGAAGTTTGGTTTCCAAGTAATCCGTATCGTCTGTTTTATGAACTGCAATAATACTCTCGATGAAACCGTCACTAGCGTTGGACACAACTATATCACCTGTCGTTGGAATGGTATTGCTTTTCTCTATCACCAGGTAATAAGAGTAGATGAAGGTGCCTCCAATGTCATAGGTGTGTCCAAGGCACCTGTAAATTCCTGAAAAGTGAAATAATTATTTCAGGGATGCAGCTTACCTGCCACCGTTAGTTTAGGGGTTGGAAGGCGAAAGCTGGAGGGTAAAAAAAAAACACCTCGGACACATTGACAAGACAAGTCATGCCGTTCACCTACCCGGAAGGTAGTTATCAGCCGTTTAGCTACCTGAGATAAAAGGAATTTGTAGGGAGCATGAATGTCAATTGAGAAAGCATTAAAGCGTTCCACTGTTCTACCGAAAAAAAAAAATTTGTGTAGTTTTTCTGAGCTTCTCGTATACACACGGATGTAACAAGTCGTATATCTAACAAGAGAATGTTTGTTGAATCAGAGATGCCGTCGTCTATATCAGTTCATCTCGGTAGATGATGATGATGGACGACGGTTTTCAGTTTAATAACTAGAGCGCATTTGGAATAAAGCGTTGACTAATCAGAACTGCCCATGTGGGAAATCAGTTGAGGTCCACATTGAAATCGAGATAGACGACTTCGATATTTTGTATGGTAGTCCCGAGTAATAGCTCTTTTGAGAAATAAAGATAGCACTAAATAGGCAAAAAGAGGGATACAGACGACTTGTCATGTCCATGTATCAAGCATTCCCTTTCCTAGCTTCTCCTCTGCTGGCTTTGGTGCTGCTAAGGTTTACGCTCCCATCCAAAATTATAGAATAGAATTTAAATAATCTTTTCACATTCCTTTCCTTTATTACTTTTTAGTTAACTTCATTCGCCTACCAGTTGAAAGGATAACTATCTGGCTCTGGTTGGAAGTGATGTTGCCTGATATAAGATCATCCAGGTCCTCTCTATCTGGCTCATCCTCTAAAGTTGACTCATCGTCTAACTGTTCTAAAGACATCTCACTCTTGAAGTCCGCATACTTGATGACTTCTTCCAATCCAGCTGGAGCACTCAACATCAATTTGAAAGGGCCTGTTGTGAGATAAATGTAAACTGGAATAATTTTGCTTCAGACTTTAGACAGTGAGTGATCAATAACAAAAATATTTATCTAAACTTATTCTAATATAAATATAAAATGTTCCTTAGACCAAGCCAGGCATAATCAACAGTTCATGTAAACCGATGTTTATTAATTCTGAATTTAATAATAAATCCCGCTAAGTTTTGTCGAAACGTCAATCACGATCTGTGAGGAGTGTCCTTTCTAGCGCTTGCCTTACTCAGACGATCGATTCATATTTCACTGTTACCAAGGAGACTTTCTTGGAAGGGATCGACTGTGTGGGGACCTCGCAGTTTATGACAGATGTCTTGATAAAACCCTTTTTTTTTCTTTGTATATCCACCCTCTTTTAGTGCTATGCTTGAAACACAATTATTATATATAATAAAAAGAAAATATTTGTAGTTGATGGGTGCTTCACTTCAAGCATGGGCAAACAAACAGAAGCACACATGATAACATAGCGCGCGTGCTTGCCCTATAAAAGTCCTATTGAGCCGCTATGAACGAAATCTTTATTGACGTGAGCATTTCTTTTACCTGGCTTCAGAGTTTCTGCTGCAGCCATAACTGTTCGTCAAAACAACAGTATGGTGGTTGCCCAGGAGAAAACTGCAAGTTTCCTGCAGTCTGTCTTCTCCAATTGCACCGTGCACGGCAGCGTAAACATTATTTTAACAATCAAAACCCTCGATGACTTCGGGTCTTTGACTTTTAAAACATTTTTAGTGACACTTGAATTCATCTGGCTTTGATTTTCTCCATTCTCCCAGTAAATTTTGAGCTTTTCATTCGCAGTTATCGGTTAACTGGATCAATTGTTCTCGCTTATTGTGGCGTGTTTTTGAGAGACTTTTCTTTCCATTTTTTTGTGCGTTGTGAGAATTTTCCTCTCTATCACAATAAAAGGCTTCTTTGCGCAGATCCTTGTTGTCGCTCTGTTATAAAAGAGTTTGCTCATGCTTTTAGCTGTGCGTATATCGAGCTATGGATGCACTTGGCAAGTTTGAAGAAAACTCAAAAAGCAACAGTTGCTCTCTGCTCCGTCTCGAGCTACTCTTACGCATTTTTCGTGCTCTCCAAACTTCCCACGTGCACCCATAACTCGATATACGCACGCTAAGCATGAAAAAATTCTTAATTGAATCTTACCCTTGATGAGCAGCTGAATACTTACCATCATTGACTTCTTTCACAATCTTGTGCAGAATGCCTCCTGCTTGTGGACTGGAAACTATGTCGCCTGCTTGGATGTCCAGAACATTTGGTGCAACTAAAATTAGCGACAATTCATCTTGTTTCGCCATAATCACTGGACATGCATAAATGATAGTATCATTGGGCTCCACGAATTTCAAATTATCAGCCAGTTCCACGTTGTTTCTTCTTTCCGGATCTGTATAATCTACTTTCACTTTCCCACCGGGACAGCGGGTCTCATTCCAAGCCCTACATTGGCCTCCTTCCTATTAACAAAATCAAAATGTACGGTCAGATATTGCTTTGTCTGCCAGACTGCTTTTTAAAACCAGCTTCCGTGTCATCAAACGACGAGGGATGATCCTCGGTCTCTCTGAAGGAGGATAACAATGAATGAAAATCTGGAAACCGTAAAGTGGAATTGCTACCAACACTCCGTCTTTTGAATTGCTGGTGAAAGTTTTATATGGAACAATCCCCCCCAACCTTTTTATGATTTAAATATCTATGCATATATCTTACTGTGAATTTGTGGCATTTTTCCAGGTCTCGGCACTTCTGACATGACTCAATACTTGTTCCACTGTCTTCGTAGTTGCACTGCTTTCCTTTACATTGTACTGTCTGTCAAAAGAACAATCTGGCATGTAACTAACAAACTATGGAAAAAAAAATTCAGGCAGATCACTGTTGGTGTAATAGAACATTAGACGAGAGTACTTTTTATTGGTTCATATTGAGATTAGGTCAATGTATGTGATGAAGGGACGTCCCTCTCAAATTTATTATCCAAGGTTTGTTTCCCAGCAACAACACTGAATTGCCAAAATGCATGAAACACTATCACACTCAGAAACAATTGCTCATATATTCTAACGACATACTAAAACATAGGCATACGTAGCATGCAAGAGTTATTTTTTGGCTTGGTGGGTTAAGATGGGATACTTTGAGTACCTGATGTTTACATTTTGTATCAGAAAAAGAGCATAACTTTCAATTTAAGAGAAAGGAAAAAAAAGGCCTAATTTACCTAAACTAGGCATTTTGTGGTCTATTGTCTCCATCGTCTAAATACTTCTAAGCAAAAATAAAATGCATCGGTGCCACGCTTACTGTTGTCTCCTTCGCAGCTGTTGTTTGGTCTTGTCACACAACGCCATCTATTTCCCATTGGAGAGAGGGCGCGTTGCGTGACGAGGCCAAGTAACGGTTACGAAAGGGACTACGCTTACTGCCGTTCCCCTAACAGAGAGAAAATCAAAATTATTCGCTTCAAAAATACAATTCCGCGTACTCTTGCTACGAAAAGCGAACTGAAACTCTGTTGTATCTCCAAAATATCCTAACCAAAGGTCTATTGCCATCTCGAATAAGTGAAGATTCATCGAACAAGTGAAAAAGATAACTGATATTTCAAATAGGACTCCTTGATTGGCTAATTTTCATGTAGTGCAATGATTGGGTATGTTCTGATTGGACCTTGGACGTTGTTTTCATGGTACGTACTGGAATGTAAGTTGTTTGGCGTGTGCGTTGTGGGTAAAGGAGCGGAAAAGACACGTTTTTCACTTAGAAATGACACAAAATGTTAAATGCGAGCCTTTCATATCCCGGTAAATATTGACATTAGTCAAGAGGTTCTTGCGAAGGCCATAAACCATTACTCTTTTCAAATGAGCCCAAAATTTCTGCTTAATATCATTCTTTGTGCACAGCCCCCGATTCCATGACTCCATTTGCAAGAAAACAATACTCAAACTTTGTGATTGGTGCAAGATATCCAAATGCTGTGACATGATTGGTGCAAGATATATGCCCTAATGAGGCAATCTGATACATAGCCTTATGCAGCAATCTGATTGGTGTGAGACACATACCCTAATGCGGCGATCTGATTGGTGCGAGCAAAATACCACTCTACACGCATAACATAGTTATTACAAAAAAAAAATTTAAAAAGTCATATACTGTAAGTATTTTCCTCCTTCCCCCTCTTTTCCACTTACCATTATATCCCGTGAACATTCCCCGTCTTCCACCGTGTAACAGTGGTAATAGAACCAATCGGGACATTCTATCTTCGGAGGTCCTTCAGCAACTCCTCCAAGGCAGGACCGCGAACTGTCACACCATCCACATGATGGGTCTGTCACGCAATCAGCACAGCTTTCGTACTTTCCACAGAAGGAGTAAGTGCATCCAAGACCCTGCAGAAGAATCAATGTTTACTTGATTAACAATCTTAGACAAGATTAACCCTTTTACTCCCAAGATCTCGTTAGTAATTCTCCTTACTGACTGCAGTACAATTCCTATGATTTTAGTTCTGAGAATTTGTTACTGGATCAACTGATAATCCCCTTATTGATTTCCCTTTATTCTCATTACTTGAAATTGTATGAATTTTGTAGGGAGAAATTCTCTCTTAGTCACTTATGGGTGTTACAGGGTTATGCACATAAAACAATTTTGCCCAAGACTAAAGCAAGAAATTCCTCCGCACAATGCGCATATATAATCTTAAGTAGATACAAATTTAGTAAAAATAAATAAGTTGATGCGATATCTAAAAAATAAATTCCATTTCAATGAGATTTCAGCACTTCTTTTGATGGTAATCGTTAACATCGACTTCAATAGGATTCAAGCCCTTTTTCAATCGTTTACGAATAAAAAATGCTCACCAAATAACCTGGGTAACATCTGCAGACATTAGGACCCATGCATTCACCGTTACCAGAACAGTTATGTAGGTCATGGCAATGAAACTTGGAACAGTCTTCTCCGGTCCATCCGGGGTAACAGAAACAAGTGGCACCTATGCAGTCGCCATTATGAAAACAACTGTTTGGACAGTGAACCACTGTAAGAGAAATTCAGACAATTCTAAGTCAGTTGCATGAGAAAAATAATACATCTTGAAGAACTGCTTTGTTTATGCCTGTCTGCTATTAACAGTTATCACAGGATATTCGTCAAAGCAGAGATGGTTTGATACGCCTATTAATGTGGAAAAAAATTAGAGGATGGATCCAACGTCACCTACCTGGTCTCCTCACGCAAACGAATGGATTAAGCTGGTTACAATGAGACTCTGTAACATTCCCATAGCTATCAACAACAGAACACATTCCGTTGTCCTGACCAGAACTGCCTCCAGGCTGCAACCAAAAAGTTGAAATGTACTGAATCATATCTAAGGAGTAATTTTCTCTCCTATGTTGTGCAAAATGCGATTGAATTTCAACCGCAGGAAATAAACCTTGAAATGAAGCCTGAGATTGGTTATAATAATTACAATAATAATCGGTTTTTAATATCAGTGATAATGAAAAACTTATAATGATGGTAGAGGCTAAACTGTTTTCGATTATATTATGGTTTTCGTGGAGTTTTTATCCTGCGCGCCACCAACAGTGCGTGAAGGGTAATACACAAAGAAGACTCCACAATTATCTGCGCTCGATTCTTGCCGCTGAATAAATTCCGAGGTTCATTCCCTGAACAACAATTTGTTATCGGCCCCGATTTATCTTTGGAGATTATCTGTTCCTAGAAACTCACAGATTTCCATGAGAACTTCTTTTTCAAAAGCTGTTCGCTCTTAAATCACATAATGATAATGGCCGCGGACGGATGTCTGAGCATCTCTCTTCACCAAGGAGTGGGGGAGCAACTACTCATTCATTCATCGATTTATTATTTTATGGAGCTTGTTTTTCTTAATTAAAGATCACTTCAATGTTGTTGTTGCGATTTTACTTGTTTCTCCCTCACCTCTCTCACGAAACGCCTGCTTATAATCCACAAAGAAGGCAAAACATCAGGACGAACCAAGGATTCCTTTTGCCTCAAACTTTGGACGAGTCGTTTATCTTCGGCCGATAACATAGTTATGAGATTTCCTCCATAGTTCTTCAGAAGTAATGAATAGAGAAAGAAGCGAAGGTTATTATTGGAAACGTAAAATAATAGAAGGGAACCCTTTTTCCTTCCTTAGAGAATTTGAAATTAGCATAATCTTATCATTGATTGTCCTTACGTGAGCCAGCCAAACAGCAGTGCAACAACCCCTTAATAAAAAGCTTAGCTAGCGAAAAACATACAACCTTGACTAAGCTAGAAGAGTAACTCGATGACACTGAGGAAGAGTAGAATGCTAATCAATCCTTGGTTCGTATCTCACATGTGCTTACCCAACAATACTTCTCGGCTTCATGAAAAGTGAAAGAGCCTCCCTTATACAGGAAACACATCTCATCGTCTTTAATCCACTCAGGTGGGCATGACTCTGAAAAGCATTAATTTTTTTACTATTAACCTGATTAAAAATGTGGAATTGAACTAAGTTCACGAAGGGATAATAACAAAACCTTGATTCTATGTTTTCATTGTTTGTCATCTTTGGTTGTAGTCTCTTCTTTTCTGAGACGCTGGTTTTCCCTGGGCGATGGGTTCGGCTGCTTACCAGCCATCTTGTGGGGAATGATCCTCCACCGAAATTACTTGTTTTTTTTCACTGCTGTAGCTGGTGCACCTTGTTATTGTTTCGGAAGTTAATACCCAAGTGGTCCGCTGTTTCAAAGGTATACTTTTCCGATAATTCTTAATCGGGCGTATCAATACTTAAGGAACTCTTTTAGTATCATCTAGATTGATTTTGTTCAGGCGAAGTCCCGTATCACCACGTTTTATTCACCGAAACATTAATCTATGGCTGGTTTTGAATAAGCTCCCCACTGAAATAAGTCTCCTCCCCCCCTCCCTTCGGCTATCATTTAAATTTTCGGGAAATAAGCTCCACGGAGGGGAGTGAGGTTCGACTTTGGTCATATGGAAGATATAAACAAATACTTAAAATGACTGATACTAATCAACGCAATGAATGATATTTACCAGAAATAACTCTACGAGGCAACAACTCAATAAATGGCTGAAACACCACTGTTAATGAGAGACGGTAGTCTTTCTTATTATCCAAAATGAGGAAGGCGATGAAATCTGGCTTGCTCTCTCCCCACCAATTGAGTGTGGCGTTAGCAATTAATGGACTCCCTCGCATTGTTGTGCTTATCTGATAGCGGTTTCCAGGATTCTGTAAAACGTTTCCATGGATTTCTGCTCCACCATTGCAAAGTATTGTTGCCCCATACTTGACATTGAGCCCCGATGCACTATTCTTATACAACGTGTTATTCACAAATTGAAGACCTGTCACATCTTTTTTAGGGAAATCATACAAGAAAACATAGTGACCGATGTTCTTGTAGAAGAAATTTCCGCGAACAATCGCCAATAACCTTGTTATGTTGCAAACACTGTTTGCTTTGCCATTCCAATCTTGAGCCAAGTTGAGAGAAAAATAGTTATCGGTAACGTTAACGTTCAAAAAGGGCTCGGAATTTCCTTCCAGAATTAATGTCCCTCCATTATTTGATTCTAATGTGTTTGCATGAATTTGGCTAATTAGTTTTGGCTCGGTAGGTGGATCTTCATGGAGGACACTGGAAAAAATAGCTCCATTTTTGTTCTCGGCCAAGTAGTTATTGACTATTTTAAACACCTGATTTATAGCACTAAGATGAATGGCTCCAGATGGCTTTCCGTTGAAGACTGGACTCAGACCATTGTTTGTAATCTGACAACGCTCTATTTTGAGAATATGGCTTTTACTCCGGTTTGACACGTAACTTATTCCTTGTTCATCATTGCTATTGAAAACACTCTCAGACACTCGATGCATGACTTCAGGTGCTGAATAAAAAACAAAAAATAAAACAACAAATTCGGGTGTAGAGAAAGATGTTTTTCGTCTTGTCAAAAGCGTGGGACAAAGAAAAAATTCTGAAAATTTACCATCTCTCTTATTCTATTTACAAACATTATGGTATCGACATTGCTAGTCCTAGCAGTATGCAGGACGCGTGTCATATGAACCTCGCAACAGAGGCCTGTGGCTTAGTGGTACAGCATCGGAACTCGGAGTCCGAAGGTCTGAGGTTCGATTCCTCATGGGGAATCAGAATTTTTTCTTTGTCCCACGCTCGTGACAAGACGAAAAACATCTTTCTCTGTATCTTTACCGAGCTCAAAACTTATCATCTTTCTTACTCTATTTACAAATTATTAGAAGAAAATGAACAACAGTAGCGGGGATTTACTCACTGGAAGTTTGTGCGCCGCTTTCTAAAGAAGTTTGTAATACGAGTCCCAATAAACGAACATTTGTCATTTAAATGTTTTTCACGCGGTGTTTGTCACGAGACGACTAGGAAGTGCAAAAACAATAGCCTTTATTAGGCGCGAAAATATGATTGGATATTTGTTAGCGGACACTATCTGTTTCAAGATGCCAACAGTTTTCCAAGAGCGAAGATCGAGGAAACTGTGGTCTTTGAGGAACAAATAATGTCCAACGAAAAATATCTGCACATATTTTCGCGCAAATGATAGGCTATTGCATTTATTGTCCTTCAAGTATTTTGCAACGCGCGTGAAAAAAAAGTTTGCAAACAGCATACTGTATGCAGCGTTGGCTGTTTTTATTTTTAGGGTTGTGTGTTATAACTTAATGTTCCTCTGTAACAAACAGAAAACCCTCTTTCATCTTGAATTAAATTTGAGACGAAGACTTATCATAACGGAAGTAAAAGTTGAAAATTGGGGAATATCGCTTAAGTGATACTCACGGATATCACCCATTTTTAGCTAGGGGATGTTTGGTCACGTGCGCGTTTAGACTAATCGCGCGCTGGCAAAAATTTTGAGGGGTCATGAGATAATATGTAATAACTTACAAAGACCGCATTGAATTAAGTCCATGTCATCTATGGCAACATGGCCATGGGACTGGAAAAACCCAAAGAAGACGATAGAGTAGTTAAATGACGTCTGGGGAAGCGTAATAACTTCTTTTTTCCAGTAGTCCACGGTGTCGTTGGAAGACCACAATATTGTCCACTTATTTTCATTCGATTCTTCAATTGAGATGGTTAGGTTCGCTCTTCCTTTTTTCCAGAGTTTGTAATAGAACACTAGGTAACAGTAGTTGCTGTCGTTGGAAATTGGTGGACTAATGGAGGCTCCATAACCCTCTCTCCAGTAAGAGGCTCCAAGCATCATGCAAGTTCCTGAAATAGTGGTACAAAACAAAGTAAAGCATTTCTCGTCCTTTTGCTATTGTATAGATTGACCAGCAAAAGAGTGATAAGGGATCATAGATATTTTGACTCGTTGCCAATTTTTTGGTACTTGAATAAGGAAGCAACTTGTTTTAAGGGTGAAACTCGGAAATAATAGAGCATTCTTGAATATCTCAAGATGCAGTTGCTCTGATGTGATCTACATCAGAAAGAACTAGATAATGAGGATAATTCAAATGATTAAATCAATGTGTGAATAATCTTGTATCAAAACAACCATTCCACAATTTATTTACCACTCTTCCATAAAAAGGTGTGGTCAGCAACTGATTTGTAGTACCACGGGATGCCAGCCAACCTCCATTTTTGAGTAAGGGCAACGCCTCTATAGAGTGGCCTGGGATAATTTCTCCATCCACATAGACCTCTTTCAAATGTGCAAGGAATATCTAGGAGACATTTAACCATAAGATAAACATGTTGGACAAGGTATAAAAATGCCATCTGAGTTTCTAGATAAGAATCAACACGAGATCGTTACACAAAACATAATCAGGTTTTTATGGTTGAATCTTCAAATCGACGCTTAAAAGAAAAACGGAGAGCCATTAACAGAAGTACGACAACGTCAATAAATTAAAATTCACCAACAATCTTTGAACGGTGAAGCAATCGATTTGTTTACAATGCGTTCAAGTTTGTTCTACATTATAGTTCAAACGGTAACGTACCCTTTCTTTCAAATGGGTCCACTCGTAAAATCATCTCACTTTGGAACCAGCCTTCAAAGTCAACTCGAATATGATTCCACGGAATCACCCGTCTTGACAATGGACCTAAATCTTTAGGGGAAAACTTTAACACTTCACGTCTAGTGTTAGATATCGACACATATCGCACATTTTTCATCACTAGCATCTGAACATGATATCCATAATATCCTTGTGAATAAACAGAAACGAAGCAAGATACACTTGGATTTGAATAAGTCCCAATTTGTTTTCTAAAGTATAGGAATACTTCGCGATCCTTTATGTTGACTAGTTTTTCCGAACCACACACATGAACTTGTCCGTACGATAGACCATGCATCCAATCCCCGTTTGGTATTGTGAAACGCAATCCATAAGTATTCTTTACCGATTTAACGCTCTCAATAGTAACGTTTTGTTCAGTATTGATTATTTCAGTTCCACTGCCCCCGCAATTCACGAAAGAACTGTTCGTTATGAGAACCTCCTTTTCTGGAAACCATACTTTGATACAACCTGCTGTGCAATTGAGAACAGTCAAAAAACTTAGATCTGGAACGTACTGAATCATTTCAATGGCAGCAACGCGCTGACCATGTATTTCACCGCAATGCTCAATCTTAAGGTGTTGTAAATATGATGTAGGATGATGCAACGGGCTGTTAACTTCGCGGACAAATCTTATGTTTCCCCAGGGCTTTCCCTCACTGCAGTTCAAAAGAACATGATTGGAAGAGTTGCAAGTGAGATTATGAAAAGATAAAGAACATTCTTTGACATCTGCTTCACTACCATTACAATTTAAAACTGCACATGATGTCCAAACGCTGGTACAGTTTTCATGGGAAAAGCTCATAGACGATGATGTTTGATAGCCTAGGTGTTCACAGATCACTTTTGCGTTGTTCGCTCCAAATGATGCTGTCTTGTTCAAGCAAACTGAGGTCCAATTTCCTTGGTAAAGTATCTCTGCCCGACCTTGCCAGGGAAACTTACCGCCAACTAAACGTACCGGTAATGACTTTTCAGTTTGGTTCTCTTTCCATCCAGAAAATATTACTGGTTTATCCTTTGCTCCGCGAACAAAGAGCGAACCCAGAACCAACATACCGACACCCGGCTTAAACTGTAATTCAACGCCTGGGTCAACTGTAAGTGAACTATTTGGCAAAACAGTGATATCTGACACCACTATGAAAGGGCTCCGGTTTTTCCTCAGTTGAACGCTATATGAAATACGTCCTCCCAAGTACTTTACGGCAGGTACATCCAGTGTGCCGCTGGTGCTCGAATTTTGCACCACGTTCCCTGCACTGTTAAGGAATGGAAGAAAACCGGCTAAGGTGTGTTCGTAATTGTCTTCAGCGTCCAATATTCTCTGCTTGATTTTGACCTCATCTTCATGACCCCAAAAGTTTAGCGGCACTGCCAGCATACTTTTGTGTGAAGATGCATGTGTATTCACACAAAGTTCTTTTGAGAAGAGGTTGCTGTTGAAGATATTGTAGTTTATGGAAATAGCTTTATGATCCGTAAGTCCTGATATGCTTACCTCACAGGGTGGCGATCGAGATGACAGCTCCGAGTTGTTAGAAAGTGAGTTTCTAGAGAAATTTACCTTGTTTTGTACGGGCAACAATCGTCTTTGAATGGCATATTCAAAATAAAGACGAACTATAAACAGTCCCTGATTAAACTGAAAAACATTGCCAAAAATCTCGATGTCTGTCTCCATTCTTCTCACCTCAATAACTCCAGAGTTGAAGCACCGATTATATTTAAAGACGTTCCTTCTTATAGTAGCATTCGAGGTAAACATTTCCCCTATGAAAACGGACCGTCCATAGTTTTCTCTAAAGACGTTTCCTTCAATCCACATTTTCTTTGAGTATCCTGTAATATATATCACGCCCTTCTCCTCACAAATATTAAATAAGAAGTGATTTTTTCTCACAGTGACTTCACGTGTGTGGACATAATATCGTATTTGTGAGGTCACAATGACAGGAGCTTTGGTGTTATTAACGAAAACGTTACTTTCGAATTCCCATGGAGATCCGTCAATATTTACTACAGGACCAAGGTTGTTAAGGAACGAGCATTTCTTGAATACAGTTCGTGAAATACAAGGATAGTAACATTCACGATTTTGTGAGCACACAGACCTACCCAGGTTCCATGCAAAACGAGTTTCAGTCACAAAAAGTTTCATTTTTGTGTAGTAGCCACCCAGGTTAAGTCCACAACCGTCGTTGTGGGTGATACTACTGTTTTTGATATGAAACGAATTCAGAATACCCGAATCCACATGTATAGCATTCTGCGTTGAGTTTGAAACCTTACTGTTTTCAATATTGACGTTGCCTGGAAACCCTGGTTTTGGAATAACCCACCATTCTTGAATACCCCCGATTTTGATTCCAATCTGATGTGTCGTGAATTCACAATTAAATACGGTTAGACTGTTAAAACGCGAGAATGCAGTTTCTAGGCCGATTCCTGGTGAATATCGAACCGCTGAATTTTCGACGTGAATGTTTCCTGAGTCTTCGCCTCCAAAATAGATGCCACCAGGAGCGCTGTGGCTGAAAATACTCTCAGTGATGATCAGGTTTGCTGATTTCAATGTCGTTTGTTCACCATGCGTAACTAAAAGAAAGAAGGGACAAAATCAAACAACATTGATACTTAGAAATATCAAGAATAGTCCATCTCCCTAAAGAAATTTATGTTTACTATTAGGACGACTTGCTCTCTAGTTAAATTTCTATCACAACTAAGGCAATATCAAGCTTTTAATTCGTGTGAGTCAAATCAAGTTTCATGCCAAATTTTCATTTTGTTGCTGTTTCTCTCTGGAGGACCATATGGCGGCGTGCTTTCATGTCGTGTGCAATTTTGCCTGCCTTAAAACCAAAAACAACTGAACTTAAACATACTTCTTTTTCTCTTCATCTATCGTGCTTAGATTTACCGTGAATCCTCTATATAGATTGAGGGAAATGGCTTTTTCTTCAGCTTTCCGGGTGCAGAGAGATGTATCCTTGAAACTTTGATCACTCATTACATCCAGGTATCCTAGGCCGTCGGTTTACGTTGTGTGTAAATCAAACAAGCAAATAAATTATACTAAAATGCTACGTAGAAGTGAGCAAGTGTTGAATTTAGAACCCACCTTTGATGAGAAACAGAAGAAGATGAATCGAGCTGACGTAATCGTTTTGATGGTAAGAATTTTCCAGAAGGATTGAGCTGTTGTGTGTCACCCAAATGGGACGGTTTGACCACTTTATGGACTCTATATCCCAGAGTTTGCTCGATGTCTTATTTCGTGTGCTATAGATGTGGAAAGGTGCACTTGAGTTTACGTCATGATGGATTAACTGCAAACCAATTGTGTAATTCTGTGAAACTGTAATGATCCTCTGGCAAGCTACACTGCTCCTTGCCGTCACAACTAGGTAATAAACTAGGCTGGAGTCATCAATAAAAGTCTCATTTTCAGAGCAAGTTTGAATACTTTTCTTTACAGTCTCGTCAGCTATCGTGAGAACGTGTTTATTGAGGGAATTCCAGTTGAAATGATATAAGAATCCGTATCCCTTTGTGTTTATGACATTAACTCTCAAGAGGTTCACAAATGAAGTTTCCAAACGAATTCCATCCAGTTCAGTCTTCGTTACTGTCGAATTCATTATATCATGTGAAGTTTTAAATGGATCTGTATACATCATTTGAAAACCAATGCCGGCAGAATTTCTTACAGACACCCCACTGATGTTGTGACGACTAAGATCGATTCTAAAAGCAATACCAGGGATTCTAAGGTCCTCTCTGTAGGCAAACCCCGCATATTGTATGTCAACATTGCTGAGGAAGCTTTTCTTGGACGTTACTGCGAGATGTATTCCAGCCCAGTAAGGAGTTTTGCAGCTGACATACAGAACATTTGCCGTGCATGATGATGACGAAGTCCAGTTTTTCCTGTTGCAATCTGTGATGTTGTCACTTTGATCTGCATCACATCGGAAATTATGAAGAAACATGTTATCTTTTCCATTTGTGTTATTATGGTAAGATTTCATCCATTCGTATCCCAATTGCCTGCACGCTATTTTGTACTCATATTGATAGCTACGCATACAAACTGGTAGCCATGTGTTATTAAACCATATTTCAACTTTTCCTTCCCATGGACTAGGCCCTTCGACAAGTCTCAATTTCTCAGCTGAAGGAGTCTTTGGGATAAATTTAACCCTTTCTTTGCTGCTACCCCTTATAATAATCTGGCCGTGAACGAGGAAAAGTCCTTTCAATGGAAACTCAATGGTTACTCCTTGTTCAATGGTGAGCACGCCTCTCGGCTGTACAATGACATCTCCGATAACTTGATAGGGGGAAAAATCGTTTTTTATACTGACTGTTTCATCTAATACTCCAGCAATCTTATTGCCACGAACGAAACAAGATGGTCTGAAGCCACTATGCACGTAAGCACTGGTAGAGTTGCGAGATAGCAGGAAGGGATAGTATTGAATCCTTGGAAGCTCCACTCGATCCTCGAAGTCAAAAATTCTTTCTTTCACCTTGCATTCATCTCTTGTGCCCCACCAGTTTTCTCTGGCTAGAATTACACGATCCTGATCTTTGAAAAAGATGGCAAAATCATGGGGAAACAAAGGATTGTCAAATGAATTATGCTCGACAGTTATATTTCCTTCTGTTACAGCTATAACAGCTTGAGTTTCAGTACGAATGCCACTGCTGGAAAACAATTTGATTCCTTGATTCTCCAAAAACCAGTTGTTGTTGATGATAACTTGCCGTTTTGTCGGTAGAGTATTGTAATCTATAAGACAAGTATACTCTCCTTTGTTCTTTCTAAAAATGTTCGCCAGAATTTGTACTCGCACCGGAAAGCTGTTAAAGACCTTGCAAACCGAATAGGAAAAATTCTTGTACGCAATCTTTATGGCAAACCCAATGTTTTCTTCAAATGTATTATTTGCCAACACTGCTTTTGCCTCGTACCATTCTGGACCATCTACGAGTAAACCGAATTTCTGATTTTCTCTCACTACATTGCCGTCAAATAAAAGTTCAACGCGTCTGTGAAGCGAAAATACTTTCCAGTAGCAAGACATTGGACTTAACCTGCAACCACCCAGAGTATTATTGGAAATTGTGGAGTTTGACACAGTTATAGTATAGTTATCTTGGTAATTAGAAAATGCTGGGTTAATATCAAACCAGAAACCGTATTCACTGTTCTCCGAAACGTGACAGTTTTTGAGCTGAACTGATTGCAATCGAGCATTGGCGCCATCAGTGAACAAAAGACCGTTTTTCTTGTTTGAATGAACAACGCAGTGTTTCACAGACACTTTCCCCTCTTGTCTTTTTAAGTTTAGGCCATCATATTGGTTACCAATAGAATACCAAGAGTCTATGATGGCACTTGTAACCCCTCGCTCGATAATCAAACCATAGTTGTAGTTCTTAGATGTAGAAACGTTCTTCAAATTTAGCCTTTCGGTGGTTAATTTTTCAAGATACATTCCGCTACGTGAATTTCGGTCAAGCAAAGAAGAAGTCACCTCAAAACTAGTGGCAGTTACGCTCTGAAACCAAGCCCCATGCCATCCATTCTCAAGCGACCATATATTTGAAAGTTGTATCTGGCAATCTTCACTGAAGTCCCTCATATAAATTCCGTGACCCCCTTTGTTTCGACTGAAATGTGTGTTGGAAATATTGATGGTGGAGTTAAGTTGGTTTGTAATGAACAACCCATGGTTTGAATTATCTTCTGTGCGGCTCTCGGTCATTTGGAATGAAAATGTTCCTATATTAATTGCAATTCCTGATGCTTGGTTTTTTGATGAATTGACAGATTCAAATTCTGCAGGTCCTTTCATAGTATTCATTTCCACACCGTCGTTTTCGTTAGCTTCAAACACCGATGACACAACATGGAGTCTACCTCGTGAGTTTTTCACTTGTAGACCGACACCGTTTCCTTTAACCGCCGTATGAGAAATTTTAGAAGGGCCAATAGCATCGTTAAGTTCAATCCCAGACTGAGAATTGTTGGAAATTTTACAATTTGAGATCAAAATTGATGGCTCCTGAACTGTAAACAAATGAAAAAAAGTCACTTACTTCTAACGCCTTATTTGACTGCCCCCCCCTTTTTTTTTTTCCTCCTTTTGAGGAGCTGGAAGAAGGGAAACGTTTGTCCCCTTTCCACCTTTTTGAATCATTCCAAAACTATTTTAGGCTAAAGAGATGAAGATATAATAAGGTGTGGGGTGTTAATCTCATTTGATAGTTAGCCCGGCAAATGAAATTCCGACATCACTTGTCACAAAATTTAATTGGTCACCTCAAATCTGCGACTTTGGAGTTCGGGAGTTATTGACAATTTACAGAAACAATGTTGTAAAATACGTGCTATGAACACGACCCAGCAAACAGCATTCATCACGGAGATTTCAAGTTGAAAGTCCAGCCAATTGATCCACCGAAACTTTACAGTGATATTACCTGAGTTAATAACGCAAACTGGCCACCGTAAAGAGTTTAAAAGCTGACGTTTCGAGCGTTAGTCCTTCGCAGGGCGAAGAGCTAGCGAAGGGTTAACGCTCGAAACAGCAGCCTTGAAACTCTGAACGGCGGCTACTTTACGTTATCAACTCAGTTGATAATACTTTATTTCCCCAATATTAAGCCAGATGACCAAACGCGCGATTTTATCTATATTAAAAAAAAAAAACGTTACCTGGATCCTCGACGACGATCATCTTCAAGTCACCTCCCAACCAAAGGCCATATTCGGAAAAAAAAATAAATTCCGTCACAGAACTAGAACTAATTGTTATTGTCTTTCCTCTGTGGGTACGTGTAATTCTGCTGATTAGAGTTTTGTTTTTTGCGTTTCCATCGACAATATCGAGCTCAAATCCATATCCTTTGATCTGCGTAAAATGCACGGTGAGTCTTCTTCCAGGTGACGCTTTGAGAATCTGAAGTTTGATGAAGTTTATGGTAAAAAGCAATCAAAATTTCCGAATCAAATCATAAGAGATTTTTTGATAGTATGATAAGACAACCAGCATTTTTCTATGGAAATATCTGACTAAAACTTAGAACGAAAAATAATCTAAGGCCTCCGCGGGGCCACGGGAGGACTCGGAATTCACTCTTCAAGCTGACTACATGCTGCACCAAATGGATAAGGAGAGTTGGAGAGTAATTAGGTTCGTATTCTTTATCCCTTAGCAAGTTTGCTTTAGTTTATAAAGTGTTCAGGCTGTGGTACGTGATTGGAACAATGAGTTGAAATCAAGGAGAATATTAAATATATCAAGAAAAATTGGTTTTCCAAATGAAGAATACAAGGGAATCATTACATCGTTACCTGTTGAACTAATTGAAAACAGTTTGTGCCATTCAGATCAGATAATTACAGCAAAGATTGGATGCCAGTATCAGATTGTCACCCAAGTAACAAGTTAGGTTTACTTTTAAACCTGTACCGGTTGTTATACAAACTGTATCAAGTTTCACAAGGGGAAAGGCAGATGTAAAGTACACGCGAGAAGCAGATCGAACATGCTAATTGACACAATATATCCAACGAATAGAAAAATCCCTGAATTTTTGAAAAGGAATTCTTTTAACTGCTAAATCCATATGAATCCCACGTTTCAGTTCTTACCTGGCTGCATCTAGTCATCGAGGCTATTGCAACTACATTCACAAGCAATGGGAAGGAAATCTTCTGCGGAAAGACGGAACATAGATCTACCGCTGTACGCGTGTAAACGAGTCCTTCTCCAAACCTTGTATTTTCTATGGTGGCATTGTGCATAATAACATTGCCAAATGAGTTCTCGATGTTTACACCCATCATTCTTGGACTCAGGATTGTGGAGTCGACAATTGCCATAGGTTTAGCAAGTTCTTGCACCTGCACTCCATAGGCGCCATCCCTTATAGAAATGCCAAGCAAGTCAGGGGCCTCTTTCTTTGCTTTTATTCCGTCGAAAGCATTTTCTATGTCCACGTTCTCCAATGACGAGTTTCCGTGCCTCTCGGAGGAGTTTCCTGGTGCGAAGTAAATACCTCTCCAGAAGATCTTCTGAGCCAAGATAGGCAAGTGAGTGTCACACTCGATTCCGATGTCGTACTTATGATCTGGCTCATTGGTTTAATTTTTGATGGAACAGAAAAAAAATGCGACTCAGCTAATTCTCAGTAACTGATTGACATTATATCCTGGCGCAGATTTTGTTGTTATCATATGCAAGACAAACTCTGACGGTTTTAAGTGCCGCTCTCGCTAAGAGCAGTCCTCTCGACTTCCCGTTGGAAAAAAGTTTTCTTTTATTTTCTGCCCGTGAAAAGGGGTAAGGACACATGTTTCAAAAATAGTTTAGTTATTCTCCAATTCTCCTTTTTTTGCCTCGCCACAAGTCAAAAGTGATTTTTGGCCAGACCACCCCTGTGGATAGCGATCGAAAGTGTAAATTTCAAAGATTTTTTCCAGCGCGCAGCGACTGCAACAACGTAGCTCACGGAATTCTATCTTTCTACAAGTTACAAGATGTATTCAGTTAGTTCACAGACAAAATATGGAAACTTCAGCTGAAATATTTTTCATACCAGCGTGATCAGAGGAGACCCTTCTCTTCGACCTTAATTTGCATATCAAAAATTCACTACTTTGCACGAAAGAATTCTCAAAATGTAGGCGTTAATCGGGCTGAAAAAGCATATCAGTCCATAGTTTATACACCAATGAGGTCACGGATTGCCTCAAATCCGCGGGTATATCTCTAGCTTCCATCCACCAACTTCTTAAAAACAATCGCGTGTCAAAGATTATTTGCATGATTCTGAAAATTGACCAAGATCTCCTTTTGACCGTTCAAACTTCGTTCGTTTATCTTCTCGTTGAGGATTTTAGGTTTTCATAGCAACTGAATGGAGAATAGATGCCGAGTTGTCCTAAAACGTTGCGTAAAAGTGATCGGTCATAACGCTTGCGCGCTTGCGTGACTTACAAATTAGATAAAGATGATCGGAAGGGGCCTTCTCGATAATTTACGTTGAAATATCAGGTCATGAACTACGCACAGTGTGGAGAAGATCAAAATTAAAGAGTAAAATTTGGCACTCTAGTCATAACAAACATATCGCGTTGCTTAAAAGGACACAAAAACAAGTTAAAATGGGTTACAGTGTTTCCATTTACAAAACATTCTGAAACAATTTTTGCAGTTTCTCCCGAGATTTAGTACATGGAACCCGATGAACTAACCCTCCTTTCTGCAAATTTGTTTCCGTCACTAATGATGTTACGCTCTTATGAACTACAACGGTTTTGAAAGACAAACTCGACATTTCCCTGCGACCATCAAAATCAATTGAACAAACCCAGCTTGATGTATTGCGTGACGTGATTGTGCAAACTCTTTGTCATACGACCTGTTTCACGGGTTCTACAAGTTGGAACCAAAATTAGTTAATGTAACGAATTAGAATCGAAAGTTATTAAAATATACTGAAGAATTTTACATTTTAATGAGAATTTTATCTTTTAAAATGTTTACTTGATTCATGGAAAGCAAAGATTGGATTGGCTTTGGGTATTTCAGCTCTGATTTGGAAAAAATGAAACAGTTATTGGTATGTCCTAAACATCAGAACACCTGAGAGGACACTGGAAATGTAGTAAAAGTATTTTTTAGCATCCAGAGCAAAATGAAGAATCTGAGGCAGTGAAAGGAGACTGAATTTTCAAAGCCATTTGTCGTAAAAGCTACCACCAGCTTGTTATTGAACTCACTAAAATTTGCCTGGAAGGCATTAATTTCTTTTGTCGCGCAACTCGTAGATTTTTAAAATTTTAAGCGAATGCAAAAATCAAGACAAAAATTCGTCATGACACAATTTGTTCTTTGATTCTGTCAAGAGAATTCTGGTTTTGAAAACATCTTAGCCTTTACCTGGTTCCAACCGCTATCAACGAAAGTAATCCCACAGGTTCCTATTTATTTGGAAAAAAGACAAATTAAAACTGTTTAAGAGGTAGGAATTTTGAAAACTCGCAGTCACGTATTCAACTTAGTGTCCGCCATTTTGACACGCGAGTGTTCAGAAGCAATAATTTAACGGCTGATACACTACCAAATACTACTTGGAGAAATCTTAGAAGTAATACAGGCAAACTTTGTATACTTTTGATGATATTTATTTCTTTTTCTCGTTTTCTGAGGTCGATTGCATCTCTGTAAATCCAGGGTTTATTAAAGATCGCCTTTGACAGTTATAATAAAACACAAGAAATTAAAGTCTCTTAACTTGCAAATGTGGGCGGTAAGAATAAAGAACGTTTGTAGTTTTATCCTAGTTAGTATCATGTAACGAGACTGAATTACAATTTTGGCGCAAAACTTGAAAGTTATCGCGAGATACGCACACTGATTCCTTGAAACTCTTCAAGGTTTTGTTCCCTAACAACGGTACAACTCGATAACGAGCTAAGTGTATTCGTATGAAACGAAAATGTCTGTCATTTTTAATTGTGGATTTGCAAGAGTTGCTGTAAAGGAGAGCTTTCGTAAGGTTGGAAGTGCTTCAGTTGAAACTAACCCTAGTGAAAAGTGGAAGAACTATCTTGCAGCGTTCGAGGGTGACAGACAGGAAGTCTTTGCGGTCGAACGTTCCGCCTACGTCAAGAAATCCAAAGCAATTTACAGCTCTTTCCGAAAGATGAACTCAAAAGCCAGGGTCCAGTACCAAGACACGTTTTCAATGGTAAACTGGAAAGCTCTTAATACAGCGCAGAAGAAACAACATACACTGTCAAATTGTGGAGGTTGTAAAGTGCACTATTATGCCATCCATAATCTTTTCCCCAGTGGGAAGTACTACTTTGTATTAAGTATTAAGAAAGTATTACTTTACAGTAATTTTCATGCCAGACAATGAGATCAACAATCTTCACCTTTACTTGTGTTGCAATCTAGCATTTATTTACGCACACTCCCTATAACATATTTGCCTTCATTTTCCAGTTTTTTAAAAGGAATGCAAGTACCAAATATTCCACTGTAAACTTAATCAATCATACTGAACTTCTTCCAACCAATGGAGAGAATATAATACTGGTAGAAGGATCCTATAGTCGATGCCTTCTAAGACAGTACACACGATTTGATATAAAGGTTGTGGAAAAACAGTCTCTGATGCAGGACACCACAGAGATAATGAAGGAGGCTCACATTATGCAGGTACTCGCACATAAAAATATCCCAACCATAATAGGTGTACAGCTTCAAAAGCAGCCCATTTCCTTAATAATGGAGTTTAAAGGGGAAGACAATACATCTGTAACAATAAGCAAACTATTGTCTTGTCAGAAAAACAATGCAACAATACAGAATGTGCAAAGCTCACTCATAACAAATGACTGGTTAATTATTTCACATGATTTGACAGAAGCCCTTTCACATATTCACACAAAAGGCTTTCTTCACTGTGATTTGAAGGCTAATAATGTTCTTGTGAGTAACAAACATGGCTACATCATCGATTTTGGAAAAGCATGCAACAGCTCCTTTCCTCCTGCAAAGAAGTACAGCATCTGTTATCCACATATTGCTACTGAGGTTCTTAGTGGTTCTCCCTGTAGCAAAGCCAGTGATATTTTTTCCCTTGGTAAAATTCTGTTCAAAGTAGGTGTTAAGCAAAACATTCCACTTTTGGTTTCCATGGCTCAAGAATGTTTGGATGCCAGCCCTGTTAGAAGACCAACAACAACAGGCATTATGGCAACACTGGCTTCCATAATATCTCACTGAATACTATAAGCTTAAGCAGGGGTTTCACGGGCCTGACACTGGGCAAACTGACTGGCTGGGAACATAATTTTTACTGCATGTTGTGACTGACATAAATCAGAATCAAAACATATTTTGCCTGCTTCCTTGTTCATTTCCCATCACCTCAAAATCTTAATGAAACCTCTGCTTAAGAAAGTAATAATTAACACTCTAATCAGGTAAAGTGACCCAAGCCATGTCACAGCAGGAGTCTTTTTCTTGAGCTTTGCAAGGTTAAAATTACAATGTATGTGCATGTCTTTAGCAAGTTTATGTGTGCCCTTGGTCCAAACTAATTTTGTACTTCTGCTTTATGAATTGTGAATGAATGTTAGAGGGACATTTTTAATAATACACTGATAAGGTGCTCTAGGGTCCATCAGGTACAAATTACTTCACAGGTCATACTCATGTCTATAATTTTACATCGCTGCTAGATAATATACATGTACCAATTTATTTCCCAATTCCTGCCAATTATTGATCTATGAAATTGAATTTGGACAAGCAACTGGCAGATCAAACTTGAAATTATAAACCAGAGTTTTAACTAGTTAGGCCACCATAGCCTTCTAACAGGAATATTGACTTGGAAGAGCAACAAAAAAAACCAAGAAATACAATTTTAAAATTTTCCTTACTGACTTTGTAACAAGGGCAACCTATCCTGCTCTTAAGATGGCACATCTTTTATGAGTAGGGCTGAGAAGATGACACATCTTATATCAGTTTGTGTTTGCTCTTGTCGCAAAAAAAAACAGTGCCCCACTTGGGGCAACAGTAAGCACTGGTAATTAATCAAGTCTTATCAACAAAGAGAGAAGGCTATGGTTAGAATCATATGCATTACCAGAACTTTTTTGATGCATTTGAATTAAAAGATACTCCACTGGTGTAGTGGGTAGAATATTTACATTCAAATAGACACATATATCAATTACATGTCCACCATTGACAATGATTGTTGCAATTATTACCGGTCAAAACTTAAAAACCAAACTGTTGACTATTGATAATTAAAACTGATATAACATGATTTAAAAACCAAAAAAATGCCTCATAAATAACACCATTAACATTCTTGTAATAAATTAGTTGTGTGAAATAACTGGAAGGACCTTTCCAAGAAAACAAATAGGGATAACAGTAAATAAAACAGGTTTTAATCAAGTAGATTCCCTTTGGAATCTGCAAGGGCTGGCTGGTTTTCTGTGTGAGTAATTAAAATTATTATTATTATATATTTAAAGCAATTCAGTAAGTGACCTCGGAATAAACTAACACACATTAGTACAGCTTTTTCTCTTAGTTTTCAAGGGACAATTTATGACAAGGCAATCTGCATCTTACATGTCAGCAATTAAACTTACCTAACAACTGCTTTGGGGGATTACTTTTGTAAGTAAATTCATCTGCTTCTTGGGGAAATTGTTTCCAAAGCATTCAAAAGCCTAAATTTTGATAAACACTATAAGTTTACACATCATAATATGATAGAGGTTTATCATGAAGCTAAATTTAATTTCAAAATTGAATGGTATATCCACAATGAAACTTTTTTTTCTATGCATAAGTTACAAACATTGTAAAACGCTATTGAGTTTTCTAGAAGTGAGCGTTATATTATAAATTCATGTTGCATTGTATTTGCAGTGAAGCCAATGAACATGTTGAGAGCGGTGTTTAGAAGTCTTCGTAGGTTCAAAAGGGTTCTCTTTGGCTTTAAGATAGCGATATCATGCCATTTTTTGAGGAAATGAAGATAGCAAAGAAAATTTTATTACCTTCTTTTGATGTCTTCCTCTATATTGTCGGATTCACCAACGAAGATGGGAAAAAACAATGCAAAGCCGACACTTCAAAATGGCGGATGCCGTTCACGAACTACGCGATCTTGATTCCAAGTAACTATGGTTACTCGCGCAGTCCACGCGAATTCCGCGAACCTTGCTGGGGGGGGGGGGGGGGCACTGGAGGCGAAAATCATTTTTGACCCAGGCCTTAATTAACCTGAGAGATAGCCCATAGTCAAATAATAGCCTTCACTCTCGAGAAATTACAAATATATTACCCATGTGATCCGACTACAACTTTAATTCCGAAAACTTCGAAAACATCTCCAGTCAATCTGGCTTTCTTTTACTGCCTCACATTTTCCCTTGTACTGTGGCTGTTAACGAGTACTTTCACCGCAAGTCAGACATAGTCTGATGCTACTCTGGTTTGCAGATTTAATGAATGTAACCCAAGAAGTTACAATTCATAGACCCAACGTTTCGACACTCCTGTCTAGTGCCTTCATCAAGGGTGATCTAAACGCTGCGACAAGAGGTCCTTTTATATGATCACAGATTAGCGGCCTTTTTTTCTGACGAGGTGTAAATAGGCGTCAGGAAGCAAACCGCCATCGTCACGATTTAAAGGAGCGTGGGCGGAGTTAATATGCCAAGCCTCCAAACAAAGGCGCTGGTGGTAACGCCGATTAGTGGTGATAATTTTAGAATTATCCCACCCAATTGTATGGTTAGTTAGGTATGTATGTTCCGATAAAGCTGAATTTTCCTTTTTGCAAAGGAAAACCGCTTTTTGGTGCTCTTTTAACCGTGTACCAAACTGACGTTTGGTCTGTCCGATGTAATCGTTGTCGCAGTCATTGCAAGGAATAGAATAAATGGCGTCGGTTCGTTGTTCTTTCGTGACAGGATCCTAGGTTAGGTTCGGCGTTACCACCAGCGCCTTTGTTTGGAGGCAGAGAGCAGAGTAGCATCAAACTATGTCTGATTGTCCACCTGGTTGCCGTGTGAACTTTAATATGTTTCTTTAAGTGTTCGAATGTTTAGTACATACCAATAACTGTTATATTTTTTCCATATCGTGGTCAAAAATGACCGGAACGAAACAAAATTAACTTGTACTCGAGGATTTCGCTGTATAGCTGGTAGTACTTCAAATGACTCGATACGTCGTCCCGGCATTCCAGGAGAGAAATCAGCGCTGAGATACCCAAAGCCACTCCAATCTTTGCTTTCCATGAATCAAGTAAACCTTTTTAAAAGTTAAAATTCTCATAAAATGTAAAATTCTTCAGTTCATTTTAATAACTTTCGATTCTAATTCGTTACACAAACTAACTTTGGTTTCAATTTGTAGAACCCGCGAAACAGGCCATATGGCAAGGGGAAAAATTTGCACAATCACGTCACGCTTTTTCAGCCCGATTAACGCCTGCATTTTGAGAATTATTTCGTAGTGAATTTTTGATATGCAAATTAAGGTCGAAGAAAAGGGTCTCCTCTGATCACGCTGGTATGAAAAACATTTCAGCTGAAGTTCCCATATTTTGTTTGTGAACTAACTGAATATATCTTGTAACTTGTAGAAAGAAAGAATTCCGAGAGCAACATTGTTGCAGTCGCTGCGCGCTGGAAAAAATCTTTGAAATTTACACTTTCGATCGCTATCCACAGGGGTGGTCCAGCCAAAAATCATTTTTTACTTGTAGCGAAGCAAAAAAAGAGAATTGGAGAACAACTAAACTATTTTTGAAACATGTGTCCTAAACCCTTTTCATGGGCAAAAAGTAAAAGAAAACTTTTTTCCGATGGGAAGTCGAGAGGACCGCTCTTAGCGAGAGCGGCACTTAAGCAGTCAACTCACGTTCCGAGTTTATCAGCCTCACACCCTTTCTCTGACTTGTAACTTCCGTAAAATCACTAACAGTAAAAGTCTCAACAAAAAGAGAGCAGCACGATGACTTTCAATGTCTCGTAAAAGACCATAGAAAATGGAGAGCCTTGTAAAATCGGGTACAGCTATGAGTAGACAACATTACAATCACAATCCCTTGATATATTTCGAATTAATCGTATCGATCTAAAAATGCAATGTTTCAACTTCTCATTGTAAAAGTTTTATTGACTGCTGATTCGAAATCCTTAAACCATTTTCCCAATCGATGAGGTCAGGCTACCCAGAGCAAAGCCAGGGTTAAATGACCGCTAGTAATGGACTACCTAACATTAAACTTCCTTTTCACATAATGAAAGGGACCCATTCTCTTAGTTGTGTCACCTCGCCAAAATATTTGTGGAATATGTGTCATATATCTTAATTATACCCTATCATTCAGGAAGTACAAGTCATACAAGCGGATCAAGAATCTAGACAATTTTCTGGTTCCTGGAAACTGGAGACCCTCTGGCAGAAGTTTTTAACCGCCTTTAATACAGCTAGTATTCCCTGAACACAGACCTCTAAGGCAATGTACTAGCTCGTGATCAGATCTTGTTTACACCTACAGATTTGCACAGGATCGGGCAACGATTTGGTGCTATATTATCCTATCGTTTTATCTATTAGATAGATGCTTCCACCAATCCCAGGAGCAATATGCCGCTGTCGCACATGCTGGCGCTTGTAACCGACCAGTCTAGCCTACAAAACCTTGGCACTGTCTAATTATATTTAGGTCTTAGGACTATGCGCAATGCCTAACCTACAGCACTAAGTATTTTCAACGACTGACTCTGGTAAGCTGGTTTCTAACTTAGAACAGTCTCCCCATAATTAATGTCAACAACTACCGGCAAGATTCAAACGACATATTCACGACATTTTCACCACAAATGAACCGAACAGAGCGGCATATCAAACTCATGGGGTACAAATAGTCTTAACGTGAATGTAGTGACCACACCCACTTCGACACCCCACGCAAATCGAGTGTAATTTTCGAATGTTTTACCATCGTGCGGATTCTCTACGGAAAAAGCGCTCAATGTACCTCTGAAATATTAAACTATAATATTGTGGCTTTCTATTTCGCTAATTTTCTAACTTGAGGGTAAAGTTTTTCCCTCGTCATTTTTACCTTTTCTCCGAGCGGTTGCGTGAAATTATCAAGGCGTTTTTGATTAAAACACGACCGAGCGAAGGGTCTCGGGCGATATCTCTTACGCAGGCGCAAATTAAAAATGTACCGTCAGAACCAAAAAGTGGAACAAATTTTCTTTGTTTTGATATGTATAGTGTCGAACAAAAAGCAGATTTACGTTCGTCAAATGGCGTTTCAAAACAGCTTTATCTTCCTCCTTTTGATTTTTCCTGTTTTGTAAGCGTGAAAGCAGTAGGAGAGGGATCGGGAAACTCAGAAAGCCCTTCTACCATCGTTTATTTACAAGATAAACAGGTAAGATTTGTGAAGTTCGTTGAAATATGAAGTCTAAATAAATGCCCTTTTTAAGCTTGTTTTCTGGATTTTTCGTAAACTTCCCTGATTAATTTTTCGTGTCAGCTTACTAATCTATACTATTTCAAAGAAATGTAAAGACGAAGACGGAGAACCATGAGTCGTTCCTTTCAACAATCGTAAACAAAGTGTTTGAGCAATCAGATATACGAGGTGTAATAATCAATAGCCGCATATCAATAGTCTTCAGAAAGAAAGTATTCTGTCTTCAGAAAGCTGTCAAGAAAGCTAGTAATCGTGGAGGAAGCCAACTAAATGCACTTCTAAGCAAGTTAGAAACGGGTCCTCAGTATCGATTTAATATCATGTCAATCTCAATATCATACAGTTTTGTATCTTTCTTCCGTGGATTCGCCTTTCTAACGAGGGTGTATGTTGAGTATTCATTGCAAAATCGCTTTGTTTCTTTAATTTCCCTCTTTGGCCTGTCCGCCATTTTGAAAATTCGTAACGGAGAGCATGCGCATTACGTGGGGTTAGTGGTTGCGTACACCTGGAACCGGAAAAACAAATGTTCGTCGCACTGGGGAAAGAGTTTGATATGCCAACGTTACCGACGGATCAAAACTGACCAATCAAGACCGACTTAGGCCACTTGAGTCTCACAGCCAATTAAATCACGGCTAAACTAACCAATCTGTCTACGCGAACCGGACTTATAACACTTCACTGACAACGACTCTTCACTTGACTCTGATGATGACTTCCGCTCACGTTGTAGAAACGTCATTAACTGCTATCGACATTATTCCTTCTCAGAACTACCCTCGCCCGGATGATCAAGCACACAAATTCTCGAGCAAGGAACAAATTGTCGCTTAATCTGAAGGTCAAATTGCTCAGAAGATTGAAATGGTGTTCTCTAGCGTAAGGTCTGAGATAGTACATGTATTTACAAAAACTTACCGGCCAAGATTTCCGCACAGCCCCTACTTTATTATACATGCATTTCTCGGATAAATAACAATAAAGACACGTTGCTTGGTTAATTTTAGCCTCCTATTACTGGTATATCTCTATCACTTATCAGATGCGAACAGCCTTGCACACCTCCATATCATGGCTTCGCGGGTGACTTAAAGGGGCTGTTAGGTTATTATTTCCCAAATAAATCCATATACCTGTCCCTTTCACCAGACGGGTCTTCCCATGATCAGTTACACTTGTCTTGTAGGAGGCAAAATTGGCATCTGGTCGATAAACACTTCCGGTTTCGAAAATATAAAAAATATAAAATATATCGCTGCAATCCATTCCATTAATCGTTTCGCTGCCTAGATTTCCATTTTAGATCATAAAATAGTCCTTAGTTTAGCCTGAGCCGTCCATAACGTATTTCCAGCCCTTCAAACTGCATAGTATTACATAAACAAGAGATAACTCACCACAAGGATAATAATAAGCCCAGGAATAGCGACAATCCCAAAGGCTCTCTTCGTATCCAGTACATTCAACGAACTTCATGTATACACGGCCACTGCCAGGGTGGAAGTAATAACGCTTTGCTCCGAGGAAGCCAAGCTGTCTGCAAGCCACTCGTGTATCTCTCATGTCCCAAAAATACTGGCCACAGACAGTGCCCCATTGTCCCCGCCATTGTAGCTCCAGACGGCCGTTGTTGTGGGAGGTTCCACCAACAAGCCGTATTCCTTGATTGTAAGGTATGGCTGAGTTCTTGCAAGAAGGTGCGTCTTTGCAAGGAACCGCTCGGAAAGTGATCCTGTGTGAAGGTGTCCCTTTTGCATTTAATGATCCATGAACGCGAATCCCCACAGATGGAAGAAAATTTACCTGAGTACCAGGTTCTATGGCAAGAGTGGCATTCTCTGCGACAACCAAGTCACTGGTTACCAAGTATGGACCTTCTGCATGCGTGAGGGTCTGGTTACCAGTGATAGTGCCATTCAGTTCCCGAGAAATATTTCTCCCATGGCCGCAAATTCCGTACTTGAAAAAGATAGCCAATATAATGCAGTACTTTGGTAACATCGTGACCAGCTCTGACCTAATTGTAACAGATATTAAATTAGATCCAAGAGATTATCAACTGTTTATATTCTCTTGATTTGATCATAATTTTTGATAAAATAAATTTCATTTGACCTGAGCATGAAAATCAAGTAATTAAGCAATGGTTCTCGGAGAAGAGCTGAAAAGAAGCCTGAAAAAAATTTCAGGCTCCGACGGTATTCTAACCGGTTCCTTCCAGATTCTAGATGGCGATATCACCACATACTAGTATTTAGGGGGCATGGGTTCGAAGCCCATTGAAGTTCAAGGTTCTTTTCTGTAATTGCTAAAATTGCAACTCACCAGCAGGGATCATTGCTTTACTTACATGTTGAAGTACAAGAATAAAAACAAATTTTCAAAGGCATATTGTAGTGCTGAGTTCATTTAAATGTATAGGACCATTTCGTAAGATAAGTTAAGCTATAAATTAAAGAAAATACGCGCATAAGTAGATAAAGGTGTAAAATTATGGCAACAAAAACAGAAAAACAACCAGAAAGTATGGCATTATAAACTTTGTTACTGTTTCGTAGGAATCATGTACGAGGGGTGGTCGTAGGTTTAGGAATCAGAACAGCAAAGGAAAGGTAAAATCCTGACGTTAGTGGATTATCTGTTTTAAACGAATGTGCAGCTGAAAAACCCGGAGGATCATCTACGCAAAAGCTTAACCTCAAGATAAAAGCGAACCTTTAGAAAATTGTACATTGATCTCACAAAAACAGAATCCTCTAAAAATCACAACTGATGATGATTGAAGTTGCATCTTGCCAACCGAGTGATCATTTTTAATCAGCCACAAATTAAATCTGAACAGGGAACCCCCAGCATTCAATTGCATGACAAACGAATGATTGCAAGAAACCTCAGAATAAGCAAGGGGAATGTTAATAAACAACGTATGAAATGCGTCATGTCGAATGCAAATAGCTCAGCTGTATCAACGATAAAAGCACTCAGGTAACCTCACGGTTTCTTTCAATCAGTTTACCCGGTCTGAATCGATATCTTTCTCTATCGCTCAGTATGATAAATAACAGGCCAAAACCTCAGCTCGTAATTCAACTTTTGTCACACAATCTTCGAAAGAATATCATAAACAAGCAGGCAGTATGGCATATGTTGCCAAAATATGTAATGGTGAATGTTTTACAGTCCATGAACATTTTGTGAAGCCGTGCTGTTAACTGAATTTGACCTGCCTGGGCTAAACGGCATTTTCATATCGAATCTAATGACGCTTCCTATCTAAAACACGTGGAACAGCTTCACAACGTTGGGTCGAAAATTAGATATAGCTAGGAAATGCTGTAACATGTTACAAAATATCATCCGCAATTCGCTTGCACTAAAGGTAGCCGGATATTTTCCCGTAGTTTGTAATATTATCAACAGTACCTTAACAAGTTGAAGAATTATGCACATGAATGGTTCCCAGCTGGATTTTAAATCATAGAGTTGAATGTGTGAGCCTCGTGCATTCGCAGTAAGTCGGAAATAATGAAATAACGTTTGTAAAGTACTTACAACAACTATCGCACTACTCTATCGATAGCACGTAAGATAGTAGCACGATCAATTCCTAAGTTAAACTTTGTCTTGGTAACCTCTTCGAAAAATAATCTAGTATTGACAACAGAAGTATGGGAGAGAAGTTATCTCAGTAAACACAATAAGAGCAATGCGTGGAAAACCGAGCTGTCTCACAAAAAGACTCCAGCGTGACGTTTTTGCGTTTTCCTCTTTGTTGTGTAGTTTTAGAAAGAGTTTCCTTCCAGTCGGCAATAATCTTAAAGGAAGATTTCTTAGAAATTGCGCGCGTCATTGCCTTTTCTACAAGATATCAAGGGTCATCCAATGGCGTCATGTAGTTCTAGGAATCGAGATTACTACGAAGCGATGAAAATAAACACACAAGAACAGAAACATTTGAACGATAAATGAACAGCTCGATTTTAAAACCATTTTCATGTCTTTGGAGAATTTTTTTGGTTTATTGCTCTTGTAGTCACAAAATACGAGTAGCACCCCTGCAGCCCTCTTTCAAATGCTGCTTCCTCGGATCATAGTTTTCAAGTTTTCGTCACAATGTAGACAGATATACAAATATAAATGCAAAAGTAATGCAAACACCTGTCGACGAAATTCGGCGAAATTCCTGGCTTTTCGACGAATTCTTGACCGAAACGAAACTTCGACGACATTTCCGCGAATTTTCGAGGCATGTATTGTTTTGAACGGCTCGAACTTTCGGCGACAAATTCCTTGATGGCGTAAATGCGACTCGAAATTTCGAGCGAAAATTCGTTCTATGCGGCGAATTTTCGGGGCGAAAATTCGTTGTATTGTTCATTCTTCTCAAAAAGATTTGGTTGAATTTGTGGTTGGTTACTACACTATGTAATACTCCCATAAAATTTCCCGCTACGATTCCAGTCTCCGCGCGCCCTATATTGTTTGCAACCATGGCAACACAGGTTGTTGTGTCGATGCGTTTGGGATCATTTATGTACTCTACTTTTGATAGTAATCATGGCAAAAGTTTCAAATTATTCTAGAAATAGAATCGAGATCCTTCACAAGCAAGGCCTCCACCCAGCTGAAATACTGAAAGCGTTGAAACACGAAGGGTTGCTAGTGAGCTTTTCCAGTATTACGCGCATCATTAAAAAGTTGCGACTTACCGGTTCCGTGGCAAATTTACCTCGATCGGGAAGACCTCAAAAGCTGTCTACGGAAGCAAAAACTTTCGTAGATCAGCAAATGCGCAGGGATGACGAGACGACCAGCAATACGATAAAGAAGAAGCTGGAGAGACATGGAATCTGCGTGAGTGCGTCCACTATTCGTAGAGCACGCAAACAGCAAGGTTGGACTTTGCAGCGGACTGCCTACTGCCAGCTAATCCGTGACGCAAATAAAGTCAAGCGATTAAACACACTAAAGACATTCTCTGCTCCGTCTGGTTAAAAAGCGTTGTACTTAGGTTAATTTTAAAAACTATTGCAATCATTTGAGAGTTTATTTCCATGAAATACATGTCTCTTGGTCAGAATTGCTATTCATCCCGATTTACTTTCATTGTTGTAAACTGATCGAACTCTGAATTGGATACGATGGTTTAGGCCTCTTTAAACGTCAGGAAACTGAAGTTGATGTGACGCTTGGGACAATTTTTCCGATTTACTTTCGTTGTCAAACACAAATCGAGCCCAGAATCGGGCGTGATGCTTTTCGATATTTTGACCTTTTGTCTACTGTGTCTCTGTCCCAGTGACTGAAAAAGACTGGAAATACGTTTATATGTATATTTCGTGTTGCTTACACGAAAGTAAACAAACTTGAGTACTCGCGAAAGTCTATTGTCAGTTCGAAGCGAATTTTCGAACACTAATGATCGAAGAGACACTTTCCGCCGCGAAGTTTCGCTTTGAGGCGAAAATTCAACGAAAAAGCGCCCTTTGTTCAAACGAAATGTCGCTTAAGAGGCCTCGAACTTTCGATCGAATTTTCGCTCGAACTTTCGACGAAAGATCGTTAGAACAAATAACGAAATTCGCCGTATTCCGCTTGCATTACTTTTGCACAATACTGTACTTCCAGGAAACCGTGAAATTTCAAATTTTAAGATTGAATGTAACTGGACTAAAGCGTACTATACATATTTTCATCGAAATGATTTTTAGCCGGCCTAAGAAAAATCGAAAGAATTTCACAACAAAAGAAATTATTAAAAAAAATTATTGAAAATAAAAAGCTCCCTTATTCTCGGCTCCTAGACCAACAAAAATGCTAATCCATCGCTTCCTAAGATGTCTTCAGCGAATATTTTCATCCTCAAGAAACTGTTTACGATTCTCTCTGTGCCTGTATATCTCACCTTCCTACTAAAACGAATGTAAACTGTAAGGTTATAACCAGTGTACAAGGCTGGCAATTTTGGACATCGAACAATCCTAAGCGGTTTGAACAAATTCATTTGCACTCACATAAAAATGTAATGGCTCCTATCTAGCAGCTTTGGCTTTACCTTTAGCACATTGCTAATTTTTAACAAAGGTGTATTGTAGCGAGGAAAAATAAGCAGGGAGTAAATTCTAAAATTAATTGAGCGTTAATCACGAGACCCTCACACGATTACATGTGGACATAATAACAGAAGACGGTTCTTTAAGAAAGATTTACGAATTACAAAGAGTCTCAAATTTTGATGGAAAACTTTTGAGCCTTCACAGATCAGTATAATAGCATAGTGGTACGTTTCTCGAGCTCGTCTTACTTGTCCCCAAATCTGAGATATTTAGCAAGACTGAACGTCCTCTTCTCTTTCATTTCATGCGAACTTGTAGTATGGGACTTGTTTTTATATTGTCCTCTACTTTGCTAAAACCCCATCCACATCTAGACATAAACATGTTTGGAAGCTGTTTTGTTCATCATAGCTTAAATTTGTCTTCTACATAGACCCTGCTAAAACCAATGTTTCGGCAACTTCGAATTTAGCACATTGAAGAATTCAATGCACTGACTACTTGAAACAGTTATGGAAAATTAAGTTTTTCAGTTGCCTGTTTCTGATTTTCTTTAAGTTAAGACCGTTTTAATTAAGCATGTTTTGCTGGTGTAAATAGGCTACAAGTCTTAACAAATAAAAATTCTTGGATCTTAAAGGAATCATGTTATTTGATGTCAGATTTATGCAGTAAATCGGTCGTCTTGCTTGCCAAAATTCATCCTAACACAGACATGCCTGGTTTTTTATTTATTACAGCGCACAGAACTCTTGCAACAAATCAGTCGAGGTATAATTTTATAGTTCTCTTCACTTACTACAAGGTAACAAGGAAAGCAGGAATTAAAACTTTTACAACCCCTTTTACAAACATTCAAATTGAGTCCAGAATACACATAGTTCATGCGCCATTTTGCTGGTTATCCATGAGACAAATACACAAACAGTCACATCATATGGCATTATGAACACATCTGAAAAAGTTTTGTATTCTGCTCATGTATCTCTTAGTACTGCTCATTTGGGAAAGTGCATGTTCAAGATTTTTGGAAGGGGCAGCAAGCAGCATGGAATATGGAGGAAATCCCTTTGCGAACACCTTTCTTCGGCGTCTGCCTTCTTCATAGACTCTCAAGACACTCAAACCTCTAAAATGAATTCGTGAGCTTTCATGCTCGAGCTTTAAACGAACTAATACTAGCATTGTTGATATCAAAGAAGAAAATACCAGTCCCTGCTTTGGACGGTAATTTCGATGCAACCACATCAAATAGTATGAATAAATGTGATCTCAATAAGATCTACTGTTTCAATGTGTCTTTTGAACTCATTCCGTGAAGTTCTATCAATTGATTCCACGAATTTTGAATACAACTTTGCACAATCCCCTTCCACTGTTCCTTTCAATAATTTCTTTATTTTCGTGAGTTAGAACCACAACTTACAATGCTTCTCAATTGCATCAGATGTAAACAAATACTATTCTGAAATGAACAAGGTGACATCATTTTCCCCGATTTCAAAAGTCAACAACTTGAGGCATAATTTTCCGGCGACTGTAGACACCACACATCTGCAGTAAATGTAGGGTAGCTCATTTAGCAATCATTGGCGCGCTATTTTTTCCCCTTACATCTGATTTGAATATACTACGACAATGTTTTAAAAGGGTAATGCAATTTTCTCATTAGAAAAGTATATTTCTGGGATCTGTAGTTCTTAAGAAACGAATGAGCTTATGCGTCTATTCCCGGAAACGTCCTTTTTTCTGAGAGCAATTGATGTGTCTCGTTTGTTTGCAAAGACGACAAACTATGAGAAACGCATATTCGAAGCCATTGAACAATGTGCTCACAGTGCAGCGGTTACGCTAAATTCATGTTCGCTTTTGATTCAAAACTAAAACTGGAGCAGTCGATTCGCTACAAACCCTGACATGGTTCAGTTTTCTCCCAAAAACTACAGACAACAAGTGCTTATCCAAATTCACAACATCTGTCAGATCTCGGAAATGCATTCGAACTCAGTATTCAGAAACGTTTTTTAATCATAAAACTTCTGAATGACTGCCCTGTTTTTATCTTTTCCTTGATACATAGTCTACTTTTTTTTCGTGGGTCAACTTGAGGCCCAAATTAAATAATTTTTCACGTTACTTTCACGGTTTATTCTGTACGCTGATCATCCTTGCTTTACATGACTTGGTCAACGAACACCAAACATTGCAACCTCACAACTTTGCGCCATAAAAGTTATGCTGGAGGCAGAGCAACATTCACTCTATCGCTGTTCCTTTCGAACCTCGTTGTATAATAGAAAATACACATGGACGAAATTGAACTGAATTACTTCGTTGCAATAGGAAGCTTTCTTTAGGTTTCTGCGCGCCACGCGACTAGTTAAAACAGAAAATGTAAAAACTTACGTGAACTATCCTCGCTGTTTCATAAGCTCACAAAAAACAAATATCATCGCCGCTCAGTGATGAGTTCTGTGTGATTTACTGTGAAACTTCTCGCTCAATTGGGCGCGTAACCTCAAAAATCTTGGAATATTATTTCACTGCGTGAAAGATATACCTGTTTGAGTGACACAGTGACGTCACGTAATTCTAGGAAAGTGGCAGCTATCGAGCTAAGAGAAATTGTTTGGTATATTAACGATCGATTTAAATTTTAACTTGTTTCGAAAAATAACAACAACGACAACTACAAAAACAAAGTGGTTCGGCTCCGTACAATTCTTTCTTAAGCGTATTAATGTGCACGGCTATTTCTGTTTTTCGTGATTTTTATTCTTGCCCAGAGCATTTAAATTTTGAATATCTTTTGGCCAATATTTTGAAACTTGAGATACGAAACACTGCACTTAGGGTTGCATGCGAACTTGACGATGTAACGTGTCTCTATTTATAAGTCTTGCAGTACGTAGAGACAAATGATGAAGAAAACATACAGAATTTGAAAATACACAAGCTTTTCTCTAAGAAAAAAAAAATTCGACAAGGGAAGAAAAACATTAAGATTATACATGCACAGCTATGACAGATCGTACAGATCTCGCCTAATGTTCGAGTCAAGCATCGATGACATTTCTGTTCATCGTCTCCTTTTCTCGGTAAAGTGATACAAATAATTTTTTCTCAGAAATCCTTCCCATCATTCTGTGTTATTACATCTACGAATATTACGATTTTTACAATTTTTAAGTTCTCTAGCTGACAGGTATCAGAACAAATATCAGAGCATTCTTCACACAACTCTTTCCAACCTGCCGGGTTATGTTTGCGGGTTGAAGTTATCTTTCATCTTGCCAACATTGCAAAGGCACCGAAAACGCGTGGTGAAAAAAAAAGTGTCGTGCTTTTTAAAGAAAGACTGTTTTGTCTTATTTAGATCGAAGAAAAAATAAAAACATTCTGAGATACACAAGGAATCAAAGGTGAGACTATTTCGGTGTGAACAAATTGAGTTCAGCCATTTCCGAGTGCAGCGTCACACAATCTATCTTATTCCTGGAAGAGCCCACAGATCCTACAGAAAAGCTTTGTTATCTTAATCGAACGTAACTCCATGACGGTCTTAATCATTTTATATTGCAATATAAACTATTGGCTGAAAAAAGCACGTCCTAAAATGAAAAAAAAATCACGCAAACTTACGTTCCAGTGGAAAACGTAAGCTGCCAAACAGCTTTATCTTTGTTGTCTACGACGGTGTACAAATTTTCTCTCGTGAAAGAGTCTTCAAACGACAAGATTCTTCTCTTTCAGCTTTTTTACAGGTAGATTTACAGCTTTAATTTTTCAGATCCGTTCTAGCATTTGATTTTTAAGTTTGCACCATATTACTGAAATGTATGTTTTCAGAGTTTATCCTACTGTGTTGCGACAATTAGAGCCCAGACATTTACGCAAATTGTAATCACGATCGTAAACAGTGTTTTTCGATATTAGCGCCTTTATAAGCAGGTAAGCATAACTTTCTCCGTAGCGGTATCTTCGCAGCAGTTTTTTCGTGTAACTAAATTGAATTATGAGCCGCGGAACGCTCCATGCTGACGCGATTCCCGACTTCTCCAGCAGCCATGGGTCGCAAGAGATCAGCACATTATAAACGCGATTGGATTAATTTTATCCTCTTGTGTTCCCGCGCTGAGAGATTGGTTTTTCTCGGAACAGGAGTCACATGTCACTAACAAGTCCTGTGTTTTAATGATCCAATCTAGATCGAACCTTGGCGTTTAGAAGCTAATTTGCCTTGATTTCTAAGATATGTTGTTGTTGTTGTTTTTTTTTTATCACGCTATTGTCGCAGGTCCTAAGGTTACGGACGGTTCAATGGAGGGCACTGTGATTTAGAGTTGTGACGAATAGTACTTTAGGTGCGCCCCATCCCCAGAGTCTACAATTTTTTCTTCATTGTTTTTTTCAGTTTACCTCGCAGGAAACAGTAACTGCTCGTGGTCTATCGGTTTCTCAGAAGAAGAATATCAGAATCCAAAAGTCAAGATTTCAATTCCTCGTGAGGGACTCAACGTAATCAGATATCATCAACGCAGTTAAGCCGTTATGGTGATCGACTGCCTCCTTTCGAGATGTTGGTTAAATGTTTGTTTCCCTCTCCCCTCCTCCCCTCCCCTCGGTTAACTTCGCAATCCTGTGGGTAGGGATCGTTAGATTTGTACTTTGATTGCAAAGGGAAACGAATTTTGTTTGTGTGCCAATACTCAGACAGTCACACAAAAGTCCTCTCTTTATTTATCTGTAGCCTGTCTCGTACCCAATACCATGCCGGGCCGGCGAAGATCCTTTGAATGGTTGTTGCTAAAACAGGGGGAACGCGAAAGAGAACAAGAGAAGGCATAAGTAAAAAGGCTAAAATCCAGCGAAGAGCGTTCCAGCGTTTGGAAAGTTTAATAAATAGATTTCACAAAGCCTCTTTTATATCTCTGTGTGCCAGCTAATGACTGAAATCTCAATGAATAGATATGCCATATTTTAGTAGTTTTTTTCAATTGCATCTTTAAGTTTTTGGCATTTACTATTTTAAAATTCATAAATAGTAGTCCGTTTCATCCTTGTAAAGAGGTCATTTCTTTAACTAGAATCTCAATCATGAAGTCAACTTAATTTCAATGAGTTTGAAACTTCATTCTACATAAGAACACTTTACTGAAGTATAATGCTATATTTATTTGCTGTCTTTCTCGTGCATATGACGATCATATGTGTCTTAACCCTTTAACTCCTGTGAGTGACCAAGACAGAATTTCTCCTTACTATATATATACAATATCATGCAGACAAGTGATGAGAATAAAGAAAAAATATTAATTATGGGATTACTAATTGATCCTATACTAATTTCTCCAAACAAACATAATGAGAGTCATTTGATAGACAGTGAGGAGAATTAATAATTAGATCTTGGGTATTAAAGGGTTCAAATGGGGCATTTCATTTTATTTTAATGACTAAAATAGACTTATGTTTTCAAATGTAAAAAAACTATAATGAGAACCTGATCTTAGGAAACACTTACAAAAGAAGAACCTGTTGCTGGTAGTTTAATATGTCTTTAACGTTTAAATTTTCATGGAAAATGCTTTTCTTTGAAAGCAGAGATACAGAAGTTTTCAAAGCTGCTAGAAATAAGCTGTTTGCAAGTAATGAAAAGCGATTTGACAATCATACCTTAAGGCTTGACATGCTTCACTCATTCATGTCAATTGTGTATACCTGCCATTATAGAGGTGTCTTTAAAAATATTTTTTGGTATGGCTGTTGTTCTTTGTTGATCTTTGTAGCCAAAAAAGCTACTAAAGGCACTGAACTTCAATTTTTTTGTATATAAAGCACCCTTTAAGGTGGAAGAGTAGAAGAATATAGATTTTGATGATTGCTAGGCACTTCTACTTACTGCAATCAAATTATTCGTCACTAATAATTTTTACTCTTAAGATATCATAATGGTAATTTTCAAGGTGTATCATTGACATTGAATAATTTGCACAAAGTTTAGGGATTAAAACATCATCGGTCGATTGGAGAGTACTGCATAGTGAGAACAGTGAGTCAGTAAAAAATAGGCCAGAATCGTATGGGCTTCTATTATATCTTCTCTTGAACTTGCCAGGTATGACTGCTTACCCCACTGTTTTTCCTTAACGTTTCACTCTTCTCTAATAAGCATAGAAAATTAAAAAGAAAAATCATTCTCAACTCGAGTTTGAACCTGTTATTTCTTTTCTATTTTTCTCTTTCGGCTATTCTTGTTCATGATTGTCCTCTGCCTGGAAATACACGGCGTCTTTTTTAGTTTTTTTTTTCTGTCATTCTGTCATTCGACAATCCATGATCTTAGCAACTTTAGTTACTGAAATATGAAACTTGCCTAACATGTTTCTCACGCAGGGAACATTTGATTTAAAGGCGGACAATTAAGCTAGAACTCGAGTATCTTAATTAAAACTTGATGACGAAGACTAACGTAGGATTCGACCATGAAGATATTTGTAGAAAACTTGAGATAATACCTAGATTTCATTTGTACATCACAGAAATTAATTCCAAACGTCAGTCAAGTTTTCTCTTTAGTTTAAAAGTAGAGAAAGTTGAAGCAGGCGAGTCTGTATAACCTGACTTCCTTTGTTTGGAATTGTGTGATTATTTAATTTTGCTATGCAGGTAACCCCATTGTAACATGTAATATTATTATTTAGATAGCATTAAATACTCTTACTCAAGCTTTCAAAAGTGCATGGTGTTTCTTACCTATGCTCATACCGATTAACTAAACATTGATATTACGAATTGGTCACGAGATATGTGACCAAGTAATGCACAAAGCATGAATGGAAATAGATATGGTAAACAGTTACAATTAGTACAAAGTTGAAAGTTTGAAAGCTTAAAGATACACATTACAATCATCAAACCCTAAGCATACAAGCATAAATGGGGTCAATAACCACCATAACTTCTCCCAAAACATTTATGCTTACAGAAAGTCATTCATTTTTGTCTCCAGGTGGTACTTTATTACAATTAATAGTTCTGCCAACAAGAATGCATTTTTTAAGAGTTATCTCAAAGTATCTGAGTGTACAGGTCATGTGGAAGGTTCCTGCATGGGAACTGACACTTGAATTACCTCAGCAAGCTGCAACCAACAAAATTGCAAGTCAAAGTGTATTTACCTAATGGACAAGTTTCCGAATTAGTCACCTAATTTTGTTACAGTCAAGTTCACTCCTTTTTCAGGCCATCTTCAGCTTGATCATCTGTTGCACGTGAAAACATCAAATGTTACTCACATATTCAAATAATTACCTAAATCAAAAGTTAAAGTTCATCAAATAACCTGCTTCCTTTAATTGTACTCCAGATATAGTAAATGGTATTGAAGAGAAAGAAAGAAAGGTGTTGAAACATTCTATGTTAAATAAAACTTCTTTAATTATGAATGTCAAATTGGGACAGCAACGAAAACATATGTTAAGCTTTAATAATAATTACCTTTCCATGTAAACAAAGCATAAAGAATTAGAAGCATGATACGATA